TGTTTATAATTAAAATTGATACCTTGGTTTTTTTATTGATTATCAAAATAAGTTTTTCTTTTAAGTTATTATAAATATCTTATCACCAAATTATTTATAAATTAATAATTGATAGTTAAAGGGTTTATTAAAATAATTAACTAAAATATTGATTAATTTTTATAAAATCTTAAGCTTGAGATTAATAATTTATTATTTAATGATTTTTTCTATATTTAATAATAAAATTATTAATGAAATCTTTTTTATTTTATATTTATTATAATTTATAAAGATTTTATATAAAAGATTAAGGGTTTAATATTATTATTCAATTTAATTAAATCTTTATTATAATATATTATTTAGAAGAATTAGAGATTAGAATTCTATAAATTATTAATAATATATTAAAATATATCTAATTATTATATCAATAAAGTTAGAAAATAAATTAATAAGCCGAAATATAATCTTTTAGAATTTCGATTTATTTTTTTATAATTTATAATTAAATAATAATTAATTATATTATAAAATATTATATATTAATTCTAATACTTTATAATATCTTATTTATTATTATTAAACTCTTTAAGAATAATAAAATACTTTTAATAAGATAAGGTTGTAGATTATTATAAATAATAATTTTCAATATTTCAATTGTATTCTTCAATTTAATAATCTTTAAATAAATATTAGCAATTTGGATTTGTATTATAATAGTTTAGACTTATAATAAACTTATAATCGATTTGATTGATTCAAATATGATTTAGATAGTTGTAAAATGTATAACGTGTTTTATCAGTGAGTGGGTTATATCAATGAGTGAATCACTTTCACCTCAATTTATTCTCTCCTTTTTCAATATATATTTATTAACAACTTATAATAAATCCGAATAATCAAAAAGCCCATATATTCCTTATTATTAAAACTATTCAAAAAAACAAAAAAATAAGTATTCGAAAAGCTGTAAAGATATATAATATCCTGAATATAATATTATAATATAAAATCAATAATTCTATTTCTTATTCCAAATATCAATCTAAATCTAATAATCTTTTAGAATTAGAGGAGAATATTATTTCTAAATATATAATTAATATAAATATAAAAGGATTTTTATTTAAATTAAGAAATGTAGAAGATATGGTGAATTATATTCTTGAATTAAGGAATATAAATTGTATTAAAAAGCTTTGAGTATATTGATTTATAAAGCATCGAATTAAATTAAAGATGTATTTTAGTTATATTTATAATTTTCAAAGGGCTTTTTGTAAAAATCCTAAGTTTATTAAAGAGTGGTTTCGATTAATTATAAATATACAAGCGAAATACAGTATTTTGAATAGTGATTTCTATAATTTCAATAAAACAGACTTTATAATAAGTATAATATACCCTGGAATAATAATAACTAATACTGAATGAAATAGTAGAAGCAAAGTAATACAACCAGGTAATAGAAAATGAGCTACAGTAATTATATATAATAATAAAAAGAATGAAACTATACCCCTATTTCTAATAATTTAAGAATAAATTCATTTTTCTAATTAATATACCGAAACCGATTTTTTTGTGGATTAAGCTATTAAATCTATATCTAATGGATAGATAAATAATGAAATAGATTTAGAATGATTAAAATACTTCGATAAATATACTAAGAACCGAAGAAAGGATAGATATCAAATATTGATATTAGATAAGCATAAAAGCCATAAATCAAGAGCTTTTTAAGTATATTGCAAAGAGAATAATATTATATACTTAAGTCTACCACTGTATTCAAGTTATTTAATTTAATCACTTAATATAAACTGTTTTAATAATCTGAAATATTTATATAGTAATCAAATTGATGGATTTATTAAGATATATATTAATCATATTTTGAAGGTTGAATTCTTTATAGCTTTTAAAATTGTATATAAAGAATCGATTATTTTTCAGAATATAAAATTAGAATTTCGAGGAATAGATTTAATTCTATTTAATTCTGAAACTATACTCTCGAAATTAAATATTCGAATTCGTATATCTACCCCCCCCTTTTTCAATCTAAATCAATGGATCTCTCAAATTCCTTATAATCTAATTGAAGTTTTTTTTTAATCAATATTAATCAAATCTTGAATAACTTGTTATCAATCAAGTTCCCCTATACCTATATTTGAGATTATATTAGCTTTAATTAGAAATACAGAGAGATTAGCTTATAAGAATATACTTTTAAATACAGAAATTTGTATACTTCGAAAGACAAATAAGATATTAAATAAGCATTAATATGTGAAAAAAACCTAATTATATTAAAAAGGAATATTTATTAAACAAAAGGCTTTTAATATATTATTTTAGCAAAAGATTGATATTTAGATTTAATACAACAAGTATTAAAAAGAAATAAATTCTAATAAAGAAATGTCTTTTAATTAATACTATAATAAATATGGAAAGACAGATTATAATATAAGAATCTATCAAAATGATATAATAGATCCTAGATTATTAGAATCTTTATAGTTTTAATTAATTGATATTGTTGTTATTGAATAATATGATTTTGAATAAGTGAATTGAGGTGAAAGTGATCCACTCACTGATATGACCCACTCACTGATAAAACACGTTAATATTTAAATTATTAAATAAATCTATAAACAAAAAGATATTAGTTTTAATAGAATTGAAAATGTGGTTTAAGAAAAGAAATTATAGAAATAGATTAGGTGTAGATACTTGGTTAGTTATTTTTGAGATATTTTTGTAATTGTAAAACAATTTTATAGAATTCCTGAATAATAGTAATTAGAATATGCAATAAATTAGTAATAAATATAATCAATATGATCGGGTTATAACTTCGATGGGAATTTAATTAAAATAAAGCTATAACGTTAATAGTTTTTATAAAAATAGTACAAACTGTTAGGGTATGGGTAAAAACTTATATTATACCATAAGAGTAAAAGAACTATAAAAGAGTAAGGCCCTATTTATAAGAGGTAGGGCACACTAGTGGTCTATGCCTGAGGCACGAAGGCAACTATAGAACATGTAGTTGGCGCCGTGACATATATATAATTCTTATTATAAAATCTATTTTATTGAAATTATAGAAATTGTTATTAAGAATACTATATTTCATTCATGTATTTAAAATCAATTGAAATCATTCTTTAATAAACTTAGAATCTTTATAAAAAACTTTTTGAAAATTATAAATATAATTAAAATATATTTTTAATTCTAAATAATACTTTATAAATCAATATATTTAAAACTTTCTAATATACTTTATATTTTTTGATTCAAGAATATAATTTGTTATATCTTTTATATCTTTAAATTTAAATAGAAATTTTTTTATATTTATATTAAATATATATTCAATAATTATTTCCTTTTCTATTTTTATAAAATTATAATAATTTACTTGAATCTCTATTTGATTATTTCAATTGTTGATTTTATTATATAATATAGATTAAAATATTACATAGATTTTCATAGTTTTAATAATTAATAGATTTTTAGATTTATAAATAACTTTAATAATTAAAATAATTCAAGCTTTTTTTGATAATATTTTTATAATAATTTATTGGAATATTGTATATTGAAATTGAAATAGTTGAATAGTATAAAAAGTGGCAACCTGGTGATATTGGTGATCTGGTGATAAACCATGTTATTGGAATATCTATGGTTCTTTGTAACTTACTTCGATTATGCATTCCTGATAAGCAGGGGGAGTCACCATTTCGAGCAGTGCTCGCAATAAATGGGACACATGATACAGCTTAATCGAATAAACCATAGATCAACTTAGACTAGATACTATAAATTGATAACTCGTGAGATATTCTAAACAGATTTTAGCCTAAGAGTTTTGGGGGTTGGATGAATCAGTAGTAAACTCTTGATCGATTCAATCTATCTATCTGTCCATGCCTAGCTAATGCTACACTGGATATGCAATCCACCTATACATCTTACCGAATAGAAAATAAATAAGAAGATCCTCCCATCCCCCTGAACACCCTCCGAGTCTGTTGTGATAAGATCCTGTCCATCACTTACAGCCCGTGATACCCATACGTTCGAAAACGATTGTTACTACATTGCTTCGAATCCATCTTACAAGTTGGTAATATGTGATCTGCCGCACACCCGCTGAAAGGGTATTTATTATAAATCCTTAAATTCTGAATTCCGGCCTCGCTTTCAGATCTAATTTGATTTTGTAAGCTTACTTCAGATCTAAAGCTAACTAGTCATATTTTATTGTGAATACCTACTATAGGTAAGTTCCACTCACTCAATGAATAGGATACCGGGTAATCCCATAGTCTTTATCGAACTAATAGTTTGGATTGGCTTTGGTATCGATTCGCATCATCTCGAGCTGATCATCTCGTTTTCGTAGTAAAGGGGTTGTAATGATTCTGCAAAATCACCACTTATTCCAGGTTTATAATTTCAGGGTACAGAAACTATAACGACCTACCTAGGTACTCATGAAATACATAGGAATTGTATACTAACGCTATATTGTGTATGGATATACACTCGTATTGCACCCATATCAGGCATAGATGCCAAGTTCGGTAGAGGCTTTCTGGAGAGGTAATCATTGTGCCCGGAAGAATGAATCTGGTTGATTGAATGTTGGAATTACTTTGCTTTTACACTGAAATATATGTTTTGTTAATACCTACGGTTCATTGTATACCCAGTTCCGCTTCGTTTGTAATATAGCCACAGTAGCGAATTTGGTACAGCGGACATGTTCTTTCTATTTAAGTTAGAAGTATGATCGACCAAGTACAAACTCATCTTCCGTCACCATTCTCAACACTATCAGAATCGTGATACTCGATACTCAACAGTCTACCTGATCGATTCATCTGCAACAACAACATGTCTACTAATAACGCTTAGTTACTGTTGGGTTGACTTAGTAAAGGGGTGTATTGAGTTCAGTAGTATTATAATTCATGTCTGCCCCCTTCGTACGAAGGGGGCATTGCTAAGCTATATACGCGAAGTGCGTGAGTGGGGTAGAACGTGACATGTTCTCAGTCACGTGTTCCAACAGTTACTAGATTTACACGGATCAAGTCCGATTTCATACATCCCGCAAGATAGCGGCAGCGACGATACAAGCAATACCGACGCGCAGAGTCCCGCCGTTCTCGACACAATTTCTCAGCTCCATGCTCAGAATACCCAACTCCAAGACAAAAATACTGAGCTGCGCATTCAGAATGCGCAGCTGCAAACTGAAGCCGAGAATCACGTCGCCATTTCGGAAATGCAAGGTCGATTTGCGCAGCAACTGAAACAGGAGCACCCGGAGTGCGGATGGTATTTTTGCATGGTTTGCGTCTTGATTTGGTTTTGCCGTTGAGGATACCTAGCTACCTAGGTATTGGGCATTTGGGATGGAGGAAGGGAGATGGGGTGTGTGGATTTGGAGACTGTGGAGAGGGTTGGGAGGACTGCTGATAATCTTCGGGTTGAGAAGATTGGTGTTAATCTTTTTGTTGGGTTGTTAGGATTTATTGGCTTATTCAACTTCTGGTTGGAGGGTTGATACTTGATAGGAGCATTTATAAATTGGTACGGGGTGGGCACTCGGTGTTGACGGCAGGTTGGAAGGATTCAATCTGGCTATCAAGGTCCGGTTGAATTAATAAACTATGATACAGAGAAATGTCTTCTTCACTTGGCATATACTCGTAGCTTGTCAATCGCAAGAAAAATGAAAGTCTAGGCATCTTGAATAACCAAATATCATTCGCCCTTTCTCAATATACTCTTGATGTTTAAAGAATATCAATTTCAGTTGTATGGCTATTGATCTCAATTTGTGTGATACATTACAAATTTACATGATGATGATGATGATGATGGTGATGCCATATCCACACAAAGATGGAAATTTAAGTGAGACTTAATGATATTATGTATCTAGTATCTGAGGAATAGGATGTTGAGAGCGGAAAGGGAGGTGGAGGTCGTTAGGCTGAGATATTTTTGGTTTTGATCAGAAATCATGACTGGGCTAGACGTCCGTTACATATTTTTGATCATCGTTGGATTCTCATGCTTTACAATTGAGGTTCTCGGTCTTCTGTACCACTTTAGGTCGATCAATAGTGCGATACAATATCGTTGATATATCCTCCTCAAATTTCCCCTTGAGGGACTACAGCCTGTTATCTTCACTTGATTCCACGCCAGACTACCTCTCAGGTTACTTAATACTATTTTCTCTTGTCAGAACAATGACCCGTTCGCGAGCCGCACCAGTGAGATTGATGGAAGAGTATGTCGAGAGTGAGGATCGATAGTCTATGTTAAATGCTTCAAAATGAAAGGCAAGAGCGGGTCTACATTTAAAAGGGATCCTTTTTTTATTATGTATCTTCTTCACAAAAAGTGTTTGCTATATCGAGATACTATGAGAAACGGAATCAATTGGTGGCAGTTAAATACCTTTTATACCACAGAATTGAGAACTTGTAAGGCATATTTATACTTGCGTACAAGCGGCTCGTTTCTTGAGGGGATAAATAAAGACTCAAAGTTATAAGAGACTTCCCCAACAGAAGCTTCTACTTGTAGGGTCTTTGATGTATTACTCACTGCTCGAAGGAAGATCGACTATTCAGGAAAGATGTACCTTGTCCTGCGAATCCTTCCCATAACTTGCAGGACAAGAGTAAAAATTGATTTAAGATGATAGTCGGCATTTTGAATTTCCTGTCTGTCTTATCAAAAACGAAATGTTTAATCTAAACAGAAAACATGCTGTCATCCTGTCATTTGAACTAGGAATAGCCTCCGCTATTGCTTCAAAGTTGTATCTCACCCGCGGATCTACTCGAGACTTGTCTGAAAGTGCCCATGAGAGGAGAAGAAACCCCCAAGAATAACACAGGTGACAAGCATCAAAGGGACCCTTCAGGAAGCCACAGCAGTGGATCGAGGATCCATGAAGGCCTGGATATATCTTGTACATGTCTGCCAGTCGCTTCTGAAATAGTCAACTTTCAAGAAGTCAAGAAGATCATGTCAGCCTTTGAAGAGGCGGGAGAAAACGATTGTGAGGGATCTAACCGATATGTATATCGGGACAAGATAATCGAAAGGTTCCGTTTGGGTATCGAGAAATTGTCATGTGAGACACTCAAAGAAATTTACGAGAGCATCATGGGGAAAAGTTTTCAGAAGAACGGAGCACGAATAACCAAAAAGAAGTGAGGAGATAGATGGGAGAGCAGCTGAGAGACTTCATATGCAGCCGAGGATTATGTACATCGTGGAACGTCCTACACTAGCTAGTCTAATCTACTTTTAGTGAGTAGTGAAGAAGCGGAGAGAAGTTGCAGAATAATGGCAAATTTCTAGAGCAGATTAATTTGAAGAAAAGGAAATGAATTCATATTAATTAGACAGACATATCGAGCAAGTAGAAGGTGTTCATTTGAGAATTCCCCCAGTAGCCCATGGAAGCGTGAACCAAGCATGAATTTTGGAGTTTCATTTCAGAAGCTCACCAAGAACCCATTGTATTGATCTCAGACAACAACCACTTGATCTATCGAATGTTAAATCCATAAGGTGTTCTTATTTTCAATTGATGAAGATTCATGTTTGTTCGTTGACAAAATTTGGATGGAGGAAAGAAACTCGCACACCTTTTAATAAGTACCTAGGAAGGATTCACCGCCATTGTGGCAGAATGTTGGAGAAATTTCGCAAAACTCCCATTCTATCTAGAGAGTGGTCAACTGAAATATATTCACGTTGGCCATGGTATTTTGTCTTGTGTGTTTCTGATTTCACAATACTTACATAAATATGCAGATATCGATCAAAATCTGTCAATACCAATGTCTTATTTCAAGGTTAGCACCAGCTTCAACAATGCCAAAACTCAACATGGACACCAGCTCACCCGCTTCAATATAGCATAACCACTCATTGAGCCCAATTTTGGCAGTCGAATTTTACCATACTTCTACTGGTAAATTGTTAATTCTTGCGGCCGAGGGTTCTTTTTTAAAGATATATGATGCCAGAACTTCCAACCAGGTTGGTCAATGTAGAGTCTTTGACTCACAGGCGATTCACGGTATCATTATTAGGGAATTGAATAATTGTTCCATAGAGAATTTGCAGGTAGTTATTTGGGGTGGCCAATGTTTGACCTTAATCCGCAAATCGCAAATTGAGGAAATCATATCTCAACATGTGACCAGTATTACGGAAACTGCGACATCAGCCAGTGACTGGGTTCTCAGTGTTGCCTTTTGTCCTTGGGAAAATGATGGCTGTGTCATGGTTACTGCCCATAATGCAATGGTTCAAGCAACGCTATCAACAGAAGACAGAATCATAAGGTTGCGTCAACTACAACCTTCCTCGCGATCTATGTTGTACTCTGCAAGTCTCGTTTGCGAGAACCAAGATACTGTCATAGTTGCAGCAGGAACTATCTTTGGTGAGGTCATTGTTTGGAAATGTGTTGCTGCTGAAGATAACTCTATATTCCACAATGAAGCCCTTTTTGTTTTCACTGGTCACGAGGGTTCCATTTTTGGAGTGGATATATCTCCACCGATCATGGCCCATGATGGAAAGACGACACGATTACTAGCAAGCTGTAGCGACGATCGTACAATACGGATATGGAATCTTGCGGAGGGCTCACAAAATGATGCAGACGCTATGAAGTTAGCTGCCGACTTACTGCCAAGAGAGACAGGCTTTGGAGAGACAGCAAAACCCCAGCAAGACTCCAATGGCTTCAACCGATGTATTGCGGTAACAATGGGTCATGCGTCTCGTATATGGGGTGTCAAATTTCACTGTCCTGATATTTCAACATTTGGTACCTCGCCAATTACTATTCTTTCTTTTGGAGAAGATTCAACAGCTCAGCAATGGACACTGGAACTTGGGAGCGAGCTTCAAAATGGAACCAAAACCTCTGATTTTTCCAAAACTAGCTCAAATAATCTTGCTAAGTTGACACATATCAAAACTTTTGCATTTCATACTGGAAAGCACATTTGGTCAGCAGCTATCACTCAAATAGAAAACAATCAAAATTTGCTTGTCACTGGTGGAGCAGATGGAAAAATTTCAACATATTGTTTTGAAGAGGAGAGAAAAACAAACCCAACTCCGATTGATGCGTCGAGCAACAATGCCGTGGAAAACTCTGTAATGGATAATTCTGTCGAAGGCTCATATTACTCGGTAGCTTTCGAGCTCGAAGATATGTTGAAGTCTCTTACTACCATTGAAACTTGTTCCAATGAGGAACATGAGCAAGAGTCCGTCGTATCGAAGAAGAACAAGAAGGCGCCTAAAGATGCCTTCAATCGCTATGCATTTGTATCCGAAAGTGATTTCCTGATTACGACAACATTTGGAAGAATCCTCAAGGCCACTATTGGAAATCAGGTCAAGTTCGAGGAAATTTTTCTACCCGAATCCAGCACTCCAGATCTTAAATCATATTCTATCTTGAAAGGAAACTCAAAACTGGGATTATGCGTTTTGGCGGGCACCAATGGGAAGATATTCTTGTATCAACCAGGACTGCCCATCGTTCAAATAGGACAAGTTGAGCGAAAACCATCGGATGTTTTCATCGTCCCAGGGAATGGCAATAAATCAATTGAATTATTGGTTACATTGTTGGGAACACAAGAACTGACAATATTGTCTTTTACCCTGGAATCTCCTGGCTCACAACCTATTATCGACAGAAGAACTCTCTCACTACCCTCGAAATTTATAGTCACAGGTGCTGGTACATGTAACGGCCATCTCATCATTGGCTCTAGAGAAGGCCAAATCGCGGTCCAAGACACTAACACAAACACGATGAGCACATGGAACTCACCTGGTAAGAAGGATGCAATTACTTCCATTGTTGCTGTACCTAAGAGTGGTTCTCAGCAAACAACAAGTTATTTCGCAATCACAAGTCGAGATGGGTTATATGCCATGTTTTCATACGTCAATGAAGCTACACCAAAAATTTCATGCGTACATTCTGCTACACCACCATTCGGACCCATGATTGAAGCTTGTTGGTTTCAAGGGTCTGATTTAATTTTATATGGCTTTAAAAGCAAGAGTCTCATCATATGGAACGAGACCAAACAGTCTGAGATTATGCGTATTGACTGCGGAGGTGCACATCGAGCTCATGCATATTCTCCATTCGGAGGAGCGCAGGGAGGTGGTAGTGGTCACTTGATATATACAAAAGCATCACAACTATTCCTTCATTCCCAGAAAGTTCCTTCTCATCGCAACATCAAACCCGGCGGACATGGGCGAGAAATAAAAACTTGTGCCATAGGAGGCTCTCCACAAATGATAGCCACTGGTGCCGAAGACACCAATATCAGAATCTGGCGTTACGAGAACACCCATCCCCAAACACCGAATCAAAACCCCAATCCACAAACTCTCACCTGCCTTTCCACAATCCAAAAACACACAGCAGGTCTCCAACATCTACACTGGCACAATTCGCACTATCTCTTCAGCAGCGGCGGCGTGGAAGAATTCTACATCTGGCGCATCCAAGCTATCCCTGGCTTCGGTCTCGGAGTCATATGCGAAGCTTCTTGTCCCGATCCCACTGCTGAACAAGATTTACGCATCATGTCTTTTGACGTATCGGATATCCCTGGAAGTAACCACGAAGAAATGATCATCACGCTTGCGTATTCGGATTCGACTTTGCGCACATATCTTTATTCGAGGATTAGTGGATGGAAGTTACTGGTCAGGGGTCAATATACATCTGCATGTTTGATGCAAATAGGCCATCTGCAAGTTTCTCTCTCGGAACTCACTTTCCTAACTGCGGCTACGGATGGAAGTCTCTGTATCTGGAGTGCTCCTCTCGATCTCTCCCATCAACTTCGAACCCCCGCAGAAATTCCAACCTCTCCCCCACAGACCTCCGAACCCATCCTCATCTCCCACACCAAAATCCATCAAAACGCTATCAAAACCCTCGCCTTCAAATATGTCTCCATGTCTAACACCACCCCTCCACATCTCGTAGCCATCACCGGCGGCGACGATAACGCAATCGGTGTAACACTCTATCCCATCTCCTCTTCTGTCCCCAATACAAATCCCAATACTTTCCAGAAACCCATCACCATACTTCTCCCCAATGCACACGCGGCCGCTGTTACAGGACTGGTGTTCATTTCTCGTCCTCATCTTCGTTCTGTAGATACTACAGATAGTGCAGATAAGAAGAAAGAGGAAACGTACATCGTGTCTTCTAGTACCGATCAGCGGGTAAAGACGTGGCGGGTTGGGATTTCTTCTTCTTTTGCAGCTACATCTACAGCTACAACCGCAAGAGAAGAGACATGTCCAGTAGATATCGAGATAATTGGAGATGAATTTACGGCGGTGAGTGATATCGGGGATGTGGGTTTAATTCCTGGGGTTGATGGGAATGAGAATGAGGCGAAAGTGATTATTGTAGGGAATGGAATGGAGATATGGGGATTGGGAGAGACGAAGTAGAAGTTTGAGATTGGAATTGATGGGCGGGGAAGATAGTATAGCATAGCATGATACGATACGATAAAAAATAGGTATAAAAAGGGAAAAGATTCTTTACGAATTCATTACATCATTATTCTAAATGGCGACTAGGCAACTATGATAAATGCCAATGAGCTAGCTAGCCTTTCTACTCCTCTTTCTCCATGCTTTAATTTCCTTCAGCACATTCATGACCAGTGGTACACCCACGGGTCCCAACAATGGCATATAAACCGCGACTTTGTGTTCATCCGGGAAATACACTTGGCCCACCATACTCTTTTCGAAAAATGCTTTTTCTGCCGCCTCTTCCGCGATACGCGCATGAACCAATCCGTCATTGCCTCCTAATCCATCACATGCTTTCCTCAAATGTTCGATAGTTGTGTAGACGCCATCTTGCACGGATTCCGGTATGCTGATTGAAGGAAGCGCGTTAGTCAATCGCGCTAGACTTCCCAGTGTCCCGCTTGCTTTCAGAAGAAGGCCTGCGCTGCGCACGCGTACTAGTGTCATTAGGCGTAGAGGAAGAGACCCGGTTTCGGGGGCACCCATTAAGGACATTAGTTGAGTTGAGAAAGTAAGCATTGCGGGGCGTAAATCTGAGATGTCGGATTGAATCACTACGCCACCCCACTGAGGGATCAACCAACTCTTTCCACCACCTTCGACCTCCATATCGCCTGCATAGAGAATGAAATTGATGGTTGGTGCGCCGCCGATACTAGGACTTAAAGGCCATTCTGCGGCATTGATGAAGCCGCTTAGATCCTCTTTTCGTAGGACATTTCCGCTAACACCGGGGGTAGCATATAGTTGGACTTGAGTATCGATCGTAAAATTGCTGATTGAGGTAAAGCTATCAAGTAATGGTTTCATATGTTCCTCTAGTGCAGCTTCAATATCCCAAGATGAGGGGGTCGCAGTTGGAGTAAAGAGGGAAAAGGTCAAATGATAAGTCCCAGAGTATTTCAATGAACGCGTTGTCCATTTGGCTAGAGTATCTGCCACTTCTGGCGCCAACGCTTTTGGACTCCTCTCTGGTGGGGCAGAACTGGTAGAAAGAAGATATGCAATCATGGCTTGTTCTTCGGCAAACACACCCCTCAACGTATTCGCAATATACGTCGCTAAAGAAGATGATGATGACGAACTCGAAGGGATCTGATTTGGAGGATAGTATATATCTAAGATGGGCGCATATGCTTGTAAATTCGCCGATGATGCTGTTCCGGGTAAAAGTTTAATAGTCAAAGCAACATCCTCTCCCATGCCCCCATATGAGAACCCATTTGTAGTCGCGGAAGCATTGTTCGGCGGGGAAAGCTGCAATCGTAGATGATGGGCGGAGAAATCATTTAAATCATCAAGAGCATGTTGTGTAGTTCGTAGAAGATTTTGAGCTTCATTTTCTTGTAATGATTCGGCTTCTATCGAGATTGTGAGTGGAAATACTGGTCGACATGCCTACGTTCTTCAATTAGTTTTAGCTTTCTCTGTATATGATATTAACATACTCTTCCTTCGGCCCAATCTGTCATCTGATCCAAAGGTAATGGCGCTCTGTAGATTGTAGTCGTCCTCCACCATATTGGCACACCAAGTAACAATATAATAGCCCAGAAAGAAATTAGAACTTGGATTCGCATGCGAGCATTTTCGGGCTTCTCAGGAGGGGGCTCCTTTCTTTTCTTTACTGCTGTCACAGCATTTTCGGGTGATTTATCATCATAAAAGATTTTCACATCTTCATCTACAGTTTCTGTCAGACCTGAGGATGCAGGCTCATTTGTTGATATTGTCATTATGAAGTTTGGATGTCCATTTGTTGATAAGTAGGTACCCAGGTAGGTATGTATGTATGTTTTGATATCGTGGAAAGATGCGCCGCTATCTGCGACAAGCAAGTTTTAGCGACAAGAAGGCTGCTATGAATTGAAATGGATGGACGAGGCTGAATGAGAATTACAAGGCTGAGCCGATGCTTCCGTTGTGGCTCGAGCCCGATAAGGTTAAAGTTGCGTTCTAAGCCTCTGATAGCGGGGACCAGTAGACACTTCACGTGATATTCTCACCAAGTACCTGGTACCTACCCTTACTCTAGTATTTCAAGGGAGTTTCCGTCATATGTCAAACTTCATTGGGAAAAAGATCCGAAGATCCCAGAAAACCGTTAATTGATCAGGTTTTAATTCATCCAACCAAATACATGAAATCAATCAGTGAATCCACCGTCGAGTGTCTTCATCCCATCAGTCGTCGTATGAGGCCAATTGTCATCCGTCCCTATCCACACATACCTAGGCACCTATCCATACATATCCATACACGCAGAGCGCGGCCATACAAACGAATTCAGAGAACGGAGAAGATATTTGTCTGTGAACTCCACATGAATCGCATAAATTGCCAATTTGTGCTATGATTCGTGAGTAAGAGGAAAAGACTGTGCAATGACCCTTAAATCCTGACTCTGCACTGAACATTCTCGTCGGATATGGAACCGCTTTCGCATCATCTGCAGCTTATTCGTTATTATATTCCGAGTATAATGCCTCAGAATCAGCCATACTGTGCGAGGAAGCCGTCCTCCGTGCCGAGGCATACATACCATGTGAGGAATGAAACTCCCCAAAAGGGTCCAACGGCGAGATGTACACATGCATACCCAGACTTCACCCATATTAATATATGTACGGTAAGTTTTTAAGGTACAGTCTTTCTCTCATATCTTCCTTGCCGTCGTCGTCTCTTTCTCCATTCAAATCCTCTTTTCGCACTGAATTCATTCTTTAGATCTAAAGAATCTGGAATTTTATAACTACATGAACATCAAATCTCTCATCTAGGCAATCAATTCTAACAGCATTGCTGCGCTATCCTGACTGGAAAGCTGGACTGGTTCTTGAATGCAGCATTCAAAAGTGAATTGACTACCAGATACCGTATTTTTACGAAGCTTTATCAGTGTTCGTCTGACAACTAGAAATACTTTTACTACATTGTTATCACAATGCCAAGTCAGCTCACATCGCTCCATCCACAGAATGAGTTCGAAATACTAACAATTCAATAGTCCCATTGGCTTTAGCAGCTCCGGCAGCTTTGGCTGGTTTGGCATACGCCAATGCGAAGCTTTCTTTGAGCTACGATTATCAATTATTGGGTGCTGCATTAAAAGCATATTCCTTTACCAGTAAAAGAGAAAAAGATGATCGTCTCAACATGTTTTATATACTCGAAGAGCATGCGAAAGGAAAATTCGCAAACGACACATTCATTATCTTCGAAGGCAAGAAATGGACATTCAAGGAAACGTACGATATAGTCTTGAAATATGGAACATGGCTGAAAACCACCCACAATGTTAAGCCGGAGGAGATTGTTGCTATGGATTTCACCAATTCAGATAATTACTTCTTCTTGTGGTTTGGATTATGGAGTATAGGTGCCAAACCAGCCTTCATTAACTACAACTTGACGGGCAAAGCATTATCCCATTGTGTCAAAGTCTCCACTGCAAGGTTATGTATCGTGGATCCAATGGTTGAAGAGAAACTGACGCAGGAAGTTCGGGATGAGCTTCCGGATATCTCTTTTCAGATTCTCACTCCTGATGTAGAGGCTACGATTATTTCCACTGAAGGTATTCGAGAGCCGGATTCTACTAGATCCAAGCAAACAAAGTCAATGATCGGAATGTTGATATACACCAGTGGTACAACAGGTTTACCAAAACCCGCAGTCCTGGCTTGGGGGAAGGCAAACTTTGGATCGACTATCATGCCAAAATGGAGTGGATACAAACGACCCGATGTCTTATATACTGTGCGTCTACCTCTTCATTTTGTATTTCGAAATACTAATTTCTGTAGTGTATGCCTATGTACCATTCTGCTGCTAGTGTTCTTGCTGTCTTGGCAGCTCTGAACATGGGGGCAACAATATGTATCGGCAGAAAATTTTCTACAAAAACATTTTGGAAGGAAGTTCGAGAATCAAACGCGAATGTTATTCAATATGTCGGCGAAGTCTGTCGCTACCTTCTATCCGCACCTCCCCAACACGATCCCGTGACAGGCGAAAATCTAGATAAGAAAAACAATGTTAGAATGGCGTTTGGAAATGGCCTAAGACCCGATGTATGGAACAAATTCAAGGAACGATTCGATATCAAAACTATTGCTGAATTTTACTCCGCTACTGAAGGTGCAGGAGCTGGCTGGAACTATTCCAATAACGAATTTAGCAGAGGCGCAGTGGGTCGTAACGGATTTATTTACTGGCTTGTATTGAGGAAAGGATGGGCTGTGGTTGAATTGGATGTTGAAACGGAACAACCCCATCGATCGAAAAGTACCGGATTTTGCACCAAAGTACCTTATGGAACTCCAGGAGAAATGCTGTACAAGCTCGATCCCGCCGATATAAGTGCCGGGTATCAAGGGTATTTTAATAATGAAAGCGCCTCCGATAGTAAAGTATTACGAAACGTTTTCGAAAAGGGTGATGCATGGTTTCGAACAGGCGATATCATGACGTGGGAAAATGGTGAAAATGTCTTCTTCAATGATCGAATCGGCGATACATTCCGTTGGAAATCGGAAAATGTATCAACAAACGAAGTCGCAGAAGCATTATCTAGCCATCCGGCTATTCAGGAGGCAAATGTCTATGGAGTTTCCCTGCCCCATCATGATGGACGAGTGGGTTGCGCAGCTGTTACTCTAAAAGATCACAGTCCGAGTATCATGAAGGATTTGGCAGTCCATGCGAAAAAATCACTGCCGAGTTATGCAGTACCGGTGTTTTTGAGAGTTAAGAAAGAGGGAGAGGAAATGGAGATTACGGGCACGGTGAAAATGGTTAAACATGTGATCCGGAAACAGGGAGTGGATCCGAAGGCGATCGAAGAGAGTGGGGATCAGATGTGGTGGTTGACAGGGGATGAATATGTGAAATTTGGTGAGAAGGAGTGGAATGAATTGAATGGGGGCAAGGTCAAACTTTAGGTGAGCTTGTTTTGGGCTTTGAATTTTGAACCGATGAATGCGGATAGGCGTCTAAGCGGTGGAATGGAATTGGAGCAATGGGAATGTGCTTGGTGTTTGGTATTGCATAGGCTCTGGTCGACTGGTTGGTTTTGTTGTACTATTTAAATCAGAAGAGATAGGAAGATTCATGAAAATTTGTTCCTATAACATACATTGTGCAAGTTGCAATTGGTTCCGACCCATCATATCACAAGACATTATGTTCAGATCTCATAATTGAAGATTGTGTTTAATGATATCTATATATATCAACTCGAGATTGCCAATACGTTCCCTATTCATATTATCACCCATAGTGTTAAGCAGTATCGGAGAGTGCATAGGAAAGAGAAAGAGACGGAGAAGAAAAGGAAAAGAAGAACAAAAAGAAAAACGAAAGAGATCATTTTTGCCATTATTTGCACACGGATCAGAGTAACAGTTTCTTCGCCAAACCCCCTTAGCTATCATCATTCTGTTGCGCGCGCAACTACATTCCCAAATCCAAACATCAAGATTCATTACTAACGCTACCCCAATTCAATCCGATCCAATCCATCACTTGCGCACCCTCTCAATCTCACCCCCTCAATCTCAACCACCCCCCTTTTCTCCACTTCACCCCCTCTCTCCCATACAGCAACCCTTCTCTTCTCCCCTCATCCTCCACACTCGCCAGCAGCTCCTCCAACATCCGAAAATCAATCGGTTTGAGGATCCAGCCGTCAAAACCACGGTCGATATACTCATCTCTTTTTGATTCTTCGAGAGAAGCCGAGACGGCGATGATGGGGAGTCGGCCGTAGAGTGATGCGCGGGGGGAGGTGGGGGGGAGGGGGAGAGTGCTGGTTAGGAAGGAGCGGATCAGGGTTGTGGAGGAGAAACCGTTGAGGATGGGCATCTGTGGGGTGGGGAGGAGGTTAGTGTGGTTTAAGTGTGGGAGAGTGGAAGTGGAGGGGAAATTCCGAACCTGTATATCCATCAAAACAATATCAAAACCATCCGGTGTAGCCATCACGGCTTCCGCACATGCTTGCCCATTAATCTTCACCGTAACCACATGTCCTCTTTTCCTGAGCCGTTCTTCCAACAGTCGACTATTCAGCGGATTATCTTCTGCGACGAGGACATTGAGATTGCGGATCTCGGGTTGGGAAGGCAAATCCATGATGGGGAAGGGATATTGCAGTTGGTAATTGGGATTGGTGGTTACGGATTTGGCGGAGAGGGATTGAGAGGGAGATGGAGAGGGAGAGGAGTGCGGACAGGTGCTGGGTGTAGGTATTGATGTGGGGGATTCGATGATTTTGGTTGTGGAGGTGAGGAAGGGGTCTTTGAGGGGGGTGGAAGGAGGGACTTGGAATCTTTCGGGGGTGTTGTATTGGAGGTCATTTTCGGAATCTGGAGTCTTGGTACTGGTGGAGGGAGCGGGAGCATCTTCTTGTGGTGTTCTGGCAGTGAAGTGATGTCCACTCTGGGATTTGCGGAACGGGATTGAAACTGTGACGGTGGTTCCATGCCCAGGCTCGGTGTTGATTACTATTTTGCCGTCGTTAAGTCGGACGAATCGTGCTGCGACGGCGAGACCGAGACCGATGGAGGATTTTTCTCCGTTGAGACATGGCGGTTCGTCTACATCGTCATCGTCGTCGAGGACTTTCTCGAAGTCTTGGAATATGCCGTCGAGTTCTGGCCTAGGAAGATACGGGATTAGTCTCTTGTCATGAGAAAAGTTAGGACTATGTATTCCATGAGTGGAAACTTACTCAGTAAATCCAGAACCATTGTCAGTAAAGAACATCTCGACTCGAGTCTTATCATCATCAGATTCAACATTTTTCAGTCCAACAACCACATCGCCAGCAGTTGAATGCTTCACAGTGTTTGACAGTAAATTAGTAATCATCTGTCTCAAACGCACGCCATCACATTTTACCACGGGAGGAATGTCAGTACTTTCGGCGAACCTGACATTGAGACTCTTCTTTTGACACTCATCACCAAAATCATGGATGACATCGTTCATCATTTCTGCTAAAACAACATTATCATGCGACATTTCAGGATCTTCTCCTTCCGCCTCTGTCAAGCTGAGAAGATCATTCACAACAAGGATAAGAGATCTTGATGCACCTAAAGACTTCTCTAGGTGTAGACGGGCTTGGTCGTCGAGAACTTCCTCGAGTGCTATTTCGAGATACCCAATTATAGCATTCAAAGGGTTTCGAACTTGTGAAAATTAGTAATACACGACGGCTTCCATATTTTGAATGCGTACCTTCAGCTCCAGCTTGTCGAATCAACAATCGTGTCATTCGGTTTTGTTGCACAATAGCTTCTTTTTGCCTCCAGACCTCAATGAATCTTCCATATAATGCACTTAGAACACCTGCAGACTCGACTGAGAGACTCCATATTAGACACCATAAATAAAGCTTGGGGACAAACCAACCTTGTTCTCGTGTCCATTCCCGACTAGTGCCTATAACACGCTGACTCCATCTCTTGAAACTTGCCCTTGGCTCAAGATACTCTGTACCAGGCTTATATATTTTCTCATTTGGATTTCCAGCCCACTTGACCTCTTTTAGCTGACCCTTACGAAAAAATACCAAAAAGTCTGATCCTGACAGAGACAATGGAATCACCAGGAATCCTGAGATCAAAACAAAATGCGCAGGAAACATGATATCTGTACAGTCCGCAGAGATATTCTGAGTGTAGAAGACAGACGTATGCGACTTCTTGCGGATATACTGAAGTAGAGAAATACTTTCATTGTAGGCGTACAAACGCCCAATTGTTCTTGCCTCGTCTTTAATGGCCAAGAACCCAAAATCTGCTTCAAACATTTGCAATAAATCTCTGGATGAAGCAGCGACATATTGTGATGGCGAAGTTTTAGGAGGCGCTTTTCCGAGATGTCGTCGTGCTTGTATCCGAGAGAGATAGGTTAATTTCTCAATGTTGTTGCTTGTACAGTCTCCTAAACTTCGGCAGAGCTCCCTCATTGGGAACGAAACCCTCTTTCCTTCTAGGCCATAATCATGACATGAGATCAAACCCCATAATCGACCTTCTACTATCAAAGAGATGGAGAATGAAGCCCGTACACCCATGTTTGTCAGATATTTGATGTGAACGGGTGACATGGCCCTTAAATATGCTGATGAAAGATTGAGGTTTTTGGGATTATATTTTCCAGTTGAAGACATAAGTCTGGCTGTCTTTTCCGTTCGATCATAGAGTAATCTTATCTTGTTAAGTGCATAAAGCTGCCGAGCCTGAATTGGTATGTCGGTATTCGGAAACTTGAGGCCACGGTAGAGATCCAATGATGCTCTCTCATCAATGTACTCTGCTCTAACCAACCCTGCATTATCTTCATCAAACTGATAAGCCATGACCCTGTGAAATCCGGTCAGATCAAAGACAAGACCAACAACTATGTCGAGTAGAGATGCTATAGAGGTAGCTGAATTCAGCTGCTCCTGAACCTCACAGCCGAGATGAAACATTTCCATCTCGCCGAGCCTGTTCTTGGTCCTCTGTATCGTGCGAAACGGCTCACTATATTTTGTGGTTGATACAACTCGCTCCTCCTCTGTAGCTTGGTTATCGATAATATTGACCTGTTCTCCAGGCAGGTTCCAGTTCTCCGGAGGGACGTCAGTCATCAAATTATTCTTCGCCTCAAACTCGCATATGAACAAGCCCGCATCCTCACGGAAGTGTAAAGCACAATACATAGGGATATAAGGAATTGACTCCAGCATCGTGGTAAAAATATCTGGATGTGCTTTAAGATGTTCTTTTTGATGCCAGAGCTTTCTGGATTCAATTCTGGCTCTAAAGTCCAATTCGTACACTGGAGTTAGCAATTGAGTGAAGCATGGTAGTGCGAAAAGATCTTCAGGCTTGCGGCCAATAATACTTTCTGCATTCTCACTTGCAATCCGGACCAAGAAACGGCCATCGTCCTTTTCCTCAATAGCTAATAATGCCCCAAAGCTTTGAATGGATCCAGGAATTTGAATGGGTTCGTCTTCACAACGACGAACAATCTCATTAATAGCATAGTTGGGAGTGGGTTTACTGTCAGAGATCAAATGATGGGTTGACGTTGTAATGAAAGTGTGTTGAGACTGCGATGATGGCTGGCAGGATTCTGCCAAAACTACTTTTGGGTGCCTTTGATTAATTCCACCTTCAGTCTCAGGTACTTCAACCGGAACATTTGCCGAACCTGTATCATCTGGCACTTCATGAGATTTCGCAACACCATAGTCATTGGGCTTCGTATCAAGAACTATATTCGTCGTTAGTCAATATTCCAACAAAGACTCAGAGGGCCAATCTCTACCTGACTCTGTTTCGATACGGATTGGAAACACCCTCTCAATTCGAAGTGATCCATCCGCATGCTTCTGCCCATTTGTGATGATGTCAATTCTTCCTGAGCCATTGACTATGATAGGCGAAGGTTGGTGCGTCATGTCGAATTAATCTAGTGCCTGGCCCAAAAATAGATACTTTTGAGACTATCGCGGACATATGTATTGTTCAAGACTATTCAAGTATTCAGCAAATGGTCATGAGATGTGATTTGTCATGATCGTGATGATGCTTTCTTTATATTTACCATAGTTGCACATGCGTGATTGGGGTAGACAAGAACCAACCACCTTGGTGCCCGAACCAAACGGCGTTCTTTTATTTTCAACATCACAAATTCAAGACCATACTAATGGACAATAAAGCAATTTTCAAGACTCGAATGTTCAAGCAGTCCTCGATTCTCACAGGGATGAATCATTCTCGTGAAAATCAATTCGAGGAGACGAAAAAAGAACGGCAATGAAAGATCCATAGAGACGACTTCGGCGTGCAAGTGAATCAAGACATATTGCTAAACTTCTACGAAGGGAATATTTGAGGGCCGCGTCCAGTCACCAAAGATGACACTCATGTCCTGCAAAGAATCGATAGGCAGCCACTTTACCCCGATGTGCAAGCTGTAAACACACCAATCAGCTTCAGGATGTAACTTGATGACATCCGGTAAAGCAAATTTAAAACACATCTGTGTATCATGTCCTTCACTGTACCAAACGGTCTTGTAAGCGCGAAAGCTTGGGTGATTTCGAACTTCCTTTTGATTACATGCTCACCTCCCATGAATAGATAATTCGAAGTTTAAGAATATGTATTGACAACACAACAGCCACTGACTTGGCAGGTTGTTGATTTCTAAGGGTTTCCACATACTGGCGTGAGCTGAATGAATATTTAACCGTGCTACCTGTGGACAGGAAAATCAAATCCGTCGAATCGAATATTGGGAGTGAGAAAGAGGGTGAGAAGCAGGGAGATACAAAAGGTCAGATAAAATACAATAAGTGTGACTTCGACTGGTAAGGGTTACAGCTCGCCGATCCGAGCGGCTTGACTGATTTGGACGGCTGCAGCTACCCAAGGGAGCCAGGCTCGGTATGATCCAATTAGCCGTAATGCCTAAGGCATCAAAAGATTCTCGTCGCTTGAGACGGACCGGGTAGGAACTTCAGGCCGTTTGTGTGATTTGCTTGTACTAAGTCTCTAAAATTGAGGCTATCCCCATATTTTGATCGACCTTCGTATCGTTTAGACGTGCCAGCACATTTTACACTCCAGCTGAGGACTTCTGCAGCATTTTAGTACCTACCTCCATGTACGATAATACGCCTTTCGCAATTTTCTATATATCACCGCCATGCAAGTCTATCAATGGAGTATATAATTTCTTATTCCCCGCATCCAAATAGGTGACCGACTTTTGAAGGCGTCACTGAACCACACGCCATGACTTTATTAATATGAGGGGGATGAGGGGGGAATCTTCTCTTATCTTTCTCTCCTCTTCCTATTCATAAACTCTCAGTTATCTTCCAACAATCGAAATAATTCAATACTCATCAACTAATTTATAATACTGTCTTGCTGAAAATGGAGCGACTTATTAGTGCTATTCGTACCACTCCATTAATTGACAGCCGCGCACGCCCATTGCTCATCCCTTCATCTAAGACCAAACGCTCCTTACTAGGCATTACTACTGAGGCTGATGGAGATGCCCTAAAAGCTGCTCGTTCAACTTTGGCACACATTCGAGCTACAAACCAACTTGCAGAAATTCTTGGTTGTCCCCCAACATGGAATGATGTCTTGAAAGCCATTGCGAAAGAGAACGAAAAGCCAGGCTATGTGTGGATAAAACAATGTCTGAAAGGAATCGAGACAATCATTCTTGATGATTCCTTAAGCACGGAAAATGGAGTTTTCGACTATTCATGGCATGACAACTTAACAAGAAGTTAGTATCTTCAGGTTTCCCCGCTCTCGTATAGATGTTGTGTTACCTCGATATGGTACGTACCTGCTTGTCTAACGCTCCGCTAATCTTGGCTATCGTAGGTAAGTGCAGGAGGATAGTAAGAATCGAAAATTTTGCAGCAGTCATAGTTGATCGGAACATCAAATTGTTCGCGATCTCTGAAGATAAATTCTTTGATTCAGTGGTCGAGGATCTTCAAAAGGGTATAAATGATGCACTTTCTGATACCAATGTTGTCGGCTTTATATCAGCTATCTGTTATAAAACAAGGCTTGATATACCTTGGGTTTGTTCTCTCGAAATGGTAAAATTGACCTTGATACAATGTATTTGGAAACAACAAGCCGAGGGTCATAGTCGCTTTAAAGGGTTCGATCGCCAAATTTTGAACTCCTGGATCCTTCACATGACAGCTGGACTTATCCAACGTTCCGAGAGTTTCCACAAGAAACCAATCCAGTTCCATACTGGTTTGGGCGACGATGACGTATCTCTTACTCGCTCTTCACCATCATATCTACAAGACTTTATTCGCGAGTATTCGGACGTTCCAATCATTTTGGTTCATTCTGGTTATCCATGGACAAAGGAAACGGGATACTTAGCTACGGTACATTCGAATGTGTATGTTGATATTGGTGAAGTGTTTTCTTGTGTCAGCCAGGATGGCCAAGAAGGTGTTATTCGCGATCTTCTAGAGTTTTGTCCCACAGAAAAGATTGTGTGGAGCACAAACGGGCATGATCTTCCAGAAACTTATTTACTCGCACAAATTCGATCTCGCGAAGCCTTTGAAAAAGTAAGATTTTCCCATCATCGATTAGGAATGTGACATATATTCAATCATACTGATGATCTCCAGGTCCTCGCAGAGTATGTGACTAAGAAAGCATTGACTATTGAGCAAGCTGTTAAAGTTGTTGAAGATATATTCTTCAACACATCTAATCAGCTTTATGCTCTCCAGTTGAAATTGAGGCCGACGGAAACACAGGCCGTTGAACAAGTTGTTAACGGGTTGGACAGAACCAGAACAGTTAATGGGGTTGACGGTACCAAGGATGTCTACCACAAAAACGGCGTCGGAGCCATTGACAAAGTTAATGGGACCAATAGAATTGACGGGATCGATGGGAGTAACGGGATCAAGAGAACCAGTCATGCAGATGCTTCAAAATCTCCATCAGACCTTGAGATATTTGAATCATTCATGGTACAACACCCGGGAATCAAATTTCTGCGTGTACAATTTGTCGACTACTGCTCCATTACTCGATTACGGATTTTACCGATCAAAAGTGTTCGCAATCTTCTTTGCGACGAAAAGGCTAATGTTTCTATCGGTATCACTAATAGTTGTTTGACTCTCACGCCAGACGACCATCGGATTGATTCGGTTTCTCCCAGAGACGAATCTAGGTCTCTAACCGCAGTCCTATCTTCTATGCGACCTGGTCCATTTCGTGGGTACGCTTCGGCACAGGGAGAGCTTCGCAATCCTGACAATTCGCCACTTGATGTATGCCCGCGAACTACTCTTCGAAGTATAGTGAGCAGAGCGAAGAATCACGGTCTTGAATTTCTTGTCGGCTTTGAGATTGAAGTCATATTCATGAAAGGCACACTTAAAGAGGACAATACCCACGTGTATGCTCCCCTTCCAGGTTCGGACTCTCATTGCTGGGGATCCAACAACGCACTTTCTCCCGCTGTCATAGATGTTATGGATGAGATAAACGAGAAACTTTCCAATGCCGGTATTGATCTCGAGCAGTGGCATCCAGAATCAGCCACTGGTCAATTTGAGTTTGTCCTACCTGCATGTGCACCCATTGAGGCTGTAGATATACTTTTACAGACCCGAGAAATCATCGCCACGGTTGCACGAACTCATGGATGGCGTGCTACATTGCACCCAAAACCTCTTCCCAACAAATTGGGCACGGGAGCACATGTTCACCTGTCCATATCGACCCCGGAAGGAGAGAAGGAACAAACGTATACTCATTTTTATGCAGGAATACTGAAACATCTTCGTGCAATTACGGCTTTCACCTACGGTAATCCTGCCAGCTATGATCGCATGCTTGCAGTTGGTGGCTGGGCCGGCAGTACATGGGTGGCTTGGGGTTACCAAAATCGAGAAACAGCCCTACGTAAGATTGACGGGTCGCACTGGGAGTTCAGATGTATGGATGGCCTTGCCAATGTTTACTTGGCTTTAGCAGCTGTAATTGGTGCAGGTGTAGAAGGCGTGATTTCAAAAGACAAGATGACATGGCTTGACTGCCACATGAACCCTGCTGAAGTTAGTCAAGCAGCCAGAGATGATTACAACATCGAAGAAATGTTGCCAAGTACTTTGGATGAGGCACTTGCCGCTCTCAAAATTGACCAAGGTATGTACAAGATACTCGGTGAAGCTGTGGTGGCCACATATATTGCGATGAAACAAGGTGAGCTGGAGCTCATGAATAGCATGAAGGATGAGCAGAGAAGAAACTGGTTGATTGAGAGATATTGAAGTGGCAGCCCCACAGCCTATTGGGCCACCTGCAAGAGATTCGGCTGTCATTTTCTAGCGCTTTGGAGGCTCGTCTGGATTTCAATGCGATGAATGAGGGGTTGAACCCTGCTTTAATGATAATATGGCGATGTATGTTGAGGCGTTGTACTTTTTCGTTGAAGGATCGCAGAGGAGCATATATTTTGTAAGCCAACGCAATAATTTATCCTTTTTGAAGAATGGAATCGAAATTTATCTTCTGAGCCGTGAATGTTCTAGCACTTTGAGCAAACCCAGTATCTTTTTTTGTACACTTGTTGAACTCCCGCAAATGATCATGCCCTGTAATTTTACACATTTTCCTGATCATCATCACCTATACGACTCTGCATAAAAGCATACCGCCCACCCTCCTTTCTACACATTCTCTTGCTTCCAAGATTCCACTCGATGTGCTGATATAGATACACTCTCCTGGTCTTCTCAAACCCCGCACAAAGTTCGCGTCCTTGCCCCTCACAATCTTCGAGAGCCCTTCCACATCCATCCAAATTCTCTTTGTAGGTTTACTGATCATCGACATTTCACTCAATACCGGCTCATTGTTCCAGTACTTCATTCCTAACCATAACCTCCTTGTTGAGATATTTCGCTGCGTAACAGGTTCTGGTACATATGTAGATAATTCATCCATAGGAGGAGGGGTGAGTCCACCGCGGGTGACAGAAGAAAGAAATCCAGAGGATTGGAGACCGAGCATGAGAGTGAGGATCATGTTCGAGGAAGGAACGGAAGTGAGCCCAAGTCGGGCTTTAGAGGCATTTTGAAGATGTGATGATACGTGAGAGAGTGTGACGAGAGACATGATGAGGATTGGGAGTCTCTAGCACGAATTCGCAAGCCCGCGCGGGCACAATTGGTGCGATTTATCGGGGATATATTCTTCAAAGTGGAGAGTAGATGAGGTGCTGAGAGGAATATCAGATAGTTTTCTTGAAAATATGAATCAATTGCTACGGAAAGATTTTCGCAAGACTTACATTCGCAGATTCAATAATTGCACGCTCGAAATAGTTTCATGTAACCTTGGAAGACCTTGAAATTGTTCGACTCGTTCTATTTCCTAATGAAGCCAAAAACCAAAATAATTTATTTTTGCCTTATCTAATCGCGACAAGGTTCTGAGGCATGAACTTTCTATCACATCAATTCCACCCCTCATTGGTTCTCACTTCATGCAGCTTGCCGCCGACATGGCACTCAAACCCCCATGCCGCAGGTAGCTTGATATGAAATATTGTGATAATAATAAGTCTAATCTCTTTCTGTTTCTCTTTCCTTTCTCTTCTGCTAAGTGTAATTTTTCTCTCTTTCTTTTTTGTATTGTTCTCTCGTCGCGCAAGAAAGCGTTCGACTTCACTTCTTTACTATCTCTTGAGCTATCAATAATCGCAGGTCGATAAAATGGCAGCAAGACCAGGGGAAGATCTCGCAGCTACTTTGTAAGTAAGAGCTCTCAAATATCTATAGACAAATTGTTGATCCAACCCTCGACAGGTTCGCAGATATACATTATTACTATGGTCCACCAACAGTCAAACCTCCTCATCACAGATTTGATAAAGGTTCATATGTCTATCTTTTCGAAAATGCAGGACAGAGAAGAGCTCGACTTGAAATAGCTAATAATGCCGGTACTCCGGATCAAGATGCTTTCACTGGTCGTAAGTCATACACATGCGAAATAGATGCGAAAGTTACGTTTACTAATATCACAATCACAATTACCAGATCTTGATTCTGCTCATGTCAAATATTCTTATAAGCATACCACATTAGTCACTTTGACTATTGATGGACCAAATGGACAGCAGAGAAATAGTCCAATTGGTACCCAAGAATGGCATTTACCAACTTTTGATCCTCGAAACGAGACTAAGTACATGTACAGACTTCACACTATTGATCTGTACTTTTGGAATAAAGAAGATGCACTTAATTTTGTGAATGGAGTGCGGAGAGTTCTACCTCAGCACCAAATTACGATTGAGGATGAGCCAGCACCACCACCATCTCACGCAGACGATATGAGTCCAATAGTTCAGCAATTGGAAAACGTAGCTATCTTGGACCCTTCATATCATCATGGTAGAACCAAGACATCTCGAACTTCTCCTCCGGCTGCTATTAACGTTTCATTTCCTGGACCGCCAAATCTCCCCAGTCAACCATCACAAGCTCCTGCTACTTTTGCACCGATGGCATATAATCCAGCTGCACCAGCTGCTCCCGAAGCTATTCAGCATCGAGAAAAGACCCCTCCGCCAGAGGATGGAGCGGGAAATCCACTTGTTCACGCTGCAACTTCTGATCAAGGACAATTCTCTGCACCTTCACAATTTCAGCAACACCCAAGCTTTTCGGCACCCGCTCCACCACCACAATTCCAAAGACAGCAAACTTTCCCTATGATGTCTCCGCCTCAACAGCCAACGCACGGACACGGAAGCTTTTCTGGAGCAACCCCACCACAACATGCTAATACCCCTCCGAATTCCAACTATCTTCCCAGCTCCGTTCAATCTACGTCTGGACTTCGCTCTCCATTTTCTCAACAGTTCGCAACCCAAACCCCTTCATTCGCACCTCCACCCACCGCGAACTCGCCAAACACATTCGCACCACCCCCTACCGACAGCACTCCGCCCCTTCCAACTCCTACTGGCCCCTCTCCTCCCGCATACTCCTCTCCCCCTATCTCCCCCAATCAACTCACAACCCAATACGCAACCTTCCCCTCCACTCCCTCCTACGCAACACATAATCTACCCACCCCCGGTCTCTTCTCTCCGGGTTTCGCCCCCCAACACCAAAACCCTCCCCTTTCCTCTCCAGCTCCCGGTCTCCAACCTCTCTCCCCTCCAGGAGGCTTCGCAAATTACACCTATACTGGTGCGCAAACTAGTGCCGGCCAACCATTGATGTCACCCAATGATTATAGTATCCACCAACAAGTCTACAGACCCACAGAAATCGAAGCGAAGTTTAAAAGAAAGGGAAGCGGAAAGGGGAAAAAGGGCGACGACAAGAAAGATGGAAAGGATAAAGGACCAAGAGGTCGATTGGAAGATAATGCTGGGAGGTTGGAGAAGGGAGTTACGGGAATTTTGAAAAAGTTCGAGAAGAAGTATGGTTAGAGGGTGGAGTTACGATGGGACGGGATGGGATAAGAAAAGAGGGATGGGAAATTAAGGAAGTTGAAAACAGTCTGGATCTTGGTGAATTGCGATCTGAGAGGATTCGTTTAAACTGAAGATGCTGTCAATGGAAAGGATTTATGGGAAATTGATATCGGGTCATGAGATCTAAATGGAGATTTACGGCTTCAGACGAATATGGAGGCCTTTGCAATCAATCATCCAATCATTTAGGCAATCGTCGAATAAAGGAAGACAAATACAATGATCGAAAAGGGGGGAGAGAAGCGAGGGAAAGAAACTGTGGAGAGTAATACTGTATGTAATATCATAATATCGTAGGAAGGTAAAATAAAATTGTTATTTTTTATATGACGTGTTGATATTCTTTCTTATCGATATATCTCGTCGTATACTCTTGGGATTCGTTGATTCTGAGGATGTAATGGGATGGAATGGTAGGATGATAGAATAGTAAAATAAAATAAAAAGAGATCGAAAGGGCAATAGCAAAAATCACAATAACATTTCATCTATCTGCGTTGGAATATATCATTTGATTTCATTTGATTCTATTTCATCTGATTCCATTCATTTGATTTTGTCTGATTTCGTCTCATTCTATTCAATTCGACTTAATCAACTCTCCTCTCCCCTCCTCGCGTCGGGTATATGATATATCGTACTCTATATGAGTCTGGACTCGTACGTAACCTTATATATATATATATCAATTAACGTCTCGAGTTGAAGTCTCGAGTTGAAAACCGGAATTGAAACCTCGAAGTCTTGAATATTATGTACCTGTTAAGAATTACAAGTACATATACATATACATATGTATGATCAGTAGGTGGATACTTACTTGATTACTTGGATATATATATATATATATCCTCCTCTCCTCTCTTCTCCTCTTTTCTCCTCTCTTCCCCTCTCTTCTCCTCTCTTCCCCTCTCTTCTCCTTTTCTACCCAATACCCAATACCCAATACCCAGTAATAAATACCCAATAATAAATATAGGATTCAATCCATCTCTCTATCCGTTCATTCGTCCATCTCTCCATCCATTGTATCTCCCTTTTTATCTTTACATCGTCATCTCCATCTCCATCTCCCTCTCTCTCTCTCTCTACTTTTTCTCCCTCTACTCTCTCTCCCTCTACTCTCTCTCCCTTCCCTCTCTCTGTCTACCTATCTAACTCGGATATCTAATTCTCATCACATCTAGGTAGTATTCACAAACAAGCAAGCATCAAGTCAGTCAAAATCAAAATCAAAGTCCTTCCACCACACCATTAAACGAGTTCAAAAGACACACACGCACGCACATAGACAGCAAGATGCATGCAAGGCACACTCAAAACACACACACAAAACACAAAATATAATCCGAATAGAATAGAATTCCCTTCCCTTTCCCTTCTTTCCCTTCCTTCTTTCGTTCTTTCCCTTCCCTTCCCTTTCTTTCCAACCCAATTCAACCTAACCCAAATCAACCTCACCAGCCCAAGCAATCCCATTCCATCCCATCCCAAATCCCATCCCAAATATAAAATCGCGAAGAAAGCGCCCTTCGCAATGCCAAGCCCAGTCCATATATGTATGTATGTACGTACATCCAAACTCCTAACCCCTTGAAAAGATCCGTTCCGTAAGAGCCCCCAACGTCCAAGTCCAGACCATGATTGTGGAAAAAAATAAAGCAAAAAAGCATTACTGATTGCAAATTTATGAGTGGTGATATGCTTGCTATGCTATGCATGTCTTTCTTTCCTTCGTACAAAATAACTTCTTCTTTCCCATTCCCCTTCATTTCCCTCCTCTATTCCCTCCTCCTACGAACGAGTTTGCAACCTCGATGTAAAAGTCGAAACCCAAGGACTAGTAGGTGGAGCAATCGGCACCAATTCTGGTCTTTCCTCACTCTTCTCATTCACCGGCATCTCACTTGATTCCCCCGATGCAAAAAGCGCGAATTGAATGTCCTGAGTTAAATCCTCTAATTGTTCATCTGTTTCCGTTGGCACCGTAAGATTATTTGCCTTATCCTTCTGTTCGGCTGCTGCTTTCCTCGCTTCTCTCAAAAGACTTGCACCAATTGCTGACATGCCTTCATTATCCATCTCAACTTCATTATCGTCGAACTCATCTGGTGCTAAGACGCGAGGTGCGAGAGGTTCTATATCGCTTGTTTTGACTTTATATTCTAAAGCTCTTTTTCCTTCATTTATAAGTTCTTCAGTCCAGCCTAAACATTTCTTGAGACTTTGATTCATTTTTTGACTGTCGATTAGTAGCTGTTGATGTTTTGATAAGTCGAGGCGTAATCTCTTTTCGTCTTTCTTTCGATGTTTGAGATCATGTTCAGCTACTGCGCCTGGACTTAATGTTCCGGCATCAATGAGATCTTCTTCAGAAGATGGGTCCTCTTCTTCTTCGTCGTCTTCCTCATCTTCAAGATCAGAGTTCTCTTGACTAATATCCGATAGACCATTACCCTCTCTCTCATCCACAACAGACAAAGTCCCACTTGTTGCACGTGATGAGGCTCCCGTGGCCATAGATAATCGACCCGAACGACTGAGTCGTTTGTATCTTCGCAATTCCGCAGTCTGCCTCCTCATTTCTCGTTCCAGAGTTCGGTTTATAGCGGCAAGTGATGAGTTCGTAATCTCCAGATCTAAAACCTTCCTTTCATTTCGTGCAATAGCTGCTAATTCGTTCATACGTTCTATCGAACCTCCAGCTTTGAGTACTTCTTCTATTACTTCATCCTCAGAGGACAGTGATTCCCCATCATCGTCGTCCTCCTCTTCCTCGTCTTCACTTTCCTCATCCTCATCCTCTTCCTCCTCCTCTCCCTCAGGTATCTCATCCGTATGTGATATTGAGGCGGGACTCGATGGTTCTGTGATTGTTATTGGATTTGGTATATCCGTCGAATGACCCCCTGATGAAACCTTCCTGGTCAATACCAATCTCTCCATAGATGATCCTGTGCTTGTGTTTCGTTGATGTCCATACCCCCCATCTCCACTTGTTCTTCTTGACTGTGTGATATTATTCGCCGATTGTCCACGAACCACAGCTTTCGGTCGAGGTAAAACCGGAGAAGCCAGTGGCGTGGGGGATCTTGCTGTTGATATTGAGGCATACTGAGTATTTAATTTTTGTGGTGACGTGGGTCGTTGTGAAGGGGATGTCGTCGTAGCATTTGCCAATCGTGGCGAGGTGACTCGAGAATGAGTTGAGAGAACCGAACTCGGGCGAGGAGGCGCAAATTGTGGTGAAGGTGATAGTCCTAGTTCCGGTGTGCCATTGGCATGGAAAAACTTTGCATGACCTCTCTCCTCTCCCAGAGTTGATCCTACGGTCGATGCTCCAGAACGAGGTGGTTGTTTCTTAGGTACTTTATCTCCATTGGCATGAAAGAAGGCGGAAGGTTTTTTAGAAAACGCAGGCTTTGTTTGTTGTGTACTGTGACTTTGTGGTTTTACTTCACTCGCAAAGAAGAATTTGGAGTCGGCAGAGGATTGTGACGATTGTGAACAATTTAACTCTGAATTTGAAGGACTGAATGCTACCGTTGATCGTTTCATTGTATCCCTCTCCATCCCTGAATTACCCAATCCAGACGCATTCTGTGTAGGATCATATAATCGAGGACCTTCAGAAGGTATGGGAGTTCCTGATGGTGAATGACTTATACTATCAAATCGAGTCTTTCGTGTGCCTGATCTTGCGGTTATATTATGACCATTCATGGATGTAGGACCGAGAGTCGATGAATCGTCTCTTATATTATTTGGCGTAGTATTTTCTGGACGTGATTGTCTTGAGGCAGGTCTTGCAGTCGAAACTTTGGGAGTTAATGGCGTCTTGGGTTTGTTTCCTCGATTCGCCGAAGCACTTAAAGTTGGTGCCAATGGTCGATTGGGAGTTGTCTTATCGTATGAAGGCATATTTGGATTACCACTTTTGGCAGTCAACGGCGCAGAATCTTTCTGCGAAACCACTCGCATTATGACATTATTGTACTATATGATAGATGGAGAAATTCGATAAGAAGGACGATTTATGGCGTATAATCCGTGATCTTTTGAGGGGTTGATTGTGAAGAAGGAATGGATTTTGTTTTTTTGGGGAGACGGGATGGATGCGGTGGTAAGTGAGTGGTAAGTCAGTAGTTGATGGACCACTGATAATAAGGCGGCCGATTTGCATTAGTATCAAGCGAATGAATGGGATGAATGAGAATGATGACGGGATGAATAGAGAGGTGGATGGATGGATGGATGGATGGGTGGATGGATGGATAGATAGAAATATAAGAATATTATTAATTTTCAAGTAGAAATACTAATAAACCATGATAAAAAAGGAGATCTCTATGATGAATGAGTACGAGTATTGATTTAGATCCTCGAGTAGCATAGGAATAAGAAGAAGGATTGCAGGAGCTTTGAATATCCACCTCGTGAATACCCATCTAAATTGAATTTTATGAGAAGAGATGCATTTTTATATTGATACCTATATACGGTCAAGGTAAGGTAAAAGTGTAAAAGTTCAACGTTTGTGTAGTTAAATGTAAATCATGAGATACACGGACGGGGTAATAGGAGAAAAAGAGCAACGTTTTTGTCAAGCTAATAACGACCTGGGTTGTGAGTAAGACATTTGGTACTTTATAATTTAAGAGAATCATAAAAGTTGACCTCCTTGATCTTGTTTTTATTCATAGATATTTACATACTTCTACAGCAAATTGTATGGATGGTAGATGGTAGATGGTAGATGGTAGAGGATATATCATGGTCTTTCCAAAGTCATGTTCTATGGTATGGATATCTACGATGTCTATCTACGATGTCTATCTATGCAGGTACTAGACGTTCGTGGTCGTGGAATGGATATACGAGATGAGTATAATTTCATTCTCTGACCCAGTTACATTGATTCTCTCATTATTCCGTATATCTTCATTTCATCTATCCTACCTAGATTGCAAATTCATGCAATGAATCGAGTCATCACCTGGGTATATAGCTACTGGGCATATAGCTAACAACCGACTGACCTATTCTTCCTTGATAACTTCACTCACTCCAATATACGAAGACAGTGCCAACAAAAAACAAGATATAACCCCTCATCTCAGCACTCTCCTCCAAGTAATCACCAACTAACCATCAAAAGCAACATCCCAATCCCCATCCCCCCTTCTCGAAACACATTTGTGACGATCATGGGGAACGGCAAAAAGTGCATGAAGAGTCAGACGCAGACAGATCCAGGCATGTGTAAAGATCATCTTCCTTGTGTGATATTCCTCTCCCAGTATGTCTATACTTGATCCGTGAGGGATGCCCCTGTGATGTGTATGCATAGTAGTGTTGTACATACGTTTAAGGCTTAGTTGGGAAGCTTGTCTAGGTGATGGGTGACGGAACGGAGTACAACACTGCGGTGACTCGATTGTCTCGTGAAAACGATAGTTATCAGTGAGATAGATGGGTAGGGAGCACCTTTGTATGATTCGAGTAAAGGAGTTAACGTTAGATGTATTTGAATGTAACATTACAAGCGATATAATTTATATACACACATAGATACCCTACGAATGTACATAAATGTAAACAAAGACACTAAGTTACATAAATATAGTAAACATCAAAGATAATAATAACAAAGCATCAATCCCAATCCCAATCCCAATCCCAATCCCAAATAACCAACACAAAGCATAAACCACAAAGCATAAACCAATCCCTACCTATATCCCATCCATCCATCCAATCACAGATCCTCAATCCACTCGATCGCAAATCCGATAGCGTTACCGAAAGGGTCCTCATACCTCCTTCACTAACGACTACCGAAAGGCTACACTACACCACAAACGAATGACCCAGATTCAAAGTAAGGCTGAGATATTGACATGAATTACAAATCCATTTAGGTATTTTCATCATCACATTTCCAAGTCCTCAGACGTACAAGAAAGAAAAGGGGGTTGATATTGGACACTCACTCACTCGCTCACTTAACATACATTCACTGGTTAATCCATTCATCCATCCGTTCATTCATTCTTTATTCCACACCTCCCCCATATTACCATGGTCCTTCTAGGACTCGGTCTCCTGATCGCCTCAGTTTCGTTTTTATGTTACAAACATGCGCCAGCGGGATGGTGGACGTTTCTCGAGCGACTAACTTTACGAGCGGGGAATAGTATTCAGAATGGAGATAGCAATCGAGATAGCGATGCAGATGGGAAAGGGAACGAAGGAAAAAGAGAAGATTCGACACGAAGAATTATAGGAGTAGAAGAACGGGAAAAGGCAGAGGCAGATAGAGGAGAGAAATCTTCGACTTCGCCATCATCATCATCATCATCATCATCAAACTACAAAATAAATGCGCCCACACAAAAATCTACAACCACACCAACAACCAATGCGCCAGCCTTCCAAATCTCCGAACCTTCTCAATTCCCATCAATACAACCACCCTCCCCTCCCCCCAACAAAGCAGCTCTCGACCGCGCCGCCATGCCCCCACCACCGCCTCTCTTCAAAAAACCCTCATCCACCCCAAAACCCAAACCCCAAACCCCCACATCACCAACTACACCCCGCGCGCACGCTTCGCAACCTTCTCCAACCCCTCAGATCCCCATCTTTTCCCTCGACGCTACCAATTCCACATCATCACCCTCCGATCTCGAATCCGAATCCGAACCCGAAATCCCCTCTTTCCCCGCTGCAAACTCCGCACAGCGCGCTTCGAATACCGGGTCTCGAGCTCCTCCCCGATTAAATCCTCTCCCCGCCTTTAAATCCACATCCACACCCACACCATCAACTCTCAGCGCCCCCGCCCGCGGGCCCCTCCCTAATCGCTCACCCCTCCCAAACCGCAATCCCTCCTCTTCACTCGCCGCCCCCTCCCTCGCCCCCCCACCAACCCACACCTCCATCCCCTCCAAACCGCGCAAAAAGGTTCTCCTCACCCCCAACCACTCTCCCCTCGACTGGGCGCGACTCACCTCCTCCCCCACCTCCAATCTCCGCAATCTCCCCCCTTCCACCCCTCTCCTGCGCGTGCCCCCTTCCCTTCTTAAACAATTCACAGGCAGGAAAGGGAAGGATGCGTGGACGGTGCTGGGGGGTAAGGTATACAATATTACTCCCTATCTCCCGTATCATCCCGGGGGCGAACCAGAGTTGCTGAAGTGTGCGGGACGCGATGGCACGAGATTGTTTGGCGAGGTGCATCCGTGGGTTAATTGGGAGGGCATGTTGGAGGCGTGTTTGGTGGGGATTAGTGTTGGGGAGGAGGAGTTTGAGGGGGTGGGTGGGTTGGAAGATATGGATTAGTGAGGATGGGAAAGGAAAGAAAGAGAAAGATTTATATTTGAGGGAGAGAAGGGGTTGTGGTGTATATATATGGAGTGTTGGGAGTATAGGAAATTAGATGGATAGAGTAGATTTGCCTTGATTATTACATAAATGAGCATAGCTATATAGCTAACAGGTAGGTGCTTCATGAAGAGACATGTATTATATAGACAAACAAATATACAGAGATGAATATGGCTCTTAGGAATAGATTAGAATATAGAGAGTAGAATCAACCGCTGTAGAATCTGCCAATGTGGATAACTCAGATCATTAAGCAAACCACCTGCACCGTTAAACCACCCCCCCCCCCCATAAATTCACTACCCTCTTCTCTATCTCCACCAACCTTCATAATGACCCCCCTCCCCTCTTACCTAAACACAAACCTATCCTCATCCTCCTCCTCCTCCTCCACTATCCTTCTCCTCCCACTTCCACTTCCACTCCCAACCCCCGCCCTCACCCTCTTAACCGCTGCCGTCTTCGCTAACGAATTCGCCGCCGCCCTCTTATTCCCATTCGCTCCAACCCCAAGACCAATACTACCCTCTCGTCCAATTCCACTCACCCCACTACTCCTCATACTCTCCCTCTGCGTCGTCGAAGCGCGTGAACTTCGTCCTGTGGATGCTGGGGTGAGAGAGCGGAATACGCTTGGGTCGTCTTCATTTCCATTTCCATTTCCAAGTTGATTTTGATTTTCATCGTCCGACTCCGGTATAATCTCCGCTTCTGCGCTTAACGCACGCGCATTCATAGGATTTTCAGGTAATTCCTCATCTTCATTTTCCGAGGTGATTTCTCGGAGTTGTGGTTTTGATTTCGGGTTTGCTTTTGCTTTGGAGCGGGTTGAGGAGATGGGTGTTTGTGTTTCTGGGGTTTCTATTCCGGCTTGGGCTTGTGTCTCTTTTCCTTTGCCTTTGACTCTGTTTCTTCGGAGTTGCGTGTCGTTGTCGTTTCCTTCTAGACCCCAATATTCGTCACCGTTTCCATCGCCCCTTTTCTTGACTTCTTCAAGAGGTACGATAACCCTAGCGTGAGCTCTTACTGGTCCATCTTCTGCACCTCTTCTTCTGAATTTCTTGAAATTCTTCCGTCCGTTCCATTTATCGTCCCATCTGTCACCTTCGTCCATATGCCTAGTCGTTTTAGGTGCCGGTTTGGATCGCTTAACTTCCATATCCTCGACTATCGTTAGCTTGCGCATTTCTTCGATATCGATTGTTGAGACAGCTTGTTTCAAAGATTTTTCTTCGGCTTGTGCGGCAGCTTCAGCACGTTCAAGTTGCTGGGCTACCAAGGCTTCGATATCAACTTCTTCCTTTTCTTTCTTTTTCACCAATTCGGGGGCCACCACTTCTTTTTTAATGATAGGAGGTGGAGGAGTTGGCTCGCCTCTCTCTCGACGTTGACGCTTGAAGGAGGCGGTAGTTGGTGCAAAGCTATCCATGAATGACTTTTCTTCGGCGATGGGGGGTGCAGACCTTTTTCTTGTTGATCGCCGTGTCGGTTGAGATGATTCTTCAGGTTCCACAGACTGGGACATTGCGCGGCAAGTATCAATCTCGCGACTAGGATCTTGAGAAACAAAAAGACCCTGGGATTCTGCGGGAAGATCTTGTTCTACTACCATAGCCTCGGGTATAGAAGCTAGAGAGACTGGTGCTGGTGGGGGATCATCGTCGTCATCATCATCAAAACCACTGAAACGACTAGTCACAGCTCTCCTTGATCTACCTCTTCGAAATTGAGCCTCTTGCGAGATAGCATCCTTAGAAGCAAAAGCTGTGGAGGAAGCACCAGCTGGATTAGACTTAAAAGTCTCAGCTGCATTAGTCTTGGGGGGTAAAATTGGATGAGACTCAGCAGGCGCCTCTGTTAGCCTACCAGCGTTTGGATATGTAGCTTATCATTGTCAGTATATCTAGTCACCATTGGGTTCAAAAGAAAACTTACCTGGTGTCGAGGCTGGAGCCACGACTCCAGACATCTCTATTTCAAGAGATCTTCTCAACAATCTTGCATCTGTCTTGAGTACTGCATCCAAGAATTCACTTTGTAATATAAGTCGTTGATCCAAAGCCAGAGCAACTTGACTAGCAAAGTCTTGGAACCATTCAACACCTTCTCCTTTTGTGGGATAGAAGCCCACAACCACAACACCCTTCCCTTCGCTTCCATCCTCGAACTCACCAACCCCTTTTTCTCCTGCCACATTCTTTACATATCTTACAAAGTCATTCACCGGAGTTTGTGTAGGTGTAACTTCACGATATAATGCTTTACCACGTCCATCAGTAATAGGCGCTAGAAGTGTCTCAAATTGAGCTTTATCGTAGAAAACAAAGGTATAACCATCAAACATAGTCTGCCTCGAGAGGTCGGGAGCATAAGATGTTGCGGGTTCATCTGTAGGTTCCGTGCCGCGTTCAGGAAGATATTGGACAGCATCTGGGAAATTATTTTTGAAATCTTTCTCCAAGCTACAAGTACCATCTGGTTCTGGCGTAGTGGCATCAATAATTGCTTTGATGAATGGATCATTATCCACTATATACTTTCCATTAATCAAAGCTCGAAGTCCTTTGGCTGTGTTGCGTTTCTTGACAACAACATGAGACGTTACATCACGTTCATATTCGGTAAGAACTTTTACGTCGAGTGGACCAAATATTGCATAAAGCGCTTCGAGAGGGTTGGCCTTCAATTCTTTTGGAGAGAATGAGAATGATAAAGCAATAGGGCACCAAGTAATTCTACATAATTCAGCATCACTCACACATGTCAAAGGATCAAGGATAGCTCTTACCGGAATATATGCTTAGATCTTCCAATCATTATTTCATTGAGTTCACTCTTAAGCTCATAGTTCTCAATACCCTTGATTTGCTTTCCATTTACCGTGGTACCAGCTTTAGTCTTTTGGTCATTTAAAATGACTTTTGACCGGCTTTTGGGGTTTCTCTTCATGAGGTTATCAGTATAGATCCTAGGTCTGACTTGGCTGGTACTTACACAATCATCTGGACCAGGAACTCCAACCTCTATCGTTAAATGCTGTCTTGATACTGACTTGTCGGCGATCGCGAAATGACCATCTTTACTTTCATCAGCTGAGTTGGAAGCCAAAAAATCGGGCAAACAAACCTTCCGAAACCGTCCTACCGAAGAGATATTTCTTGCCGGGAACGAGCCACCGCGTTTTACCTGCACAATCTTAGTATAGTTTTTGGTAGAACTGTTTATCAATATGAATATTTACCGTCAAAGAATCCTCCGTCATTTTCTATAGTCCACATTGTAAATAGAGTGAGATTGATCGTTGTAAATTGAGGACACTTCCTTATTCACCCATATCATTTACAGAGCTATTCAAGAGGATCATCGATGATAACGTTTTTGATTTTGCGGTAATAGTGGTAGATGGTAATTGTACCAGTCCGTGATGTTAGGAAATCTATTTCGATTTATAGGCAGCACAGAGTAGAAGAGATGAGATGGAAGCTTGACACGCGAATCTTTGTCTCGCAAAACGCCTGGTCACATGTAGATTGCGATAAGGAACAGTACAAAAAGATATTGTGATTAGGTAAGCACAATTTCCCAGGAGCCCCATTTCGTCACTGTACCTCACCGGGAGTTCACCATCATACAAAGACACTTCACCCCAAGTAATCGATTCCAGTATCCGGTATTCTCGTGTCGGTTTTCAATTTTTTGCTGCGACTCTTGTTACTATTTCCTTGAATACCAAGATTAGTTGCAGCATGCGAACTTCACGTCTGGCTCCACCATCATCTCCCCCTATGCTTCGTTTCCATATATGTTGGAATTCAAAATCTTTATGTAGAATACCAGGTCGTTCGAGCGAGCTTCATATCCATTTATGGAGATCTCATTCTCAAAAATAATAATGCTCAATGATAGCAAGAATTAAGGTAAGACGATTTGCAAATTCCCTTTTTTCTGCTACATTTCTACGGCATCGAAAGACGTTTCTGTGTACATGAACTAAGCAGAAAACAGTTGAAACACATCTCATCTCCCCACATATTTCAACCTTGGTAACATATCCAACTTAACCAAAATACATACTTCATAGGACCGCCCCGATTTTATTGATTACTTGAACTGATACCACCATGGCCATGATCACCCAATCAATCGAGTCGCTTCGCCAATTGTACCAAGCGTTCCTGATAGAAGATGCTGAGGTGTGATTCTCACATCGGTTCCATTTCAGAGGCTTCATCGCTGTCTTGAAAATAAACCTAAGATCAAGCAAAACCGCACCTCCCCCGTTGACTCCATTCCGTTCAAATTCAGCCTCACATAGAAAACCGAAGTGCACATTGATTTATCTTCTGACCCTGGGCCGCCACCAGCCGGCGAAGGCCAATAAACGGAACAGTATCTTGAGACTTGACATATGAACAGCGCCACCCATGAAGGCATTTGTCCGATATGCTATCATCGTGGCTAGTCTTATGTTCGAAAAGCCCCTTATAGTATGTTGATACTGAACAAGTTGAATAGAATTGATTGAAGCTCGAGATATTTCCATTTCAAATGCGGGGGGGCAGCCGTCGTGAGTTTGGCTCGCAATGGAGTTATATGTTACGAGAAGTCTCGGTAGCGAGTCATTTTACATCTCGGATTCCCATGCAGTCTTATGAAAAGAAAAGATGACGATGAACAAGTAAAGCTTCACACAAAACCTTAATCTGCTTGAACGACATATATCAAAAAGATGCAATTGTATTCAAAGTCAGGAGGATATATCATCCTCCAAGACACGGAGCTGGAGAAAAAAAATTATTCAGAATTAAAAGAACGAAAGAGCGAAGGAACGACAGAACGGCGGAAAGAAATCTTCCATTATGACTTGAGACGGAACTAAATCATCAACGACGCTTCATGAATCAGCATCATACAATAGTGATAAGATACCGATGATCAGGAGGTTCAGCATTTGATAGAATCTCAGAACACGCTGCTTCAGCTGTCGTCAGACCTTGTTCTTCTAGAACTTGAAAGAATGGCTCATACAGTGCATCAAGACTTTCCCTCGCTATAGAATTTCAAATTTTATTGAAAAATCCGAAACTTCCAATCCTTGTGTATTTTCTCGTTACGGAATCCGTATTTTGGAGTACGATACCGACAACGACCAAGTCTGGTATCCATTTATTCTCACTGCTTATGCGACCAGTGGCGCCTGGGCCTCCAATCAGTGGTACCAAATATGTAAGTTGAGCATAGTCTTGGTTGATGTCATTTATACAGTCTAAACGGATTCGGAACTCCTTCTTTTGGCCGCGACCGTCCAAAGAAATTGCAGCGTCACCTCTAGATCCTGCTCCATCTAAAGTCTCTGTGAAAACGATGTGGCCAGCTGCCATGGTAGAACAAGCGAGTCGGATGAATCCATCAATGACCTGTCCGAAAGGATCGTAGCTGTAAAGAGTCGTGTTGGCATCCACAACGTGCGCGTGCCTAGCATCGAGAAACATGGGGGATGATGTAGGCCATGTTACTTGCCCATCGATAGAAGCCCAAGACCAAGAAGGAGCTCGCCAGAGCGGTCGCTTTGAGGCCTTGGATCTCGCCAGACCCCAGCAAAGCTGTTCTTCGATCTTTCTCCTCCATATTCCGGCCAAATATTGATCGCCATTCTCGTCGTTTAATGATTTCGCAATGCCAGAGAAGGCTGGTAACTTGTCTTTCCCATATGTCAGATTAGCTGCCGAATAAAGTTCAACAATTTGACGCCACTGCGACTTGTAATTCCTTGTTCGGCAGACAAGTGGATGAACAAATATATCTAGAAATTCATCGGGAAAAACTTCAGAAGCAATTAAAGACCTGCATTCCCAAAAAGCGCCACGATCACCAAAATGAATGGTTCGTGGTGACAACAATTTCTCTTGCAGAGCCCATGCTCTTGTTCCAAGATGAGCTCTTGAAGTCGAACTTTCGTATTCTGTTCGGTTTCGAAACTCTTGTACTCTTTGCCGTCCACCATCAGTGATTCGTGCTCGAAGGCCGCCGCTAAAGTTTGGTGGTCTGAAAAAACAACCTTCGGTACTGTCGCGAGCTGATGAGGCAGCTATTGTGATGAAAGAACCACCATAGACTGAGCTCATTAGCGCAGCTTCTTTTTGCCAATCATCGCCGTCATTCTGTATAATGCACAAAGAGTCAATCCACAAGAAATCAATGCCGAGTTTTTGTGTAATGTTTATTGCATCTTCGAAAGTCTTTGGAAGAATATCCAGTGGTATCTCCTTCATTAGCTGGCCGATGTTTTTGGTTGTAAGCCTGATAACCTCATGAGATCCCCAGCTATGGGACAGTGTTGCATATCGCAATCTTTCTTGATAGTCCGCCGTGAAAACAAGTCGTGGCGATTCTTCAGCGACAAATATAAGCCGCGTGGGCAAAGTTGCATGGCCATTGCTATTGCAGGCTTCGTGCTTTTGGATACAATTCGATAGCCAGTTGCGCGCTGTGCTGAATACATCTGGCGGTCTTTCATAGCAATTGGCTTCATTTGGTCAGTAGGTAAAGCAACGACATATGGTAGTATTACGAACCAGATGCTGGGAGAAAAGAGGACACAAACTTCAGCTCAGACGCTATTCCGGCATTGCAACTAGTGCAGATTTTTCCCGGTAGATTTGACCACAGCAGCTGTGTTGGGTTTGCAGCCCAGTTCTGAATGGATAAAAACGACATTGAGCTTTCACCCAAGAGTAATAACCGATCCTCAACTTTGCGAAAGAGTCCGAGTAGCTCCTCATCTTTGAGGCGTTGGATCATTAACGCGCAGAATTTGCACCCAGCCCGTGTTGATGCTTCTAATTTGAACAAGCTACATGGCCTTACAGCAGTGTGCTCCCAGCCATCTTCTGAACCAGGCTTTGAATCGTGTTCCCTAGTTGAAGAATTGCCCAATGTCGGCCAATTATCAAAGAGTTCTTGACATTCGAGGCAGAATCTTCCGAGGATAGGAGTTGCTGCCGAATCCAATATACGTTTCTCAGATGAATCCTCGTCTAGCTCATCAGAGTCTAAAGCCTCAAATATGTGATGACTTGAACGAAGTTCGTCGGCGTCTATTGACATATATTCTTCAAACCATTCTCTCATGTCCTTATTTTGAGCGTTTAATTCTTTTGAGATGAAGTCTCCATCATCGGAGATTTGGTCGTTGTTGGCCATTGTTGCTTGCTTTCTGAGAGACAGATGGACCATTAAACGTAGTCAAGAGGAAGGTGTTACACTTTGCTGGTATAGGTTTGAAACAGAGGAGCAACTCAAGTCAATTGGAGGACAAAATTATTCCTAACTCCTATATTTCATCCACAGGAGTGTAGGTAATCTCAGTGTGACCTCAATGCGCTATCTCTGTTCCAAAAAATAAACTCGCATCAGATATGGTAAACAGTCATGTAGCAGTATCTCAAGTAATGAGAATTATTGTAAAAAGGTTGTAAAATATGAAAAGAAGAAGGTCTCTGATTATAGCGTGACATTAGATGTAAGCATGAGACGAGAAATTAGTGTCGCGGCACGGACCATGTAACATTGGGTTCCCCTCCTCGAGCCCTCCTGCCCCTTTCGCCGCCAACGAATCAGTGTCTTGGAGGTTAATGGGTGGGATTTGTAATATTACTATCTGGTGTACTCATCAGGTAATAAGCTTTGCATTGAATGACTCCGTGCACGTAAGAATTCATATGGGTGACTATTCTTTCAAACTTGATGTATTCATTAACTTTTGAATTTATAACTTTTGAAGATCTATTTATACTAAAAGAACAGGAAACATTACAATCAATACACGCTTCAAGACCATGATCATAGGATACAAACTCCGTCACTGTAGTAAACTAAGACCAGATCATAATTCAACGTGAAGAGAACTATGAGAACCATAAGAACATTTCGCCAACCTACCCACTTCGTCGCATCCAACCTAAGAATCTCAATTTCCTGGAATCCGACTCAGCAGACTCCCTTCTTTGTGGCTGCGGTCCTGTGCTTGTAAAGCTTCTCTGAGGAGCTCCTGCAGAAATCATAGGTATACCTGACCAAGTCGTCGGTTGTACTAGGGAAACTGGCCTATGAACTTTTGCTGGAGATCTAATGACACTTTCGGTCGATGTAGAGGCCGATCGAAGAGCTCGGATACTCAAGAGATATTTGGGGTCTTTTTCATTCATACTATTCAACGCGTTGGGAGAGGTGACCGTTGCTGGTCTTGCGGGTGGTGAAGGTGTGCGGAGTAGACTTCGGTCGATTGGTGTTTCAAGAACCGACTCCTGGATATTATCATTGGCAGTTTGTGGAGAAGGTTGAGGCGAACTAAAATTAGTGCAATCATTCAAGGCCTCTGATCGAGATTTCCCTGCGGAGTTTTGAACAAGACAATTATCATCAGACTCTGTTAAGGTTTCTGCTTTAGTAATCTTGACGTGGGATGGTGGGGATGGGGGCTTGCTGTATCCTTCATCGCTTCCCAACGTAGACTTTTCTATGTGAGCTCGGATGCGTTTCAAGTGAAGGTCACTTGATGCTTTCAGTGTTCCTGATCTAATTTCCGCAGTGGGAGTATGGGGGCCAATCGGGGTTGTGTTCACAGGACCCTCTGGAATATCAGGCATTTGTCTTTCACTAAATTGTGATCTTCTTTTGCTTGAGAAATTGTGAGCTTTAGGCAATGTTTTTTCTCTCTCGTTGTAGATTGATCGATGACTCTCTTCTCCAGAAGGAGGGAATTCTCTTTGATTTGTTATTTGGCTGTCACAAGCATTGTCTGATGCTTGTTGGACTAGGTTAATCACAGCAGTATTCGATGTTCGTTCTTCTTGACTATTCAAATCAGGTTCAGGATCTTCCTTTATCTGACGATAGAAGTGACCGGGACTAAAATCTCTGGAGTTTCGTGGATTCAGCTTTTTTGTATGTTGTTTCGAGTTGTTACGATCCTCCGCCTCCATGACTTGATAAGTCAACGCAGATTTCTCGGTCGAATCTAATAAATGTTTCCCGGAGCTAAGAGATGAATCAGTCGAAGGGATTGGTGGTGAAAGTTCCTGATACAGTTTGACATGTTCACCAACTGTCGTAACGGATAGCGAAGTATCTGGTCTCACTGGAAGATCATCATTGTTCCCAGGGCGTTCGAGAGAGTAGACTGACGCCTCGTACAACCATGGACTATGGAGACTTTCCTGATAATCGGGAAATTGTGGTGACATCGGAGCAATAGAAGCACTATATAGATCTGGTGTCTGCTTTATGCCTGAATACCTTTGCGGAAGTGGTGGCCAAGCAGATCGATCAGGCACAAAGAATTGGCGCGAGTTTTCTTCATGTCCGAAAATAGCTTTCAGTAAAGTTCTGGTATAATCTAGAGGGAATCCTGCGATTCTGACCGATCTAATAGTGCCACGAAGGTTTATAATTGCATCGCAAAACTGCATAGCTTCCTTAGGAAAGTATTCTGCTAGAATGATTAGTTGGGAACGGAAAGACTCTTGAAACATGAAGGAAAGAGCAAACTTACCAAACAAATCATCTGCCTTCCAATCGGGATCATCCTCATCAACTGGACGATAACCATTGAAACGTCTACACAATAGAGTAAACTCAGCCATTCTACCACGTCGCTGTATCAGACCACTGACAAGATTAAGTAGAAGGCTTTCCATTTTTTCCATGTTGTACTCAAATCGCCTAGCAAACTTCAGCGCATTGCCACCAAACCGAGTCAGATCGAGTTCAATTGTGAGGTGTTGAATTCTATTTAAGAAATTGGGCAACCAAATACTCGAGAGCGGGGTGAAAATTGAACTGCAAAATGGGGTCAAGGTAACATGGAAGTGATATTCGGTCCAAAAATAGGTCAAAATATCATTTCTCATGAGGCTGAAGGATGCAATTGCACCAGAAACCATTTCAAGGACGCTCCACGGTGAAGTGAAGTAGTCATCATGATAGCAATTCTTCCAAGTAAATTCTGGGGATAGAGATACCGTAGTTTCTGTGCTATTAGGCAAGCAGTAAGAATATATCTTGCGGCGAATATTTGTAGGCATATCGAAAAATGGAGAAAAATTGTCGTTCTGTCGGGGTGGAAGGCAATACTCGAAAGTCTCGTTGGAATCCATAGGGACGCCATCGTTACCGCAAAGGTCCCAATTCCTGTCGAAGGGAGGATCCCAGGGAAGGGTAGTCTCTTTGGCAGATGTCGAGATGTAATTTTGTTGAGATCTTGAGGTTCCTCTACTGGACACTAATGCTAAACGCTGGAGTCGTGTAGGTTGAGAAGTCTTTTTGCTTCTCGTAGATGAGTGGCGAGAGAGAGATAGCCAACTCGAGCGATTAGACTTGCTCGAATTTGATGGAGGTTGAAGTGTCAATAGCATATCATTTTGCAGGGGGCTGACTTGGACACCTTCTGGGATTTGAAATGAGACTACTGACGTTCGCTTTGCACTTGGAGGCGGAAAGGGTTGTTCGGAATTCAGTTTTGTCTGATTCATTATCGGTGGAACCCGCACTCCTGCAGAATATCTGCTAGATGTAGATGAAGCTCGGGTTGGAAGCGAGACATCTTTCTCCTGGACTTGAAGTTCCCTTATAGATTGAATGGAGGATCGAATATTAGGAGTTGTCGAGGAAGAATGAAATTTCCTAGGAAGGCGCGATTCAGCCGAAGATGACGTTTGAGTTGGAAGGAACTGATTGTTTTCTTGTGAAGGAACATCTTTGAGTGATTGTACAGAATGTTTCTTATCGTTAAAGAAGGTAATGGAAAGGGATCTCGTAAGTTTGCTTGTAGTGGATGCTGCACGAGTTGGGATTTCTTTCTTGGACGAAAAAATCTCTTGCATAGATTGCACAGATATTCTGTTGCTGAAAGAAAAGGGCCTCGACGTGGGCACTTTGTTGACTTCTGATGATGAACTATTTGGAGGCAATTGACCTTGCGGTGAAGACAATATCTCAGTGGATTTAGTGACAACATGACTGTTGGGAGATAAAGAGGTAGACTTTTTGAATCTGCTAGATTTCGATGAGACACTAGCTGGCAGTGATTGACCTTTGAGTGAGGACAAAGAATTGTGAGTTGATTGAACAGAGCAACCACTGGTCTGGGAAGTTGTTGGAGATTCAGATTTTCGAGAGAGGGGAGACAAAGATCGTTTGATTGACCCAACAATAGACCGTCGCAATGACACTGATATCGTTAGTAGGATTTGAATACATCATTGATTTGAGTGCTTACATCTCTTATTGCCAGAGCTTATCTTCTCCGTATAGTCCATGGGTTTTGAAATTTAAAGCAACAGGTTTTTAAGAAGTAGTGGGATGCGCTGAAGATCGGTTAAGATAATTGATTATTTTGATCACAGTGAACTGAAACTTTATTAGCGAGCAATATCAGCAAGGCTGTGCAAACCCTGTGAATAGGTAGGTAATTAAGTGAGGGATGAAGTTTGTTTTGACTTTTCTTTAGTGAATTTCACATTCTATATTTGATAGCAGATTGTAGATACCTAGGGACTAATTCATATTGATCCCCTCCTGCAATAATCTCTGCACAAACCTACCTACCTAGTCTACATTCCATGATTTACCAATTCACCAATTGATTAGTATATCTAATGGATATAATAGCATGGCAAGAAGAAAGAATGTTCCGAAATACTTATAGCGCGTCTCAGTAGATGATAGAAACGACGATCTGGACCTATTTATCACAGGAACTCTGCCGCTCTGAAAGGAAACTTTCATCCTAGGATATTTCATGACTCAATTTATGAATCGGGGACATTCTTAATCTTGCGAAAATGACTTCAGATTGAAGAGACCCAACTGGCTCATCTCACTTGAGAAGCCTAAATATAGTAAAAATGCACCACGGTTGTGCATTTGTAACCTTGGAACTCTGAGATGTGCCCGCTACCTTAGCTACTGCCAGTGTGAAATACACCAGGTGGGTAGCCAGTATATCTGCTCATACCTGGTGAGTAGATGCTGGCATAAGGCAAGTATCATTCCTCTGTTACCAGTGACAGTATTCATTAATCTTTCATTAGAGACCGCGTGACCTGAAGATCATCACATCCTGTGACCCTGAGCCAACAGATCTAAGTATCATCCAGGAGCGACATGTTGATGTATTGAATTAAGTACTCTCAGTTCCACACAGAGACTTCCGATATCAGACAATATACCTATGCTTGGATATTGATATGGCAGATTCTATTGAGAATCTCTGGAGTCCGTCAATTGTGAAGGTTGTGATGTCACTTGAGGTTGTCACAATGTGATATCGGAATAACAGATGTTCCGGACCCCGCCATCGTCATAATTGATTTTTGAAAACCATTTCTTTCCTTTCACACAAACGAACGACGTAGAATTTCATCGCACATAACAGGCATATTCTTAGGACGTTCACTATTTGATACATTCTATACACAAAAATACTACAACTGCACTCTCAATAACTTATCATAATCGCGAGCATGAGTGCGCCACCTGCTAAGTTCGATGCCGAAAAGGCAGACAATTTTGAAGATGTAAGTTATCCGCCATTATATGCGCGCAAAATGCTTTTATATACAAGTTACTGTTCACGGAACTAACAAATTTGTAGATTGAGAAACAATTCGCAGTCAAAGGTTCGCACAGCTCCAAGATCTTTCTCTAAACACCCCGCCATTAACACCGAGATTAGCTGTTCAACATATGTCCACATATTGGGCAATCCTCGAAAAAGTCCGCGGATCCTCTCTCAGACTCACAAAAATCGACAACGAGATCTATGAACATCTGATGAAGGATTTTCCAGAACTTGATCCAGCAGCCACAATCAATGAGGATGAAATGAAGAGCAAGACAGGAAAAGAGAGATGGAGAAATTTCATGATGAAGTACGAGAAGACCGTGGAGGATTATAATTTCGGAACGATGTTGAGAACGAGTCCAAAGTCTGAATATGAACAAGACGCGACCATTTTTGGTATGTTGATTTTAATGTGGACATTCGGATGATGAAGCTAACGATGGCCTTGTATAGTCCCAAGAATGCAATTCTATGCTTACGAGATTGCAAGGTTAGTCGATTTTACCTATATGAAGCAAGTATTACCTAACAACGCAATAGGAACCGCAAAGGTCTGAATGATTGGATCTACGAAAAAGAGCACCCAGAGGCCGAAAAGAAGGCTGCTTAGGAGCATGATTCAAATAATAAATTTCGTTTAAAAACATTATACCCTCGATCACCAGAAAATATATTTAGCCTTGTAGTCTATAGCTATGGTGGAATTCAACACGCGAGAACTCGAAGTCGACTCTTTCTCATAGACCAACGTCGCAAGTACCATTCGTTTGAGATTTAAGTTTCTTGTCTTTGATCTGCTTTCCAAATTATATACAGGTCAATGTACTTGGGCATTTGTAGCCAGTGCTTTCGTGAATCTAACAGATATTCGATCTGAGCAAAGAAAACCTGTAACTCTGCAATCCCCAGTTTTATTTTATTAAATCCACAACTCTTTATCCTGCATCTCTACGACCCGTATTTCAACAGCCTGTATCTCAACAACCGGTATCTCAACAACCGGTATCTCAACGCCCTGCATTTATACACCTTCTAATTATATAACCTGCCATTTTGCAAACACTTGACTCTCGGCTCTCAAATAATCTTAAAAGGTTGAGCCAAGTGGCCGAACAACCTACAGCTTCGACGGTGCTATAAATACATTGAGATTCACTCATTTTTATCAGCAACAATTTCATTCAATCCTCTACACAATTGACTACTTCTGATACCTCTACACTCCATTACCAATTCTAAAATAAATATCTATATACACGATGCTCAGCGGAACCCAAAAATCTTCAAAGCAGAAAGGAGATGCAAACCAGCCAACTGGCCAGAAGACCCACGTAAGCAAGGGGTCCACGGTCGAGAAAGCATCAGGCAGCGCAGATCAAAATAAAATCTCAAGATCATCGCAGGGAAACTGGAAGGATGGTTTGAAAACCATGAATCGAGTTCGAGAGCAGGTCGAGGCGAAGGATAGAAAGGATAATGGGCTGGAGCCAGGCGTGTTAGCTTATGCAGCTCAAAAGCCGGCGGACAAGAAACGGGAATTAAAAAAAGAGCTGTTGAGATGAGAAACCATGGGTAGAGAAACACACGATGCGAGCAAATAGAAAGAAGCGACTATGCTAGACCTACTCTGCAGTCTGAGACGGAGGGTAAATGCTATGGGAATGTGCACGGAAATTTGCAAAGTCAATTATTGGGCTCAAGGTTGCTCTTTAGGCTTATGGGTACTGCATTTTGTTTTCTAGATTGGAGTTGTCAGAACACTCCATATTTCACACTCGTTAGCATATAGAATGGAGTTTACGTCACAGAATTTCATCAGCAAGATTGAAAAATGCTTGATTTATGAATTGTATAACCCGTACCTAGCAGTTGAACTACTTGGCAGGTTTCGTTGCTCTTATTGATCTCGCTCCTCTCAAACGAACTTTCCCACCAAATCTTCAAATTTGCTTCTCTTCTTCTCATTGAAACCCAGTACCCAGAAATTTCCATTCATACATCAGTCTCGCTATAAGATTATGTCTCTTTATATTTGGGACATATCTCATTCCATGCATGTTGATGATAGTCACAGAGTTTGACTCTCATAGGATTCCGGGGATCCGTTTCTACCTTCCACGGAATCCCCGCTGGCTCCCAAATAGCCTTCATTGTATCAGATTGAAGTCCATCTGCCCATAAAAGAGTAACTTCAATGCTGGCATCCGAGTCTCTACATCTCGAGCCAAAGAAACATCCTAATGATTGTGATAGGTAACATCTGGCTAAAAATCGTCGTGCCGTTGAATGTTTCTGAGTGGAGGACACAGGCTTAGTATGTTTGTACCCATGCATAATAGTTTCCATTGTTGGAAAAGTATTGGATTCGAAATAATACAACACAATGCGATTCATCATCACATCTTGCAATAAGGGGATCTCCTTCTTCTCGGCAAAGATATAGAGATCCCACAACACTTCGATGTTCTTGATAGTTTCGGGAAGCCAAAATCTCCCCCGATACGCGAATTGCAATAGTCCTGTGAAAACTCTGGGATCGACGTCTATTTTGAAGTATTTAGTGTTTCCAATGTGACCGAGGATGCTAGTGAAGAGTCTGAATTGGTAGCGAGTGAGTAGCTCGTGATGCACGATGAACTCTATCTCTTCGCTGTAATGTGCGGCGGCTATCTTTACCATGACGTGGTTTGCACTGCAGATTCAATTAGTATATCTTGCATGCGGTGAAATCTTGTACTCACCGGTTCTTGCCAGGGAGTGGGGCAAAACGAGGGTCTGTTTCTTGCCATTTGTAGGTCGCAAGAGTCTGAGATATGGACGGCATTTTGTATGCTAGATTGTTCTTGGGATATGAAAAAAGGTGTCTAGTCTCTAGTAGGATATTTTTGAGGTATGTCATACGGAGAAATGGCTGTCGTTGAAGAAAGTTTTCGAGTTTCTAACTCTTATGGTATATGGACGAACTTGTGGCATCTGATGGTATCTGGTTTCGAGCTTTTTCGAAGACTAGTCTACGAAAATACTATGTTCGGAAGATGTAGTCGAAAGTTCACATATACAGAAAGTTCAATATCTACGGTTGTAACTATACAGTTCTCAGTCCGGCTCAGTATGGCCAAGTCTGCAAGATCTACTGATTATAGCAAAGCATTTTTGCAGTACGGCTCTACCGTACCAGTGAGGTCTAGAGTGTCCATATGCTATTTGATTGCATAGATCGAGGTAGTTTATGGACTACTTGATGGATGACTTCGAGAGCTCAAAATCTAGCAGACTGAATTGAAAACGGTAAGCCAGGTGATCTCAAGTGCAGCGTATATCTTCGAAATGAAGTTCACTCATCCCTAGAAAATACTCTTCTCATTGCAATGTTCTTACAGTAGCTTTAAAATCTGACCAACAACATCTTGTAATGTTCCAGTCGTAGGATATCGACAGTCTATACTGACCGTACGCCAAACAGGACCCACTCTTCACAATGAAAGCTGGTGTTTCCACAACTATCTTGATGGAGCTGCCTTTTTCATTCTTTAGATTTACCACCGCCTATGTTCAGCCCCGCTGCAATACGTGTGCTAGAACTAACCGCATCTTAGGTGAAACATCACTGATAATATCAGTTTATTGTTGAAGCCAGTAAGGGCTTTGGACCTTGCTTTATGGTGTCATTTACTGGTATTTGAGAATCTAACTGGTAGCAATACTTACGCAAGTAAAGTTACTCCCCACAAAGACCCCCCAGAGACCGAAATAGTGATCATATTTCCTTGTTAAATCGAGGTTCTTGGATGACTGCTTGTTGAACATTAGAAAAATATACCACATTACTCAGAGTTACATTCAATGGGAGCCGATAGATGAAGATTCAATGTAGAATTGTAGGAAAATCCAGTGCGCAAAATCGCGATCTACTTTGCTCGGTTTTCTGGTCCTTGTCCCTATAGACAACGGGATACATAGTTCTATCATTCTAGAGGTATCCGGATTTACATTTTAAAATTCAACAAGCCTGCATCATCATTTTCTTCATCACTTGAGTTTCAGGTAATACAGCTACGGTGGGATTTAGTAAATGGCGGGGTATCCCAAAGGCTTGTCCTGTCGGAGAGATGGCACACTTGGAGTTGGCCATACATAGTACGAATATCTCACAAGAGCGGTTATTGGACGGGATAGACTTGGAGCCGATTATGGAATTCTGAACATGAAAATCTCCATTTAGATTGTTAGCAACTGATTTTAATGAGCCAACACCTTATTCAAATCCTCAGAGCTGTTGAGTATGGTATTTCAATCTTGGTACAGGTGTACAAATACGTTATGACGGCTCTCCCTATATCTTATTAATGAAAGACTGGAAAGTGCAAGAAGCAGCTGCTACCCCTTCCCGCTGGCCATCATAACCGCGAAGTGATTTCTTCCGCCTTTCCATGACACCAGCTTTAAAGCTTTCACTTACAATAACAAATTTCTCGAATGCATGTATTGTAATCTTTGCTTATTCTCATCCTTGAGAATGCTGGAAAGGCTCAGTAAGCCTTACCTCGCCACAACCTCTTCCTATCAGAATAGTAACATGGAAAAAGTTCAAGTCCAGTTCAGAGATATCTCATATTACACTACAAGAACAATCACAAGACAATCTAGTTTTGACAACATCCTCGCATCAACGAATAGTTATAGAGATCATCGCATAATGACGTAGAAGCCGTATCCTAAATCTATCAAGGGATCACGGGCTCAGTAAGTAAGCATGATTCATTGGAGCTCAGCTTTGCCAAGCACATCTCACAATCATTCTCAGAGAGAACCGTCTTATTCACAGTTGATTTGAAATCAGACCAGTCATCATTCCAAAACCTGTAGACTCTGCCTCCCTTGTTTGATGACCTCGGGTAGTTAGTAGTCAGGTGCAAAGCAATCCCAGCTTGTCCCTCAGCCCCTTTCTCGTGCATCCTAAAGCGATCATGAAGCGAAAGGAATGAGATCTAATCAATGACCCCCCTCGATTCAATGTTGTTTCTAGATAAGGAATAGAAATGACCCTCCAATAAACAAGGTACCTGCGTAACTTAATCAGTAAGGCTGAATATAACGTTCAATGCCAGTTTTGGTTGCACTCAACAATAAAAAATACATTACGCGTATTTGGGGGTCTCATCTATACGTTGTATCAAGTATCATAGATGAAATTGAGGCTGTCCCTCAGCGCGGCACGATAGATAATCGAGAAATTCGAAAACTAATCATAGTGAGATTTCAGGCACCTGCGTAACCAATCCTAACAGGCTGGTTTCTAATCATTCAATACGTGAGCTCCAATACAACCGTTTAGGGACACATATAGGAAGTTTACGATGATCAGCTAAGCCGTATGACGAGATCCTGCCGTGAAAAGCGTATTCTCGGTAAGTTGTGCCGCTTCATCATGCCCCATGAATGTAAGCTTACCGTTTCAAAGAGAAGTAATATCGGTAATGCTATTAGGATCACAACAATATTGAAAAAGATACGAAGTCACAGGTCAGCTCAACGGTAAGCTTATAGAAATCTATACTATCCCACCCCGTAATATCGGTGGCGGTGTATTGTGCCCTGAAAATTGGAAGAGTCACGCCCATGTTCTGAGGTATTGTTTTCAGCTTCTGCGCACGTCTCTTACGCGGTGTGATTTTCAACATGGATGGCACTATATCGGTGTGTTGAGTTTTGAAGTCTAGCAGTGCATTCTTGCAATCTATAAATTAACGTTGTCCCGCGAATCTCTGCAATTATAACAAAATTACTCAAAATTACTCTCTTATTATTCTTTGCCAAGTAACGAATTCTATCTATCACATACAAACCTGTCCTAATTAAATCCAAAAATCATGGCTCAAGTACGTAGCGCAAGTCTTCAATTCGAATGAGCCGAACTAACAAAACCATTAGAGCAATGGCGTAACGTCAGAACCGGCCATCACAACGATGAACGGTGCTCCCGTTCTAAAACCAGCATCTACTCAAAGAATTGGCAATCAGCTCAGGGCCACTCTTCTGCTTCAAGATATCAATCTCTTGGAATTGATCCAACATATCACCCATGAGCGAATTCCCGAGCGGTAAGTCGAAGATATCACTCCTCATTTCCAACCTTTGTCATGACTTGAACTGACCTGATCATCTGCAGTGTCGTCCATGCAAGAGGTACCAGCGCCCACGGATACTTCGAGGTCACAGACGACATCTCAGATGTCACATCCGCAGCTTTTCTAAACCGGGTTGGAAAGCAGACCGATTTGTTCTGTCGCTTCTCTACCGTAGCTGGTCGAGCAGAATCTGCAGAAACTGTCAGGGATACTCGTGGTTTCGCTTTCAAGATGTTCACTGAGGAAGGTAACTTAGATTGGTTGTTCCTTAGCACTGTAAGTCAATTCGGGCTAGCATTCGAGATTTGCTCAAAAAGCTTATATTCTAATTAGCCTGTCTTCCCAATTCGGGATGGAGCAAAATTCCCTTCTTTCACTCATGCAACCAAGAAGAATCCACGAAGTGGTTTACCAGATCATAAGGCATTCTGGGAGTAGGTTTTGATCCTTTACTATCCTATCTTGACAGACTTTTAACTCCTTCTAGCTACTTCACTCACAACCAAGAGGGGATTCACTTCCTTATGTTCCTCTTCAGTGACCGTGCTACGCCGGTCGATTTCCAGCACGCCGACATCTTCAGTATCAACACCTACAAGTTCACCAAATCAGACGGTTCATTCACATATGTGAAGATACATCTCAAGACCAACCAAGGAGTGAAAAACTTCACACAAGATGAGGCCAATCAGAAGGCCGGTGTCGACCCCGACTTCCAAACTCGTAGTCTTTATGAAGACATTGAAAATCAAAAGTATCCAACGTGGGATGTCTTTGCTCAGATCATTGATCCTGTCAAAGCCGAAAATTATCATATCAATATCTTCGACGCAACCAAAACATTCCCATTTTCGGAATTTCCTCTTCGCAAGTTCGGTAAAATTACACTCAACAGGAACGTGGATAATTTCTTCGCCGAACAAGAGCAAAGTGCTTTTAGTCCAACGAATCTCGTTCCTGGTTGGGCTCTCACTCCAGATCCTAGTAAGCTCTTTCTTCTAGTCATCAAGGACTGCGATTTTCTGTTCATAAAAATTCTAACAAGTATACTAGTCATTCAAACCCGTGCTCTTGCCTACGCAGACACTCAAAGATATCGCCTTGGAGCCAACTTTGTTCAACTCCCTGTCAACGCTCCATACAAGAAGCCCTTTACTCCTCTCATTAGAGACGGAGCAGCTACTATCAACGGTAACTTCGGCGGTACTCAGAATTACTTCCCATCATCTTTCTACAATGTTGGAGTGGCGACACAATATGCACAACCTGATGAGGAACAGTTCCAAGGAACAGTCGTCAACTTCGAGAGTCAAGTCGTCGATGCAGATTACGCGCAGCCAAGAATATTCTGGGAGAAGACATTGGCTGAAGAGCCAGGTCAACAAGATAACCTTATCAGCAATGTTGCGGGTCATTTGAGCTCCGTTACTGGAGACATGGGACTTGAAGTTCGGCAAGCGGTCTACGGTATGACATGCATCCACTTCTTCATTTGTATTATTTACTAATTTCTTGGCCAGCAATGTTCGGCAAAGTCAACTCAGATCTTGGCAAGCGCATTGAAACTTCAACAGAGGCTTTGATAAAGCAAAACGAGACTGTAACAGTGACCAAAGATCTGAACAATATCAAGATCAGCAAGCAAAATGGAGTGAAGAATGGAATAGTAAATGGTAACAGCCATAACAGTGGTATGTTCGCTCATAAGAATTGGAACTAGGAGATGTCAGCTTTGTTGTACTTGTAATGTATTGTGGGCAGTTGGAGTGAGTAAAGTCTGTTTTCTGAATAAAACGGTTTGTGTAGTGATAAGTGCGGAAATGCATCTTCCCCAATCGTGTGAAGGAGAAGGGTTAGAAGATATAGAAGAAAAAGCGGATAATTTTAATTTATTTTGGATGTATTTGACGCCTTGCATTTGAGTATCGAGAAAATTGCTAGCCCTTATTGGAAATTTTTCAAAAGTCAAGCAAAACGAAGAGGCGAAAACGTACCCCCAATCCCAGATGTCCTACGCTTCTCTTCCAAGTACCTCAAAGCCTCGAATCAATCAACGAGATAGGGAAGTATATATACCACAAAAACTTACGGCAAACGAATGCGGAATCCCATATGCGGGTTGTTTTGCCGCCTGAAATAGGAGCTACCAAAGAGAAAATCAGCAGACACAAATCTCTGGTAATCTGGGGAGTTCAACATGGCTGAATTGACACCGTTGACTTGGGAAACAGAATTTTCACAGCTACCATAGATTCGTAATGGGACGATAATATAGTGAGACGAGGATAATCAGATTGCGTATCGGACGAGAATACAAAGACTGAACCAAACACGCTTGGGAGGCAGTACATCATATTCCCGTCTCGCGAATATAGATTAATCGTAACCGGGCATTGATCACTATTTGAAAGATAGCACGTGAGACAATAATTGGGATTGGTTGGAGAACTCATCAAAGAGTAAAGAAGAAATGAAACAACAATTTCTGACCCAAAAAAGTTCCAAGATTATTTACAAAGCTTCGATGAAACAATTCTCTTGTCTTGACAATTCACGACTGTTTGCGCCTTTCCTCATCGCTGGTGTATGCCTCCCAAAATTCCAAACGCCATGGGTATTATTTCGAAACAAAACTCTCTGTACCAAGGGTGAGCAACACTCATATTATGACGAATACCATATGGGAACTGGCATCGATAATTCAGTTTGAAAATGGCTTGAATCTGAATTCTGAAAGCCATAAGTCCCTGCTGGTGGGATACGGTATGGCTCTGGTTCATTGGGCTGTTCTTGGTAGCCTCCTCCAAATAACGAATGATGTATATGTTGCTGACTGTCCCATTGCAATGGAGGAGTTTGCTCCCGAGAATTATTGTGTTCTGCTTGAACATTGTTTTGTGGTTGCTGAGAACTTTCCGGGATTTGGCCACTCGCAACGACCTTCTCGAATAAAGCCGCTCTCTCATCTTGTAACTCCTTCCTTTTCACTTCCAGATTTTTCTTCTTTTCTTTGACTTCCTCACGAAAGTTGACCAGACGTTCATTGCTATTCTTTATTTCTTGAGACAATCGTGACCGTGCTGCGACCACCTGTCGCTTGCACTTCTCGATATTCTCCTGAATCTTGAGGTCAGAGAAAGTCTTATCGAAAATTACATCGGACATTAAACTTCCTTGTGCAATATTCATCGGACCCAAAGGTTGAACGGCTGGTTGCATTTGTCGTGCATGAGAAACCAACGCTTCTACTTGAGAAGAAAAATGATGAGCTTTTGCAAATGAAGATCGTTCCATCATACAATTGAATCCTCCATCGACTCCCCATGCATCGATATATGATGATTGTGACGCATAATCCATAGTCACGATGCACTGGTTGATGACGGCGGAAGCTTTCTGCAAAATCAATAAGACGTTGGATTCGGTACTTAACAGTAATTGTCCCTCGTTGAACGAATTTTTGGCACGAGAAAGAATATGTTCCTTCGCATCTTCTGTTGGGAAATCATGCGATGGGCCAGAAAATATAGAATTATAAAGAGCATCTAATTCCGCTTGTGCTGCATTATGTTCTTCTACCAAAGGTTTCAACGACGAAGCTTTGGATTTGGCATCTTGAAGTGTATCGTTCAGATGACTCAAATGACGCTTGGCCTCCAGTTCTTTCTGAATTGCATTCAACCATTCTCGGTGTTCTTGCTCTCCTGCCTCGATAAATTTGTCTTTTCTCCCACGTAATTTGTACGCCAGACGTTTGACAGTGGAGCCTTGATATTCGTCGTAGTCTTGGTGTTCCTTTGCACTTGCTGCGACCAAAGTTTTTACTCGTTGCTCTTGCTGGGAGATGATACTCTCGATAGATGATTGGTATTGTGTGATTTGAATGTATTCAGACGGTGCATGATCCGTTCGCGAAAGGATGGAGAGTAGATGCGCGTTTTGAGCAGCTGAGGCTAAAATATGTTGTGTTGCCATGGATAGACCTTTATTTTTCAAGTGTTTGAACCAGAAGAAATTATCCGGAAGGAGAGGTGGAAGCTTTCAAATACATGAAAGCTACAAAGCAATCGGGAGGATGACGCAAAGTTGGTGATCTTCAGACCCATTTGAGCGGTTCGCTGAATATTATGTCAGGGCATATCCACTCACCGACCTGGTCGTTTTCCTTAGGTAGCTGCAGAGTCAGCACAGCCTCAACTTATCTGCGCCTTGCGTTTGTGAATCATTCAGCAAATCAAAATCAAGAACAAGGTACGAGAATAGTGGTGACAAGAACTTTGAACAAGACTTGTGATTCTAAGAAAGCTTCTGTGAGTCTGAATGTTTTGAAGGTGGCCATTTATCTCCTGGAATATCAATTGCTTGAATGGCGCTACAGGTAGCATGATCGAGCCTGGGTACTTTAGATGGATATTCTTTCGATTATTTGTCAAAGATTCTGGGGAAACGCATTCTTTTGATATCAAACTGCAATTCGGGCAAATAACAAGATGGGCATTGTAGTAGGCGGGTATAGCCACATAGCCACAAGTCAAATAATAGCTACTAGCTACTATAAAATAACCAGCTCCAGAGTATTTTTGAGAAAGTTAGTAGATAACCACCAGTTCGCATTTTGTTTTCTTCTGCGAATTCGAGGCGACACAATCGATGAAATGTTGGATGCTTGTTTCAAATATTATGTCATCCAAGTTGTGTAAGGCTAAGCGAGGACTAAGGTTATGTGTAGCCTTGCATGTTCTCAATCGTCAGCCTTATCTACATCTCGACACAAACGGGGTCATACCCTTTCTCTTAAGCATCATATCTATGTATCAATACCCTTCCGATAATGATAATCTGTCTGCAAAATCCCAGAGAGATAGGTGCCTCGATCGTTTATCTAAGGTTTAATGCTTCGAAAGGGAATAATGTCCGGCATCGTCAATAAGACCACCGAGTCGAAGCGTGAATCTGCCAGTGAAATACCAGAGTCAACCCCAATAAATAATACCCGATTCCGCCGACTCCTGACACTTGCCTCAATAGCAGTCGTCAAACGATTTCGTCGGCGTGGTCCTGGCGTTCTCAATATATCCAAGGGGATTTGCGTTAAATTTGGCACCTTCAGAACTTTGGCAGAAGCGTCAGCCATGAAATTCATTGGAGAGCACACGTCTATTCCAGTGCCTAAAATCTACTGTTCTTTTGTACACAAGGGAATAACTTATATTGTGATGGAAAGAATACGTGGAAAACAAATAGCGCGTGGATGGGCACTTCGGACGCCCGAATCTCAAGCTAAAATACTTTCACAAATTCGAGAAATGGTTGCGGAGATGCGCAAGTTGACTCCGAAAACTTCACAAATTGCTAACGTTGACGGAGGAATACTATATGATGGAAGGCTTGATGGACCGGAACAATTTGGGCCTTTCGCAAACACCAATGAGTTTCATAGATACCTGCGGTCGGATGTTCCAGCTCGTCCAAACAACCCCGAGGGTGTGAATGAGCTTATAGAATGGCAGGATAGACCTTGGCTCGATCCACCTGTCTTCACACATGGCGATTTGAGTAGTTTCAATATTCTGGCAGTCGGCGACAAAGTGGTCGGAGTCATTGATTGGGAGACTGCTGGGTGGTATCCCTTCTATTGGGAGTATACAACAGCCATGTACGTTAACCCGCAGAACATGTTCTGGAAAAAGGAAATTGATAAATTTTTGGATCCATTCCCTACCGCACAAGTTATGGAAGAAATTCGGCAAAAATACTTCGGAGATTACTGAGTCGAGATCACATCACTGTTATTCTACAGGAGGCTGCACTTTGTATTATGGCGTTAAATTAGGTGAAGGTATTAGCAGGATTCAAGGGCAGCATGATCTCATTCTTACTTTTGCTGCAATGCTAGGCAAATAATGCTGCTAAGTTGGCATGCGAAGACTATAATTTTCTAGGGGGCTATGTTTAATATTTCAACACTCAGATGCGAGGAGTTCTGGCTTTTCTTTTAATCGCCCTTTAGGCGACGACTTGGCGTTATAAGAAGCTAAGGTTAATAAAATATAGGGAATGTTATGAATTCACAATTATCAGTTTGATTTACATTCGCATTCTTTATCTGGGACAGTTTTGTTGGCTCAATTTCAATTATTAGCGTATTTCAAAACCATGATACACGTGAAATTACTTCGTCAACAAAAAATTCGCACTACACATTGAGATACATCGAGATGCATTGGATGAAGATGCATTCATTCACAAAAGTAGAACGTGTTTCTGTAGTAGGAGGCTAAATTGCCAACACAATCCACCAAAGCTCACCTGCAATGCTTGATCTTTCGGCTCCTCCTAGCTACCCTTATCTTAAGCCCTAAAGCTTTTATCAATAGTTGATTTGGTATGATAGTGATTGAAAAGATACCAACAGTCTAAACTACTGCCACGTCAACTCACGACGGCGATTAGATTGTAGGCTGGTTCCAGATCAGACAACGAGGCAATCAATTAACGAACCACATACGACTTATCTGACTCTGAATACCAACCGTTTAGCGCGAACTAGTATGCGACCGCAGTTCGGCTATCACATCTATATCTAGCCGCGATAGAACCGCACTCCATATGATTGCTACACGTTAACTCATACAATAGGCTATTTTCATGAAACAGAAAACTGCAGGAGCATCGTTGGTGCCAAGGTCCTTGTGTTAGTTTATGCACTTGGGAAGTTACTGTGCTCTGTCGAGCGATCGGGCTATTAGGAAGACTATTTAATTATCCAGAATTGTTCACTCCACTTTCACCACCGAAGAGTAAAATCGCTTTGAAGCAACCATGCCTTCTGGCAAGCATCGTCTTTATATCGCACTGTATGCACGTGGTGGCAAGCCCACCATGCCAGAGAAAGAAGATACGTAAGAACACCGCGTCCACACTCTCTACCAAACGTCAACTAACCATCTCGAACTGAAGATATCATTGGGGTTTAGTCGTCGGGCCTAAAAAAGAAGTTGAAGATTCACGAGGAACCCGTTTTCATGCTAAGGAGTTTTTGTCCCCCTCGACTGGAAAATTCGAGTTCAAGTACGAAGAGGTGTCTATACCTCTTCTAGCAACGCAGATGCTTTTGGTGCGAGTGATGATTGCGAAAATAGAAAATTATGATCGCATGCTGCAGATACTGCGGGCCGTTCCTGTTAGGAGTAAGGATGAAGGGTGGAATTGTGTAGGATGGGTAAGAGAAGCATTGGTAGATTTGCAAAATGATGGGAAGACTTTGGGCACCGCTGTGATTGAATGGGCTATGGTCCGAGACGCGGCCATGAACTATTGCCAGAGGAAGAAGGACGAGCATCGATTTGACGGGGTGGTTGAATGGAAAACGGATAAAGCGGCAACATTTGACCTGATCAATGGGAAGGAGGTAATACCTTAGAGTCTTACGAATAACCTTTACAGAAGTGAGGTACAGAAGTTAGGACAAGTATTTACCAAGCCATGTCTTTGTTCCTGCGTGTTGAGATCAGTAAGAGACGCTCGAATATTGAAAGTATTTTGAATATTCAAATCATTTTGGACTTTCAATGTACTATAAACATCCAAACCATGTGAAATACTAATTTAGTTGTCTTCAAATGAAACTCTAGATAGCGGCCGAACTCATTCTGCCCTCTCGACAGCGAATCCCACGATCTTCCCCTTCTGTATTTACAGGCATATCCTTCTGTTCCCATCCCAACTTCTCGATAGTCTTGAATTCAGCTCTCATTTTCCACTTTGATCCCCTTTCTACTCCCAAGTTCATGTATCATTCCCTAAAATTGCTCTGCATCATTCAGCCAGCGACCTCCTTTCATCAACTTTGTTTTTTTCTGGAAAAAACGCTGGGCTCGTTCCGAAACGGTGTCCCGCCACCAATATTGCAACTTGTAAAAGATTTACCAAGCTCTTAGCCGCTATTGCTTGTCCCTCCTAAGTCCATTGATGTAAAACCTAAGTTATCCAAATGATATGCATTTCCCGTTTCACTCTCTCGGACTCAAATTGAGATGCATAATATCACTTTCGATGTAATCAGCATGAAACTTCTCATGATCATGTAACATGTCGAATCCTAGATCCCAACGATTGACGATATCTATTCCATACATATTGATGGAAAGCGCAAAATCCAGCACAAATCTACGCAATTATTGACCGATAAAAGTTCCCACATCTACCAAAGTCGCTCCGTTTTTTACGACTTTTTAGAGTTTTGTCGCACATAAAATGGCGGGAGATGGTAGGGTTAAGAAGAATTTCTTGTCGGGTGTACATGTGAGAAGGATTGCAGATGTCTTTTTGTGCTGAAGATGAGGATGAAGGTCAAGGTGAAGTTTGAATACAAAAAGCAACAATGTTTTGCAAGTGACTTACAGTTGCATTGAAATGTTTAGAAGCTCGGTGGATAGGACGTTGCTGTACCTAGGTTTAGAGATAGTTTCTGGTCTATGGCTTTAACTTGTGCTCGGTAGTGGGAAGGTATCAGGGGACGCCGATGGTATTGAAATTCTTTGACACATAATGGCTCAAGATATGTGGTGGAGTCCATAAGCGTGCTTGTTCATAATGGATAAGAATCGGGACAATGTAGTATTCGATTGGTAGAGGTCCAACTATGATTTCTGCTTGGCGAAGTATTTATACGCGGAGTACAACATGAAGTTGTCCAAAAACGGTAGCGGCTGTAATAGTATGTAAGATTTCGCGTATTATGTCGTAGAACATAAATATTATGGGTTGATGTTACACAACTAAGAATGGATATATAATAGCATCGAGTGAGAACTGTCTCTTTACCAATGTCTTCCAGCTACCTTCCACCTGGTAAGGTTAAGATATGAGATGCCTTTTGCACACTTGCGCGCGGCATATTTGTATATCGCTGTTGCAGATATCTTTCTTGCTTTTTCCGGCACCCTGCTGCCTCAGGATGTATACACATTCGGGGTTGTTCGAGGAGGAAAAGCAAACCCTTCAAATGTCCTGATCAGACCAGAATAGCTGTCAATCAATGGTGGTTGGGACCTTCCCCATATCACTAGAATTGATCAGCCTATCGAGAAATCAATCGGTAAAGTGCTTCTTTGGACCGCTCTTCGTGTCCACTGCCGCTAGAGTACCAGTTGTCGCGATATCAATGGTGAGTTGAGCTTGAGCTTGAGTTCTTTTGTTCAAAAATGCTGTCAGCTGTTCCCCACTTCTGCTACGTCGGGTTGTCCCCTAGCCCCTCTCAGCCTCCTACATCAAGCTCGCATGCTAACTTACTCGAATTCTGACCCCTCAAATGTTTCGTTATGATTCATGAAATATTGAAAATCAATGTTCTAATAAGTATAAGGCCTAGTGTTTTCTTGAATATGTAATAAATAATGGTTCTTATCTTCTCGTCTTATTTCCTGCTGGACTCCCTTACCGCTACTCATGCAATCACTTCTCAGCTGTGCTCTCCTTACATGAACTAATACACGCATTCAATACGTGGACGGCTGCAGATCAATTCGAACATATAAATTCACTGGGAGGTGCAACATTGCGTCCTTTATCAGTCCTCCATCTTTGAGACCATTCATATCGCGAAATGGCTACATCAAACCCATCTCAAGATGTTGCTGATATCATTCATCAATCACATCCAGTAGATACCACAAGTCCATACGATGCAGGCTGGGTAGCAGGAAAAACGATCATTATAACCGGTGGAGCATCTGGTTTCGGCGAAGGTTTCTTCAGAACATGGGCACAGCATGGAGCAAATGTAATAATTGGAGATGTCAATAGTGCAAGGGGGAAAGCATTGGTCGATGAAGTGCGCAAGGAGACTGGCAGTCAAAACCATCATTTTCTATATTGTGATGTAACAAATTGGCAATCACAAGTCGACTTCTTTCGCACAGCTACGGAACTAAGTCCCACCAAAGGCATTGATACCGTGGTTGCAAATGCGGGAATCGTAGAAGATCCCTTGTCATTTCAGAGACCTGTGGGTCTGGATTTGCCAGAACCACCCAAGCCGAACTTTAAAGCCTTTGACGTTGACATGGTCGGAGTTATGTATACCGCACACTTGGCCATGTGGCATCTGCCTCGAAACCCCAGATCACAAACAGCCAAAGCATCGGCAATCCCCGGCCCAAATACACCGGATAGACATTTACTTTTGATTGGATCGGTAGCCTCACTTGCTCCTCTTGCTGGATCGGTAGAATATTCAGTCGCAAAACATGGGGTCTTGGGGATGTTCCGTTCATTGAGATCTACAGCCTTTGCCAATGGCATTCGAGTCAACATGTTATGCCCATACTTTATTGATACGGCTATCATCCCTGCAAGCGGTAGGTTGATATTGGCAGGCGGAGCAATGGGAAAACCGGAGGACGTCGTGGATGCTGGGACAAGACTCGTGGCCGACACAAGAATAGTTGGTAGAGCTTTGGTCATCGGTCCAAAGGTTCGAGTTGATGGAGATTTTGACTTATTACCAGAGACCTCAAAAGAAGGAAATGAGAAAGCTGTGTGGGAGGCTTATGCTGATGATTTTGTCGAACTTGAGGTTTTCACTCTAAGATTTATCAAGTTGCTCAATACAGTTCAAAGAATCAGAGGCTGGGGAGGCTGGATGCTTGATATTGCTAAAGCATTTATGTATCCCTTAAGCTTTCTTAGACGTCGATAGAAAGAATCTAGTTATATTCTAGATTAGCTTAGGCATATTTGATTGTCACTCTGAAATGGGTCATTCAGCGGTGCCATGAGCCTATCAGATAGGTATGTTTGAAATTGGTATGTGATTATTCTCGTCTGCGTCGCGTTAGGGGGTGCATCATGTTAGTTTCATAATACAAGAATTACATCTTGTAAAGAGAGGCGATACTTATTTTCCCGGATCTTGATCTTGTAGTTAAAGTCAAAAGGCCAGATACTTTGTTCAATCGTGTATGTATAAGCTAGCTGTCTATAAACATATTTAATGGGGTTCAGGATACACTCGAGTGCGGAGCGTGTCATCCACTTTGTACTTGGTATTTGGCCTACAAATTTAATTAAAGCTTCTGATTGTCCAAGAGCCCCTTTTACAAATTGAACTATAGATTGCCGATTGATTATTTTTTGACAGTGCCTATGTCTCTTTCCTTCATTCTTTCCTCCCTCCGCAACTTCAACAGACAATCGATGTTTCTTTCCTGCAAAACATGAGGAGAAAGAATTCAGATGCGACTTCCCTATTCGTCTCGCCCACGACTTCTGAAAATGGTCTAGTGCAATTTCCATATTTTAAATCTCTTCTTATAACGCATATATATCGAGGTCGACCATTTCTCTTGAACTCTTGTTTACGACTTCACCAGTATGAACACATTCGAATCCATATAACCGTGCCATACAATCTGCCATTCTCTGTCGTTCATCATCTCCTGATCTTGTTTCCTATCATCAAAATGTGGCAAAAAGAAGATCCATTTACAACTCCTGTAACTTCACCGAATCTCCTATACAAGTGGGCTAGAGCAAGCCGTCATTCACGCTTCTCAGGCTTTCGTATAACCCCAACAAGAATTGGGATTGCTATGATTTTCTGTGCTGGTCTATTTTGGTTCCATGGAACCTTACGTAAAGTCGAGGCTGCAGATGTTTGTCCGCCCTACAAATGTCCAGACAGTGCTGACATGAAATAGCCTCCTTCAAAGTCCATTGTTGATTTGAAAAATAGCACTGTTCTCAGTGTCCCGTTTCAACCGATAGAATCAACAGCTTATAGAGCTCCAGACTCCATTGATGCATTCGCAAGCTATAAATTTCGAAACACTTGCAATATTTCTTCGCTGGATCTTCACGCTTCTTTTGGCCCATTATGTACAGATCGACGTTCTATGCTTACGGCTATGGCGTCGGGTGGTCGAATTGGATTTGATGCTCCATACATGCCTAGGGCTTGTGATTTTCGCTGGTTCACATCGGAGGAGATATGTGAGATCCTCGGAAGGTTTGAGAAGGTCTTGATCATTGGGGATAGTATGTTAAGACATGTGGCGGGATGCTTCAATATCTTTTTGAGAAAGGATATTGGGTATGGGGCTGTGACGGATTGGAACTTTAGTGTACAAGAGAGGTAAGCATCATCATGTCGCACCCCAAAATATATCCAGCATTTGAATGATCGGGATCCTTTTGGATATTCCCATGCCTAGTCTATTGCCTCCTACTTACTTGGTGCCTCTCACCAGGGTTTGAAAATTAGAGACTAACATACCGATAAAAACTAGGAAGGAGTGTTTTTGCAATGAACAGTTTGATGTCAAAGCTTGTTCAGTACAGGGTATATATAAGACCTCAGATGTAGAGGCTCATGATCCAGGAAGCATATCTTGTTCAAATTCAGTCAACGTCATGAGTGAGTTTTTTATCCTCTTGAAGAGGTTTCCACGGCTAACATTCACAAAAATAGTGGAAGAGATTGTCTACTTCAACGTACCGGAAGAAGAAATATCTCGCCTCCGCGCTGATCTTCTTGCCCGTCCTAGTTCTAAGCCTATAGCTATAATTTTTGGTCATGGTCTTTGGTCTGATCTCGATCTTCCAAAGACAATCCAATGGCTTGACACTTTGGTTACACTCATAGAATCTACAATTAGTCGAGAGAAATGGAAAGGTCTTTTTGTCACTCCAAACGCAGCAGGTAAAGAAAAGACGGATGAGTGGATTGTAAGTCAAGGGAATAAAGCATTAATGTTATATGAAGAGGCAGTGGGAATCGAAGCAGAAAAAAGAGGGTTAGAGCATTTAGGCACTTGGAATATGAGTATTCAAGCGAGGAAATATGATGGAGTTCATTTGGATCTGAGGGGGAATTTGGTAAAGAGCATGATGATTATCAATTGGTTGGCGATGTTGTGAGCAAGATGGAATGTGGGATCTTATATGAGAGGAATCACGTCAATATTGTCGCCATTGAAGAGTCTTTGCAAGAGACATCAAGACACAGAAATAGAATCCTAACCTTTCGATTAAGATTTGACAAACCAAATGTCTTTTCGAGGTGAATGTGCTCTCGGGAGGCCAGGTAATTGAGATTGAATTAGCGACCCTCGATCTGAAGTAAGGGATGAATATCTAGGTAGACTTGAGTAGGTGAGATGTGATAGAAATTCAAATATCTACTACATCAAGTACAAACGAGGTTGTCCGTGCGTTACACGTCTTCCCCCGCAACTCAAACGCGTTTGTCGAATTGAGTCAAGGGATGAGGGGCAGTAATGGAATTCGATTTTCTATCGAAACATTACATTTCCGTATGGATTTCTCAACATTATTCGCTTTTTTTATTTCATTGCTCTTTAATCTTCTGGATGTTCTCATCACACACTAAGTATTCCATAACATCACAACATAACCTGACTTTAAAATGGTAATCCAAAATTTCAAAGATGATTGGCCTCTGGACGAGAAGTATGTGCTCTCACATTGATTTGCTATCAATTTCTAACTTTCTGCTCTTCATCAGAGCTCTAGGGACAGAGTTTGTTACTGTTCAAGTTGGCAAACAAAAGAAAGAAGTCGCTTTCCATAAGAAACTCCTCTCCAGTCGTTCCACAGCCTTCGAAAATCATATGAAAGTACTCAGAGAGAAGGGGAAATATCAATTCCATTGTGAACCACGATTCGAAAACGCATTTTCTATCCTCGTCACATATTTGTACAAAGGGTATGTCCCAGCGTGCCCAAACGAAGATGGACCCGGATCTAGCTCTTATGGTCGACAAATGAGAGAATTATACTATTTGGCCGAACGATTCGAAATCGTTGATTTAATGGACAAGACTATGGATGCGATTCAGGCTCATGATTGTCGATTTGATCGAGATATATACAAGCACATGCCAGAAGTCTACAAAAATACCACCAGGAAAAGCGCTTTACGGTATTACTGTGCTCTAAGTGCGGCATGGTATTTTGGTCGCCCAGGTTCTCCCAATAGTCAAAAACTAAAACGACTTGAAGCTATCAAAGATAAGGCGGACATTCTTTACGACGTTATGAAGTTGCAATTGAGATTCGAATCTAGCATTTCAAATGTAAAAAGCGATTATCGAGTTCCTTCCGATGAAAGTGGACTTGGCCATTGCACTTTTCATACGCATGGGGTAGGGGAGATATGCCAACGCCTAGTCTTACTTACGTCTCCCAAGACTTCTCATGATAGCAAAATCCACTGGCAAACACATCCGATTAATATCAGGGACGGCGGTAATCGTAGAATAGAGGGCAATATGAAAAACTGTCCGCAGAGATGTGTGAGCGAAAGTGAAAGTTCCGAAGTAGTAGAAGGGGAAAACGATGACGACATTCCCATCTTCACACAAGAGAAGCCTCGGCAGGTCACTGCAACGACTGGCACGAAGATCAAGAAAGAAGATGGTGAAGAGGAAAACTATTTAAATCAATCTGCGAGTGCAATTGTCTTAGGGAAGAGACCGAGGAGTGAAAGTCCAATACTAGGAAGCAACGAGAATGTTATTTCGAATTCAGGAAAACAACCACTCGAAACCAACGGCGAGGAAAGCTCAAGTAGGAAGCGACCATTCGTCATAATCAGCGGGAATACTTCACGAGATAGAAAATCTGAGCCTACAGGGCTTCCTCGAGGGACACAGCAACAACAGCAGCGAATATGTGACGCTCTTGGTTTGCGCAAAGGCCATGATGAAGATAGTTCAACAAGTATCAAGCCAAGAGCCCCAGTACTTTTCAATCAATCAAACGGTCAAATTACTACTATGAGAAACGATGCGAGTCGTCTCACATCTGGCTCTGTAATGTCGAATTATGGTCGTGGCGTTGATACATCCAGGGTTAGTGCTTTCATATCTAACAATCTCAATTCTACTCCTACTTCTCCCAGATCCTCATTCTTCCACAAGAAACTTGTATTAACTTCAACAGATTTTACCAGGGGTGCGATAATAACAGATGCAAGAGATTGCATGCATGTAGTGATTGTAAGGTGGACATTCAGCTTTATACCATTTTTATCTAGTATTGATCAATACAAATCCGAATCTAAACATAATGAATGCATGTCTCAGCAATCGAAGTGACCACGTTAGATTTGTAACATTTCTGGGTGAGACAAAATGTGATAGTGGCTTTTAGGATATTCGATATTGAGAAAGAAATTCATCACATGCTTTCGAGACATCGGCCCGCGCTAAGTCGCGTCTCCCTCCCTCGAAAATTGAACCATCCTCCCCTCAGTTTTACCCTTGGCCTTTCAGCCTTGCGTGGTTGAATCGAATCCACTTGACTTTGGATCTTAGCTCACTTCTGTTGACAGTTTGGATTGAATTCTCGCAATACTTACAATATCTCTTTAATATCTGTATATCTTCAGATAAAGTCAAGCTCCGTTGATTCTTCCACCATGGCTTCTGATGAGGCAAACAATAGGAATGATTGGCCTATCACTCCAGAGTAAGGGATTCGATATCCTTTCGTATCAATTGAATGCTAATACTTCATAGTATTCTAGGAATTGAAACCGCAACAATTTGCAACGGTGGAGTCAAAGAACAAGAAATCACTTTTCATACCCGGCCATTGACTCGACTTTCTCCCAAATTTGCTCAATTTTGTCGTCGGAAGAAGCAAGTTGATGGTCGATTTACCCTCACATGCGCTCAGAATAAATATGATGCTTTCACATGTATCGCTCTCTATGCATACCATGGAAAAGTACCAAATCCCCCAAAGGACATCGATCCAATCTATACCCAGCGTTTGAGATGGATTTATTATGTGGCTGAGGAGTTCGGACTCAATGATTTAATGAACAAGACGATTGATGCTTTACGAGTCTATGATTTCAAATACAAGCAGGAAATCCATGCTCACACAGAAGAGATATATCACAATACTTCAAAAGGAAGCTTGCTGAGATGGTATTCTGCGGCATCAGCAGCTTGGTCTTGGGGACGAGAAACGGGACCTGCAACTGCATCACAGAGGGATAATCGTAAGAAATTCATTTCTTCTGGGAGGGGTAATCCGGACATCTTTGCGGACTTTCATCTGGTGGATCTTTTCCATCGGGATTATATCAGAGGTTTTGATACGGACTGGAGAGATGTTCATGATTCTGGTCTGCCAGTTTGCGCATTTCATTGCCATTCACCGGGAGAAACTTGTCATCGTACAGGAATTACGGAGCCGGCAGAAGTACCAGAGCATATTTCGAAGATTTTTGATGGGGTTGAAGATACTGTGCTTTTGAATCGTTCGCAGATTATTGATACCCCTTCAGATCGAGATGCGCGTTCGAGTGCACGGCAAAGCACTCCGCCAAGGTCTTCAGAGTCAGAAGTTGTCCAGCCAGAAGATGAGAATCTTAAGTCTGGAGATGGAAGAAATAAGACTCCGGGGTTTAGTCATGAAACCGTTCATCCAGTTGTGGGTCAAGTAATCAACGAAGACCAAGAAATGAGTGTGCTTCAAGAGATCACAATGAAGAAGTCCATTACAGAGGAAGTCACAAAGCAATCTTCAACAACTCGACTAGCTCCTATCAGAAATCCACCCTCAACAAGAGTTGTTCCTCCAGAAAGCAAAAAGACTGATCGATCGCAGAAGCATAGTTCAGAAAATGTCAAAACCGAAGCACCAAGTGAGGATCTTTACGGAGCATCTGATATCGATATGGATCGTGAAGCTTCCGAAAATTCCGTCGAACCAGGAAAGAAAGTTACAGAGTCCAGGACTTATGATGAGCAGCTGGCAAATGCATGGAGAGTACCATTGTCGTCATTTTCTCCACAAAATACTCGAATTGTACCTGGTACCGTTGTTACGAGCAAGCTTGGAAATACAAAACGTTCTCAGGCTATACGTGATGTCCTCAATATTCGTGATAGTCCCACTGTCATTGAAGATGAAGTTTCGAAGGGGTCTTCAAGAAAAAGTATTAAAAAAAGAAAAGCCGTTGTTACTGAAGATGATACTAATCATGACGGCGACTCTATCATCACTAAGAAACCAAAGACATCCAATTCAAGTCTCAAGTCTAGCATCAGAACTTCTGTATCGCAAAAGGCAAATGGAAAGAAGCCATCCAAAATTCAAAATTCCGAGTCTGAGTCTTCGGAAGAGGATAGTTCAGAGCGAAGTTCAGGAACTAGTTCTGAAATTAGTTCAAGTGATGAGGATGATGAGGTGATGAATGGTTGGTCGACTGATGAAGATACAGACTCCTATGACGATCAATCTATCTCCCAAGCTATTTCCCAAGTTGAGATAAATCAGGAGTCTGATTCAAGCGATAGTGATAGTGATAGTGAATCCGAGGAACAAGATCCAGAGCCATGCTTTATCGATTCCGGAGTCCATCTCCATATACCTTCAAAAGCCACCTCTTCATCAATTCTCGTTCAATCCCAACCTTCATTTAGTCAACCAGGTACTTCAAATTCACGAAATATACCTGGTGTAGCACCATTACGACCTGGGTATTGCCTAATCTACAACTATAAAGGACGTTGCAATAAAGCCTGTGGACTTCAACACTTGTGTCTGAAATGCGATCTTCAGCATTCCTCTCTCCATCATCATCAATACCAGCCAAACTTTCGAGCAGCGAATAAAGATCCTTCTATTGAAACCTGCCGAGACTGGAACGCCGGTAGATGCGCCGTGCGAGTCACAAATTGTACTCTACGACATATCTGCTCTATATGTAATGGAGGTCATCGAAGCATTTATCATGAGCACGAAGATCCATTTCTCAAGAGTGATAAGCAACGTCCTGATCGTACAGGAGGAGAGTCCAGTCACTTCCGTCGAGAAGGACGTCTTGATCATGGTCACTCACAAGCAAATTCTCCTCACATCTCAGCAAATTGGCCTGAAGATTCTCATTCCTCGTCTCGTCGCCAACAACATTATATTGAAGAGGTAGGACAACAAGATTCTACAATCGAATTAAAATTTGCCTCGTGTCAAATGTGGCAACGGGGTACGTGTATTAGGAAGAGAACGAAATGTCAATTATCGCATATCTGTGAAAGGTGTGGACAGTTGACTCATAGGACTGCGAAGCATGATACTTATATGAGTAAAACTGCTCCGCGGGCTTGATTTTTTTTATACTTAACGATTAATGGATTTGTTTTGCTGGTTGGCGTATCTGGGTAGTTTAGCATGGTGAGTTTTGCTTAAGAGGGGCTTTATCGGGAAACTTTACTTACTGCGTCGGTTTCTGCTGTTGATTTTTCTGCAATAAGGAGTCAGTCTGGGACATGCATTTATTTATATTTCTGACCGAGAGGATTGAATTGGTGGATTGATATGAGAAGGCTATCTACCTGTCCATGCATTGCGCGCGATATTCAAAATTCAATATTTAGCATCTGTTCTATTTTTGATTTCATTTTATCTCCTCTTCTCATCTCGTCTCTTAGGTATATCTCAAAGTCCGAGAATTCTCGAAATATATATACTTCAGATACCCAGCAAGCAAATAAAATATATGATCAAAACCCCTCCTCAGTATACATAGTAATTGCAGTCAGAGATTTGGATGAGTGTTGTATATCTACCTGGTACCCAAGCTAATAAATAAAATACATTTCCCGAGATCTCTCCTCCAAGCCCTCCTCTTCCTGCAAATCGAAACCCCAAACTCCACAATTTCCCATCTCCCACCGAGCCACCCCACCATTCCCACTTACACCCAAACCCCCTGGGGTGTCCATTCATTTTCTATCTCCCCACCTTAAAACCTGTACAATATATTCCTAAATTACTCCATTTTCGTCACAACAGAATACAAATCAGGGGCTGTAACTCAGTGGTAGAGTGCCTCGTTTGCAATATCAAATCTCTTACCAGAATCTGATAATTGAAAAATCGATGAAGTCCAGGGTTCGACTCCCTGCCGCTCCAGATTCCTTTTGTGCTTTTATTTTTGATTTGGTTTTGTTGACGGAGATGTTTAGGGGTTTTTGGTTTGAGGGGGATGTTTGGGAGGGATGGATGATGGATGGGGCGAGGAGATAGGTGGGTGGGTGCTGTTTTTGTGGAGGGTGCGATGGGGGAATGAATGGATGGGTTGGTTTGCTGTTTCTTGATTGCTCATATATTTATTGTGCATGTGTATGTATGTACATGGTAGGTATGTATATATATATATGTATTTGGAAATGGTAGTTATTCCTTTATTTTACTTTTATATGTAAACAAGTAAATAATTGTTTTTGGATTTTTACATACACAATAGGTAGCTATCTATCTATGTAGGTAGATAGGACTGGTAGGTAGGTACTTTATATACTTAAATATCGATCATTTATTTGAGTCTCTATCACTCCACTTCCTTGCTTCTTGTTCTTTTAATTTGTGTAGAGTTTCGATTAACGTTGCTGTATAATAAGTAGTACTGATGCTGATTTGGTTTGCATTTTATTTTATTGAGTAGTATGGTTTTGTTTTGTATCAGAACGGATATGTAAGAGATGTATCTACCAAGTGTTTATTCTTATGTGCTTAATCTACCTAGGTAGGTGTTCATTAGAAAAGAATAAATAAAGCGAGGAGATATGTATTTTTGATGATACCGTGTATGTGTGTATGATTTACTATATAATCGTTAATTGATTCTCAAATAAAGAATTTATTGTCTCTCTCATGGTGAGTTAATAGTCAAAAGATATAACTATGACGATTGATTGACTGTCCGGATTGGAATATGTATCCTGAGACGGATGGCATTTTTCGAGTCAGTTGGTGGGGGATTTGATCGTGTATTTCACTGATCGAACATTGAGAGGTTTTGTTGGATTTGGATTATAAAGCGTGGGATTGTTGGACAAAATTCTGAATTGATAGTTGATTCCGAGGTGGTGGTTCATTGGTATATGTGAACGTTGTGTCAGTCAGTCAGTTATGTTGGGTATCATATTCAATGCTATCATTTTTGGTGATCTAGCTCTGACTTGTCTCCCTCCTTCGTTATGATGATGATGTTTACAGCCTCTTCTCTCTTCTTCTGCATTCTTCTATAGTGTTGGTAAGCTATGTAATCCAATCATCCTCATATCCAATGCGAAGCCACTATCCTCTTCTGACAAAGCTCACATTCTGTTGAAACGATATTACTTCAAATACAATCGTTTTCGTCATCTTGTTACTGATGTAGGCGACTTAGACTTTGTATCTACCATTGAAGAGCTGATTCTATGTCCCCTCTTACTACGGTGTGTTGGGCTCGTCTTTTATAATGACCGCTTCGACCTTTCTTCTAACTGATCTGTCGATGCTACCCTCGGCGCCATTTCGATCACGTCGTCTTTTCCTTATGATCCTTCCATTTGAGCGATCTCTCAAAGTTCCATCCAAATTTCGTGCTTTGGCAAAACCACCAGGCAATCTGGGCGATCCGTCAAAATTGATGTGGAGGCATAGCTTATCAGCTTCATGGCAATGAAATTCGCAGGCATGAAAATCATGCATGTAGGTTCTGGGCCAATTGCAGGTATTGTATATTAGCTGGACCCGGAAAACATCAAATGCAAACTTGGGACATTCTTCTGCTGCTCTTAATAACTTATACTCAATTGAATCTTGTGAAGCAGGTATCTCTTTCGCAGAGGAACGAAGAATACAAGTGGTATCACAAGCGCAAAGCCAACGTAGCTTCGATGTAGTATTCGTATTGTCGTACAAACGTTTAATGTTCCATTCTTGTAGAGAGCGCTTCATAATTAGTAGGTGGTCTATGATCCTATCCTGCAAGAAGCTGACTTGGTATTTGGCTGCGACGAAATATAGCTCTAACAGTGCTGGCACCACCCCTATGGGAGTGGGAATATTCAAATCCTGATTTTCAAGGCAATAGATAAAGATTCCAAATTGTTCACATTCCTCCTCTACCCGAAAGCTGAAGTCCAGGACTGAAACGGCACGATTGTCGCAAAGTTTCCGAAAATATGGAGAAGCGTCGTATAGCACGTCGTGCGATATTTGATATCGTTTCCTGGCTTTGCCAACGACTATTACGGTCATTCTCGGCCCTTGCTGCCTGATCAAGTTTATTAGACTGTGAAGTTAGAACAGTGAGAGGAGCATGTCACTGACTGTGCCGTCTTTGCAGTAGGCTTAAGTTCTTTGGTAGCCTCCACTTTGGCCAGATGTTGTTTCCCGAGATTGTGCTGCTCCAAATGGTGTATTCTCTTGCACTGTATGCCACAAAATTCGCAGGTATAGTACCCATCTTTCTTGCGCGACGTTCCCCGCAAAAAGACGGAGAACATTTGATTGGGCTCTGGGAACAAGAATTCCCGGGCTCTGGATTGACGCGGTTGAGGGTCGATTAAAGAAGTCCGTCCGAGATGGGCTTCGTACTGAATAGAAAGGCAGCACAGCAAGGCAATATTATGACTTTTGATAGAAGATACTTCAGAGCTGCAAGTGTTCTAATGTCATAGCAATAAACTAGAATCTATTAATGACAGCTAAGTATGACTTGATGACTGGATACCAAGGACTGAAGATGGAAGTATTGTATGCGGTAATTTTGCGATACGATAGAATAGAAAACTGCACTTTTTGTATACACAATTGGAAGGAGCTATGAGAAGGTAGATTGGGTTATGACAATCCCAGTCATCCAATCGTTCAAACAGGCAGACTAGCTGAAAGCTTTCAATCTTTTAAATTATTGGAAGAAGCACTTTGCGGTGACTCTAGACCGAATGTCTCAATTGGAGTTGGGAATTTGGAGTCTCTCTTTATTGAACTACAATCCAGACTCCTGCAAATCCCATGATTATTGTCAAATTTTCATGACGCCACTTAGCTCTTAAGCCTTAAGATCTAAAGAAAAACAGTAAGGTAATGCTGCAACTGGTGATATATTACAGGAAGTGGTTCAATGTTCTCAACAATGAAGGTACTCGATCCGCAAAACTTATCACCTCCAAGAAGAGACACCAAATATTATGACCTCAAGGTTTTTGCCGCTCCAAAAGTTATGGTTGTATTGGACTCAAGGTAATAGGGAGGCCACTAGTCTTCAATGACCATATCTATCAAGCTATATGCAAAGGAGAATTGCGTGTAGGCAGACTGCTGTCTGCGATGGATGGATGTCTTGATGTAACAGTGTCGTCGCTGGCGACATATAAGTGATATATATACTTGTCACACAGACATCACCGGATTGAACAATCTGATTTATTCATCATCAATGCTTAAAAATGCATTTGAATGTCAATATTCAATATTCAGCAGTCATATGCTTGCCATAAGTAATTTCTAGCATCAACATATATGGATTACCTAAACTTAAAGCCCCAACCATAAGGCATGAACAATTTTCACAATCCTCCCAAATCATGCAGTTCCGCAACCTCAATCTCAGCGACTGCCTTACGTTCAACTCCCACAGTTCTCAAGATGTCTATGTTTCGAGCCAAAAAGCTTGATCTAGGATGTTTTATAAACATCAAAGTCATCCGTGACCATACTAAGCGACAAGTGTTCGCTGAGCATGAGACTGAAAGGTATGTTTTCTTCTTCCCAATTATAGCTTGTTCAAGTCCCGCCCTCCTTTGAGTTTCAGTTCATTATCTCATTCACCGTACCGCATCTCGCACATTAATACTTGGCTCATCCCATTCTATGTTGCAAGTCCAATGGCTGACAGACAAACTTCCGTGCGAATAGACAAGCTCTTCGCTACATAATCCGCAATCTTTCACTACCTCCTAGAGTTCGTTTCCAAGCACAACTGGAATTGACTCAAATGCATTGTTATACAAGACCAACGCAAATTAGGAATAGATGCATCTTGGGAGGTAAAGGAAGAGGTATCTTGAGGGATTTCAAAATGTCCAGGGTATGTGCTTCTTTTATTATGGTTCCGGAATACGAGGGATATTAGAGAGAATGTAGGTTTGCGGATTTTGCTGATCATATACCTGCGACTACAGTACAACTTCAGAATGAATGCGCTGTCGGGAGATTTACCGGGTGTTAAGAAAGCAAGTTGGTAAAGAATGTACACTTTGATCGAATGAATGGAGGGTGAGGCACAAAAGATATACGGACCTGCGAGTAAGCGTCCAGAAACCTGAAAGCTACGAGCCCAATTACGAATGTACGATTGCAGAAGTACTCCGGCGGTTGACATGTAACATATATGGACATGGAAATGAGATTTACACTGGTACCGCAGGCAAATCCAAAGATGATGAAGTGGATAAAATGAAGGAAGAACAGAAGTATTCGACTTACTCTGTTTGGATGTCATAATATGGCAATAGGTATTCTACGCATCTCTGAATGGAATCTGGTTGCCAAATATTAGAGTCGTGCAAAGGTCATTCATTCCTTGGTCAGGTTGTAGCAACATGAATCCGAACCTACATTCACATAAGATGTAAAATATCTACACACGCAGAGGGCGAAGGTCGATATTTCTAATGGGTAGTTGCCGTGAGAAAATTCATCGCTGCTGGTTTCGACACTCAACCTGCAATTTCCCGAGTTAAGCATTTATTCTCATCTATACTTGGTAGCCTTGCAGAAAACTTTCACTTCTTCTTCCGTCCTGAATGCAACCCTCTTCCATCACAAACACAAACAAAGCACCACCCAAACACACAAACTTCGTATCCTCACCAAACTTCAAAGTTGAACACTTAACTATATTCCTCAAATACTTTGCGATATAGATATTCACTTCCTTTTATTTTGATTTTCACTATTAAGTTTCGGTCCACCCATTCACTAGGTTAATTAGATTGGGTTTCTTTCACAACCCCTCTTCTCGTGATTTTCACCATCTTCTCAACTTCTTCTGAAAATCATCTCCATAAGTCAACACAACTCGAATTGTCTACTAAAACTTCCAACGAAACCCAATCTAACTACACTGCAAGATACACCAACATGTTTCGTCGGCTACCCTCAGGTCTTCCAAAAGACCCTAAATTTGAACCTACCCTTGATGGACTTGGGTATATATACATCTCTCATATTTATACCTATTTTTTTTAACGGTTCGAAGACCTCTAACCTGTACCCAGATACTTCATCAACGAGAAAGATGAAATCAGATCTATCGAAAATCCAAAGGCTTACTTCAAGTATTTCCTTACCAAAAATGATCGATATAATCAACTGCAACGTGAAGCCATGAATCGTCAGTTCAATTTACCTGCAGTATCTCACTGAGGCTAATATGAAATCTAGATGCCATCCGTGATATAGTAATGACACGTCTTCTCAGCCTTGGCCTCCAGAAGATCCTTCTTCCTCTCAATGTTCCCGAAACTTCTCCACATATCCACATTCTAACATCTCCCAATCTCTCCACTGCCACTCGAGTCATCGTTCTATTTTACGAACCTAAGGATGATATTGGAGTTTTGGCTCATCGTGTCTTGGGTGGAGCAGGCGGAATCGACACTGGTTCTGCCGTGAACATGGTCAAGTATATTCAAGAGAAGGGCGCAGCTTCAGGTGAACCCGAGCCACCAGCCATCATTCTTGCTAACATGGGTCAACTTTATTGGTATCGTCGCGGCCGAAAGCCTGTCACCTTGATGACTTGGTCTGCATTACCTCAATCTAGCTGTGTCGAGAAAACCACCCGCCTTGATGCCATCAAAAACACAGTTCCTGGGAATCGTAATACAGATGAACATATCGATTACATCTTCAACCATGTCATCGAAGAACTTATGCCGAAGGTGGCCAAGATCGATGTAATTGGGGTTTCTGAAGGCGCCATGGGCGTAACCCGTTTCTTGGACGAACTGGAAAATTGGAAGAAGTGGGGATCCCGTATGCAAGCTTTTGCAGCTCTAGCTACATGGTGGCAATCCATTGATTACAGGAATCCTCTTCTTCTAGAATGGATGCAAGCCCGTGGTCGTGTCTACTTGAACTCTCCTGAGCCGGCAGGTACCTATCTCGCAGGTCCTGATGGCACTCGGCGTATCATAGCACTTGGATCACCAGTGTTTAGCCTGAGTGAACCTTACTATACCGAATGTCTCTTGCCCAAAGGTTATCGTACGGTTATTGACTTCTTTCAAGAAGTTGCGGATTGGGATAGTCAAGGTGGAGAATATGTAAATCCAACCTTTGTGAGAATGGATGATGGAGAAGAAGATTGTGAAGACATGGGCTTTGGAGATGAGGGATTCGGTGATGAAGAAAGACAGGATGGAGTTGAGCTGAAGATTGAGAGGGGGGAAGTTGACAAGCGGGTTGATTTATAAGGTCTTTTTCATGCATTGGTACAGGAGCTAGTAAGTAGACCAATGGTTTCCTACTCCTCTTGACGTACCCGACCGGATGCTGGGAGACAACGGAACGGCATGCTATAGAGGGCCTGTTGGATCAACTGCAAACGAAAACAGTGGAATGATTCGAAAGGATGGTGATGACTTGTTTCGAGACGATTAGTTCGACGGTATGGTTTGAAGCCACTGAAGTTAAGGGGATAATTACAGCAAAAAGGAATCAGATGTAGTAGGAAAAGCAACGACTTGCACATATAAATGATAAAGGGTTACAATATGATCATCTCGTGACTACATAATATACCAAATCTTTGGCATAATTGAAAGAATCCTCCCTACGGACTTCGTGTGATAAAGCAGCATTGTGGAGAGTGCTTTGCTATGGAACATTAGAATTGAGTATGAACCATTATTGGTATGTCGAGTTTGTTAGATGAATGATTACTACTAAAAAACAAGTGAAAACACGCAAATTAAATTATAGTTGTATATCATTATAATTTCTCGATTTCTTCATCTTTTGGCAGCTTATTGCATTGCCGTTTGGAGTCGATAGCGATGCAGTAAGGCCTCGAACCGGCTGGAAAAACTTGCGACCGAAGCCTGAAATCCAATATTTCCAAATATTCAACAGCTTCATAATTCAAGTGATACATTTTGGTTCAAAATGCGTCCACGTTTTCCGATACGCAGAATACCACTTCTTCGACCTTTCCGCCCACCTAATACTTCATCGCCAAGATTCTTCACTCAAAGTCTTAAACCAGGCTTCTCACAATCTCTCACTCATACAACCTTTCGCCGTCCAACTCCTCGTCCTCAATTTCCTTACCTCTCTTCTACTCATCGCAAACCTGCTGTCGTTCGATATATTTCTACGGAAACGAAAAATTGGCTCAAATCTGAGTTCATTAAAGCTGGAAAATATATAATATTCATTTATGTTGGTGTGAATTTGTTCTTATTTGTGGCATGGGGAATCCATCAAGAATGGCTCAATCACCAATTCCCAAGTCCCGGAGAATGGAGGTGGAGGACGAGGGTTATTTACAGGATGACTATGGATAATGAGGAAGGAGAGGAAGGGCTCGAAAGATTGATTCCAGTCAACTGGCAGAATTTGGGAATTGGATATAGAGAGCTTTTAGAGAGACTAGAGGATCCGAAACTTGATGGAAAGGATATAGAGGAACAAGATGAGGGAGGGATCTTGGTTGCTGGGGTCGGTAAAGCTGGGTACGATATCACCAAAAAATCAGAGGAATGGAGAAGAGGTTATTATGGCGTATTGATGGGAGCGGCGAACACAGCAGAGCATCTGGATGATTGGGTCAATGACACGACGAGAGATATATGGTTCCCGAAAAACCAAATGCGCGGTCCATCGAATCCTAAACCGAAACCAATCAAAGTCGGTTCTCCTCCTCCTCCGAAGGAAGAAAACTGCGAAAAGGCCTACGATCCACCGGAAAAGTTCTACATGCGCATTCTTACCACCAAAGGATTTACAGAGAAACAGAGGGTAGATGCAGCCTTGGCATATGCTGCTTGGTTAGATTTCAAGAAAACCCCAGAAGCGGCTATGGAGATGTACAAATGGGCAATGGACATCTCGACATCTTCCGACCCATCGTCTTCGTCGATCGATCCCAACACGCATACATTGAATATTGATGCAGGCCCGCCATCTGAAAATCTATTGAATACATGCACAGCACTTGCAATTCATCATGCGACACACTCTAACATCTCGAAATCACTTCCGATCTTTCTTTCCATCCTCAGGGCGAGGAAAAGCCTTCCAGCTCCGCAGCAACATATGATTGACACTCTCACCGTAGATGATGAAGAACCACCAATGTGGAAGACTGTATGGAAATTTCTCTCAGAAACCCTTTCACCACCCGCCTACCCACCTGCTCCATCTGATGGTACATCCTCGCCTGTGCGCAATCCTAAGGAACTATGCGAAGAAGCAATTCTTATGACGTATATCGGAGAAATTCTCTACACCTCTAATTCCGGCATTAAAAGCAAAGAAGATGGCCTAGCTTGGACAAGGGAAGCGGTTGATATATCGGAACTAGAATTGAGGAAGAGAAGGGCTTTAGATAAGGAGTCGAAGAAAGTTTGCAAGTCTTGTCTAGAAGTTGGATTGGGCAACTGGCAAAAGATGGTCAGAAACCTAGCAGAAGATGAGAAGTTGAAAAAAGGTAACGGAGAGAATGCCAAGGGAGGATGGTTAGGATTTGGAGGAAAGCTAGAGACAACCGGCCGATGGGAGGCCGAAGAAAACGTAGTGAGCGATAGGATAAGGAGAGCAAAGGATGTACTACCTGAAAGGAGAATTGGAGAGGTGGAAGACCGAAGACCACCGCCACCTAGTACAGGAGGCAGAACATGGTAATTCTGTAGACTGAATTTGCCACCTGATGCGTTGAATCCAGTTTTTGTACTGCTTAATTGTGTCTATTCTATTCAGAAAAATTATGTTCCTTGTGGGAACGCGAGTGTTTCTCTTGTTCAAAAATCGCAGCTAGTGCTTTCGTTCTGCATCACTGATCAGGCTCTCACCTCGATCTCATTTAATTGGTGGGTTTAAAGCATGTAAATGTTCTTTGTCTTTCAACTTGACGCCAACTCCTTTCAGCCTTTTGCAGTCCCTCGATCCAGAACCCCAAATAGTTTCTATGAACAAAGAGGATGTACCTCGCTGGACAGCACTCACCTAAAAATATCCCACAGACAGAAGAAATATTTATGGAAAAGAATGCGTCAACTACACACATGTTAAACTTTGAACTAAAGGAGGTTCCATGGGACGAACGTGTTGGGTTTGGAATCGAATTTGAATTCGCCCTTGCAACGGTCCCATTAGGAACTAAAGATCCGGAGCCGAACGAAGGTCGTGAGATACACTCAATCGACGTTCCTATTGATTCTTCTGGAACGGATCCCAACACACTTTCAGATATCGATCGTCAACTCAATGTTCAATTGCACATCGCGAATACGCTAAAAGCCAACGGGTTTCGAGCTGCGTCTCAAATCCAGCTAGAACGAGATTGGAAAGCTTGGGAGAACGGCAATTTAGATAAGGAACCATACCCGAGTGATATATTGTGGATAGTCAAGCAAGATGACACCATTCAATTTCCAACCACTCTTGTCGATACTTACAAATGGTATAAAATCGAAATATGTACACCGGCACTCATGTTCAGCCCATGGAATATTCGTCACATCTGGGATATTCTCTCCATCTTGACACGCAAATACCGGCTGAACTGCAATCAATCATGTGGCTTGCACGTTCATGTCAGCACTGCGAAGAAAGACTTCAGCCTTGATGTTTTGAAGAATCTGATGGCTCTAATCTTCACTTTCGAACGACAGCTCGAGCTGTGCCATCCTACGCATCGAATTCGAAATAAACATACATTTCCACTTCGTGATCATGCGAATATCAACCAGAATTTTGCACCAGGGACAAACTTCAGCTGCAGTGATAAGAATTGGAAAAATAACAGGGTACTCCTCAAAAGACGAGCAAGATTACCCTTGATTCTACCGCCCGTCTGTCCAGAGAAGGACTCGTTAGCAGCGATATTCAATGCCAAGTCTAAGGCCGATATCGTCAAAATGTTCAAGTCGGACGAAGATGTTCGGTTGGGTTATAATATTCAATTTCTTAATGAACCATATCCAGACCCCTTTAAACACACGATTGAGTTTCGACAGCACGAAGCGACTACGGTTCCGCAAAAAATAGAACGATGGCTTAATATCTGTTGTCGTTTGGTCGAAATTGCGCGCCAAACAGCTAGTGCATCGGACGAGGAAAAAAACATCTTCCATGCATTTTTGCTTAACCATGTAAACGACGATGTGGACGACTTCGGACTGGTTATCTTGTTGGTTAATTTGGGGTTGACGGAAGAGGCGGGATACTATGGTGTGGAGATAGCTCTTAATCCTGAACTGAGGCCAAGGAGGAAAAGCATGTTTAGTTCGACTCCTTCCGTATGATGAGGCTACGACTGGGGAACTCCGGTTTTTGAGAGGTGATTTTTGTACGAGGTATTTTTGATTACCATTCTCGAGAAGTTCATGGTCGTTCCCCGGGTGGACGAAGAAGCTTTATAATCGACCTCGTTGTGTGCTTTTTTAGGTAACTTACCCGAATCTATGGAGACGGAGATAGGTCACTGACATTTATCTCCTGGTGGATTAATTGTGTTCTATATTGTTCGAGATTGGGTCTATTTTTGTTCTATGTATACATACTACTGGTGCCCAAACTGGATTTCAAACCCAACTTTCGGATTTCACTAGCAAGTACCCGTTATAAATTTTCATGCGAGCTTTTGGCGTGAAGTTTTTTTCTACCGTCTAAACTCGGAATGAGTACCATATCCGAATTGAAATTTCAAGAAGAAATATAAGAGAGTTTAAGACATGCTCGCGTAATTATGTATCCGGAATGAAAATATACATGCGTACCTTCATTCGCGCGAACGTTTGATTACTATTCTGGCCTCGTATTGGTTGGTGGTGGGAACGTGCATGGAAATTGAAAAAATAAAGTTTTTTGAGCTCCATTTTAATGGTAGAGATCAGCACTGCTGCGAAAATTACATCCCCAAAGTGCTTTGAGTAGGTGAGGCATGACCAAGTGATTCCCAGTTGAAGGGATTACATGCGTCATGAAAAAGTATATGCAGTGTGGACGGGAACAGTATTGGGATCATGCTGGAGTGGTCCCAAGAGGAGATCCAGAAATTCCATCGAGTTTTGGTTGCAACTAGTATAAGGATACGCCACTACAAAAACAGAGACTGACAAAAGGCAGATTGATCGAGGACAAATGAGCTAAAGTGATGCTAAAAGTCTCATTCTCCTGACTGCGTCGGCTATCAAAATTGGTTTCGACTAGATATCCACTCTTCAAACGACATGAATGAAGCCGTTCAAAACCGTCAATGGATCCTTCAGAAGCTACGGCAACTACCCGATAATTAGGCATTTCTTCGTATCTGTTATGATACCGATGAGATTAAGAGACCCTGGAATCAGATCTGATCCAAACTTAATGCCATCTGGGGATTCGCTCATATTCCGTCTGGATAACCTTTCTTCCCACTTGCTGCCATTGAAGAAGCTACTCGGGCAACATAAATATTTTTCTTGGTCCCATGAAGAATCCATTCCGATATCATGCTCGACAACTTCGAATTAGAAATATGGATAGAATATGCCATCGGAATGAGCGCATTTCTGCTCCGATTCTTCGCAAGATGGAAGCATGTTGGCTTCGAGAAGTTTGCTCTTGATGACCTCTTCTGTTTTATTGGGATGGTAAAGTCGCCATATTCACGTCGCTTTTGTTGTATTCACTCGCTAATCAATTGCAGATAATATTTTCGCTTGATGCTGCCTTCCTTTATACAATTGGTGAGGCCCGAGAATTCTTACCATGTATGTGTATTGCTTAACCTAACTTTCGCTACAGGCAGACTTGGCAGTACCGCCGGCCTTACAGTGGACACTGCGCCATTGGTTACCGCGCAGCAGGCTCATGATTTCAGCATCGGATCCAAGTGCTTATTCCTTGCTTGGATATGCTTCATCACTCTTACTTGGACATTGAAGGCAATACTTCTTTCACTGTATCACCGACTCACGTACGTGCATCTTGGGAATCAATCGAGGTCCAGTTATTCTAACTCAATGGACTTCCAGACTCGGTTTACAGCAACATAAGATGATAAAATTCGTGGGCGGATTTTGTATCGTCTCATGGACTGCCTGTATAATTGCTCATTTTGCGGTATGCGTCCCAATTGAAAGAAATTGGCAAGTCAATCCGTATCCTGGCGGTAGATACTCCATATATCCTCTTAGGAAATGTATTGTTACTGATGACCGTTTAGACCATTGCGTTCTTCGCAGACCTAATCAAGCACTCGTCGGAGTTCTCAATATCTTGTAAGTGATTCCGAGTCTATCAAAAAGATTCGTAACTACTAAGATCCGACTTCAGATCATATATAGGAGTCATGGCAATTCCTCTCCCGTTATTGTTTGCGGCACGAATACCTCTCTACCGAAAGCTGATTCTCGGAGTTCTTTTCTGCTCTGGTATCCTTGTTACAGCCATAGTCATCTTACGGGTATATTATGCTCTCAGTGGTGTTGGAGATCTGGGAAGTGTTGTCCCTTGGGCATTTCGCGAGTCTTTCATATCGATCGTTACAGCAACAGCCCCTGGAATCAAACCATTATTCAATCGATCGAACTGGATCGATACATCCTCACTCATTGAAAGCGGCACGAACGGTAAAGCAGGCGGAGCTAGTCGCGTACATCATTCCAACCACCAGTTCGACGGGGGAAATATTACATCTGCGATTGGTAATAAAGATGGACAGAGAGGGGTTAGTGGCCGTCAGTATATTGAACTCGGACATGCTGAGAATTGGCCCATGACGGGCAAAAGAAATAACGTCGATGTTAAAACTAAGGAACTAATGACAGATTCGTCGAGTCAGGAACATATCATTACTGGCAGTGATGACATTCATGCCATTCAAGTAACCCCTGATTATACATCGCAGCGGGACTTTGGTTCAGCTGACCTGAGCGATTGTAATGATATTGAATTTGAGAAGAACAAAGCTAGTACGGATTCACGGTAAAATGTCACAGTGAACTACCAACACGAATTTGGCAAATAGCTTTCACTCATCACCCGACACGAATGACAAGGATTGTCATCGAAGAAGGATGTGTAGAACTTGCGATTCGCTACTAGAACCATCTACTCAATACTTCTCCTCTCCGTCGGAATCTTCCCTACGTCAAAGCACGTAGCACTCGGTTCATTTCATTAGCGAATCCTCAATCTGATAGTTGGCTTTTTACTTCAAGCGGATACCCATTTGATTTACTTGGATACATGTTTTGTATTATAGCTTGGAACGACTGTACACCCGAGAACCAGATAGATAGTATACAGAATAGAGCGTCTCATAGATGAGCTTTGAATCTCTGAGAGTCCGAACACTTCCTTTCACCTTGTTGAAAAATAATCCCATCTTGTGCTTAATTCCGCGGTGGTCTCGTCTCTTATCACGGCTGATACGCACGACGCGCATAACGCGCATTGGACACATTCGTAGCGTATTTCCCTCTACTTAGCTCTTCCGTGAACAAGCTTTCCTTACCATTAGCTTCAAAGGCGTCCTATTAGAGAACATACATCGAGCCTAGTAACGACACGACGGTTTTTCCATCAGAACCATCAACTTGTGCTAGAAATTACCGAGACTAATGCGGTATAGCCCCTGAAGAATGGTTATAATCAGGAATGAATCTGACGTGGGGCGAAGTGACAAAGCTTGAGCTGAAACGGGAATTCTGTGCATGCCGACCAAGCCGTTGATAATGTATTTATATACCTATAACTTAGATGTATATATAAATATAACATAATTGCCACGAGTTTTTGGAGATATTGTAAACCTTGGATCATAAAACCATATACTTTTGGATCAATCTGTTTGAACAAAAATAGATAAAAATCAGCCAATGGATTAATGATTGAATTTTCAAAAAGGTGTTTGGTTTTGGTGCGCACAGAATTCTATTCAGCTCGAGCAAGCCTATCTTTTGACTTGCGGTCACTAAACCGGCAAATGTCAATAACATCCCTACTAGCCATATCTCCATCTGCGATTGAATCAAGGTGTCGTTGCATTGTTGCCCCAAATTTTTCTTCGGATGTCACTCGATTCATTCGATTCATTGCACCATCCATAATAATCCATAATCCATAAACTAAAGGCTTGCAGGTGTTGAATGCAGCCGACCTCCTGTACTCCATTCCATGTTAGAGACTCGGATACCCCACGGTATACGATCCATACATACTATTGCAGTTAATTTATGGAATTCCCATTCCAATTCAAGCCTTATTATTCTGTACACCCGATATCATGGTTGAACATTGTGCACCTGCAGTTTCATCGAAGAAGGCTCGGGTAGAACCTGTAAATAATGCGGCATCGGAAAATAGGTAAGGTCCGCCCTGGCAGCAAGCCCCTTCATCAACTTTCCCAATTTCAACCTCCCCCCATCCTCTATTTCCAACCATCAACCTTCAGTCTCCTCGGACTACCATGGACATTGCTATCATAACTTACCCTCAAGTGACTAACAACTAATTGGATTCAGAAAATTACGAAACCGTCTCTCGCAGAAGGCCTTTCGAGCTCGACAATCATTATATATCAAAGATCTCGAGAAAAAGCTTGAATGGGCCTCAAAACCCGAATCAGATCAGAATGCCAAGCTGGAAGAGACTAACAGTATCCTGCGTGGTCAATTACTCGATTGCCATAAGAAACTAGAGAGTTTTCAAGTGACATTAAAAGCTCTCGCGGATTCTGTGGCATATGCTTTGGGAATCGAGGTAGGTTTCACCGGGTTGAGTCCAACACACTCCTCAACGCGTCCACATGTGCATTTCCTGTGGAAACTTCCTGATTATGATACCCAAAGTAACTAACACGTATTTGAACAGAAAACCCCCCTGGACCTTGAACCTACAACTCACGCCAACGATGATAGTGATGATGCGGAACCCGAAGGACCACCTGCGCAAGATGAAGGCAAGAATAAACAAAATAGACAAAGTGAATGGACTCCTAATAATGAACCATCATTGAGCTCGAACTTCTACGATTTCTCCGATATACCTGCCACGAGTGTCCCATCACAAAATGTACAAACTCTCCGTCTCTCCCCGAAACCGCGAGCACCCCAATCAAACCTTCACGACAAAGGCAACGTCGAAAATGGGACACTCGTCACTAGCAATTTGCCACGATTGGCTTCAAACGATTTGCCGCAATTTTCTGCACGTGAAATTTATAACCCAATACATTTGACCATCTCCAGCTCATATGAACAAATGATGGGAACAGTTCAATATAATAGTTATCTGGGAAATGATTCTTTGATTACTCAAGACCAACCTTTACAGATCAACCATACAAATTCTGCCTTTTCAGATCACATTACCGTTCTCGAAAATGTCTTGAGGCAGAAATTGAGCAAATCAACAGCACTGATTCGAAGTAATGAAAGGTGCGCTCCTCTCCCATTTGAATATTATTCTTCGGAAGATCACGATTTAATACGACCTGAGCTTATTATTACTAGCATTTTGAATTCAGCATATATCATGCTATCTACTTTCATTTGTGCATCATGGCCTGCTATGACAACCTGGCATTGTGCTACCAAAGCTCACGTACCTATTACTAAGGTCATCACGTACCATGTCAATCCAACCGCTGCTACATATGCTGACCTTGTCACAAATGGAGCATGGCTACCGACGAAAATACAAATGTCCATTCCCCATCCAGCAATAATAGATTGGGTACCATTCCCATTGTTACGAGACAAACTTATCCTTTGCCACTCAGCTAATCCGTGTCTGGATCAAATTGTTTGTGAAATTGGAAATAGTTATGTAGTGGAAGCCGACGTGTCTAAACTTGTTATGGGAACTGGTGCTGCAACGGGTAACATAGGCGTCTGGGATTTGGTTCGATCAATGTCAGGAGGAACAAAAGAATCAGCATTCTCAAGCGAAGAGAATACTTCATGGGACGAGATTTGTAGAGCTAGCTTTGAACTCAACAAGCAAATGCGGGAGGGAAACGTCTTGCATGGTATCACTATGGAACCGCTTGCAACGTTGCCAGCGCCGAGCGTTGCGGCTCTGTTCAACTCCAAGCAATTGGCACTCTCAACTTTTGTAGCCCTGGGAATGAATCAAGGCGTGGCTCAGTACAAATTAGACTCGGCGTTTTTTGAAAGGCATCCAGAACTTTATGATGGCAGTGCAGGAATAGTAGCAAATGGTACACGATTGCGACCATCTGATCACTTTCCAATGCCAGCGCCGAGATTATTGAATGAGGGAATTTTGAATTGCTATAAGAACTTGGCTGCATGGGCATTGGATACGGGAATCTGAGCTGGCTTGAGGGTTAGGCGAAACGGTTAAAGGAGATAAGTTTCGTGGTGGTACGTTACAATCCATCAGAGATCTTTCATATAGGTTTTGGGATGAGCATTTTAGGATGATTGGGGACTGGATGATTTAAATTTGCTGGAACATTTACATGGTTTAGGTAGGATATACCAGGCGAAAGGGGTGATTTTTTTTTTTGGATTTTATAAAATAAGCTGGAGATTCCATAAATGGATTTCATGGCATTGTATGTTGTTCTTTTGAATTAGATGAATAGATTCTTGATCATGTGTTTGGTGTCATGTGCGTTCTTTGAGCTTTGAAATCGATATTGATATATTGATAATTGGATTTAGATTTTAGAGCACTACTTTTTATAAATGCTGGAATACATTCATGGGGCTTTTGTTAGTTGGGAGAGGGAGAGGAGAGTATCTTGAGTCGATTTTGTGTCGTTTACAGGTAGGGTGATGTTTTTCCTTGTTGTGTTTTGGTATCTTTTGTTTTGTTCTGTTATGGTATGGTGTGGTATTTGCTTTGAGGTTTTGTGGTGTTGGGTTTGGAGGTGAGGGGTTTGGGAGAGGGGGATGAACAACCTGTGAATTGAGTTTTGCTAGTTTTAAGGTTTTTACAAGAGGTTTTTGAATGAGAACGGGAGGGTAGATTGAGAGATCAATTTTCAGAGGGAGGCGAGTGTTAATACATGCTGGGAAGAAGTCTGAGGCAAGTCAAGTGCTTGTTTTGTGGTTTGGGAGAATGGAAAAGGAGAGGTGATTGAGGTGAGATTGTATGATGAAGGGGATGTCTTGTTTTTGTTGCTTTTGTTTTTGCTTAGTGAGTTGAGAGGTACGAGAGTGTGTTGTGGGGATGATTCTGGATGGGAGTTTGGAGAGGAGTATTCTTTTCTTTAGAATACGAATAGATGGATATTATTTCGAGTTTTGTAGGTGTGAGGGAGTAATTGTTTTTCTAATCAGTTTGTTTATTCATTTATATACGAATAAAGGAGGGGATTTAATTTTTGATCGAAATATATTTGTTTCTCTTGCTTTCTTATTATCGTTACATAATATATGTACATAGGAGTTTATATGATATAGATAATCTCTCCAGTACTGCATCAGGTCACTCTATGCTAATCCAAATTATTAGGAAAGGGGAGAGGAAGATGTAGAATTAGAAGTGAACTCCCTTCTCAAAAGTCAAAGAGATTTACTTACTGACTATGAATAGGATATATATATCCTTTGTGAGTAGATACTTAAACGAAGTTCCATTACCTAGCAGGTACTATCTAGACGATTCCTAGATTTGATGTAGGTTCATGAATGGGTTATCTAATTCTGGGAAGGAAGACTGTAAACATTTCTTAGAAGTCTGATACACTCGAGTTATATTGGAGGATTCGAACTTTAAAGTAGATTCCTGTTATTATCTATGGAGCGCAGGGGAGGGGGCTACCTACCTACCGGATGCTCATTCGTTCTAGTGTAGTTCTCTTTCTACTTCGTACACTCACTTGGAATATTCATTCAATGTAAAGACGATTATTTTTTGAATACCTGGGTAGGATGTTTATATAAGATGTTGACGTGTAAGAAATTGTACGGTTCAATATTCATGTTTGTATTCATATGCACGTCTGAATTGTTTTTATATTTATCTTTATATTGTTTTGTGTCTTGTGTCTTGTTTGATTTATATTTGTATTTGTATTTCTTTTATCTTGGAAATTTCAAATCTTTAGTCTCTACTCTACTCTACTCTACTCTACTCTACTCTACTCTACTCTACTCTACTCTACTCTACTCTACTCTACTCTACTCTACTCTACTCTACTCTAATCTACTCCCCTTAAATGTAATATACAACTTCATACTCATATCTTTCTTTTCATTATTTCCCACACTATTTTCCACACAAAACACATCTACACACTCATCGACACACCTATCTATACACAATTACATCAATCACATCATATCATCTCCAAAATCCCGAAGTTATATACATACCAAATACTCTCTCAATTCCTCTCTCAATTCCCCTCTATTCTTCCTCTCTATTCTTCCTCTCTATTCTTCCTCTCTATTCTTTCATTCTTTCCTTCCAATAAAAAAATAAAAAATCAACCACCCAATCTCAATCTCAATCTCAAACCCAGAATCTCAAATTCCAAATCCCAAATCCAAAGCCCTCTAGATAAAACGACACCCAACCAAACTAGTCACAATCTATATGATCCATTTCCATATCTTGTGATTTCATAATGTAGTGATTTTGTATATAGTAGTGATAGTGATAATGATAGTGATACTGGTATTCATTCTATTTTACAGCTAGTAGGTGAATGAATGGACAGATGGATGAATAGAACAATAGATAAATAGAATGGTAGAAAGAAAGGTAGGTGATAGATAGACAGATAAATCAAACATCTCACACCCCCTCCCATCCCCTCCTCTCCCCCCCACTAAGGCAACGCCATAAAAACCTTAACCAACTTCCCATAATCGGGTGTCCCCAACCCCGTCACCGGATCCCACCCCTCCACCGCCTCAAACCCATCCGTTCCACACCCCGGATTTCTCCCACTCGTAATATCATTCATCGCCGCGCGATTTGAATACAACACCGGATTGACAAACCCCACCGTACTCTTCCCCCCCGCAATACGCTCCTCATTCACCAGATTCAGCATCGCCGCAAACGCCGGACAACTCGCGCTCGTGCCGAACGCGAGCGAAAATTGTCCATTGACTGCCGTCACGTAATTCACCCCGTTGGCACTCACGTCCGGATACCCGCGCACCAATTTCGAATTATTGTATCGGTCGGCCCCGTACCCAGGGGCCGACTGCGCATAATACGCTGCCATGACCTCTTTCTGATACTCGGGGATGGGGAAAACATTGGAGAAGCCGCCGCCGCTGAAAATGACCTTCGACGCCGCGCTCTCGGGACTGTGCACCGTGCTCCCGTTGAGAATCTGTGTTGCGCCCACACTCGTAACGTACGGACAGGTGCCTGGAAAACTGGGGTTGAACATCCCCGACGATCCGTTATTATACGCGCCCGTCTTCGAATCAATACACTGCCCCCCGTTTCCCGCGACGCCGAAATCGCCCGAGGAGTACAGCACCGAGACGCCCTGGAGCCCGAGTTTCATATACTCGTTGCACTGACGCATTTCGTATTTTGCGCCGAGATCCGCTTCGTTGGCTGAATACGACGTCGAAATCACTTTGGTGCTTTGATAGCGTCCGCATTGGAGTTCGCCGGGGAAACCCCCGGGTTTGGTATCCGGATATTGACCATCGACGTTGGGATCTTTGGAGTCACCGCCTTCGGCTGTGCAGTAGGAAGCATCGATTGCTTCGAGGAAATTATTGAAACTTCCTCCCTCGACTAAATCGCCGACTTGGAAGACGGTCACTTGTTGCGGATTTATGAGCGCCATGGCAAATTCGAGATCGAGTGCACTTTCGCCGTTGAAGGCAAAAGATTGGTTCGTTTGTTGCACGACAGCTCCGTCAATCAAATCGACAATTGGTACTTTATTCGCTTGATTGGGTGAGAACTGGTCAAACCACATATTTAGATCTGTTTGGAGAAAGGCCTGCGGTGTATATTCGACTACACCCAGCGTATTATTCGTCGCGGATTTTGAGCCCGGAGGGAAATTGTAGAGGGCTTGGAGACAGGCGGTTGTAATCATAGTATCGCAATTTGCGAGCGTCATGAGAGCATTCTTGACATCGGCTCCTTGTTTGGGATTCGATGCATCCTCGGGACTTCCCATTTTTCCAACAGGTGCTGTATCCCCAACACCCATTCCGATTCCAGCACCCATCCCATCCCTCCTCCTCCTCTTCACCTCCTCTGCCCTTCTATTCAACGCTTTCAACGGCTCCGGCAAATCCCTCTCCTGCCTCACCTGCTTCCTTCCCCCTCCGCCCCCAACCTTCCCATCAAACGCCACCCCAGGCGTCACAAAATCTACATGCGCGCTCACCCCACTCGGCACACTATACTCCCCACACGCGACATGCCTCCCCCCCTCCTCATGTTCCCAAACAAAATATCTCGTCCTCAACAACCCCTCGGCCTCCTCCGTCGTCGCATTAAAACTAATCCACGCTCCCCCCTTACTAACCCTCACCCTCTCCGGTGCAATTCCCGCCTCATGTAACCAAGCCCGCACAACATCCACTGTTTCCTGAGACGGAGCAAACATATCTGCGATTTTGGATGCGCTCCAATGTTGACCGTAGAGCGGCGATTCGGGATGCGAGACTTGATTTAAGAACTCCTCGGCGCGGTGAAGGTTTTGTTGCGTGAGGCCTATGCGGACGGGGAAAATGGCTTGCGGATGGAGACGTGCGGATCTTTTCCATTTGGGAGGCGGGGAGGATCTCTTTTCATGTACAACATGCAGTTTCTCCTCTTTTTTTTTAATTTTTTCTTTCTCCTCCTTGCTTTTCGCTGTCTCTATCTCTGTCTCTCTCCTCCCACCATCAACCTCATTCACAGCTCTACCTTTAATCCCACCCTCACTCCTTCCACTCGAACCATAAAAAGTCATACCCTCCTCTTTCCCTTTCCCATTCCCTTTCCCATCCTCACTCCCAACCAACATCATCGTTCCCTTCGACAAAACTGGCGATGCACAAATCGCTACCACCAGGGTAGCGAACACACCCATCCCAATCCCAAAGTGAAACCTCATTATTTCCCTTGGATGCTAAACCCAGAGCATCTGCCTACCAAAAAGAAAAAGGAAAAAAAGAGACGAAAGGAAGTTTATTCATAAGTATCACCACAGCACATTCATTGATTGGGAAAAATAGTGTTACGCTAGTGTTTGCATTGGCTAAAAACCCCGGGTACTGAAACTATAGATGAATTCGATAACCATATCGAAAGTGCATTGTTCTGATTATAGATACAAACCAAGTGATTAAGCTCTTGCGCACTATATGCCATACCCACATCATATAAGGCTTTCACGGATATGAAGCGACCCTTTTGACGATGTAATATGGATTTGAAGTTTTGAACAGAAAGCTCAAGACCAATAAAAAGACAAGCAAAAGCTCAGACTTTCAACATGGACGAATAGTTGGTAAAATTCCATACGAAAATGGTTTCCGACTTTCTCGTAGTAACCATGTCTTACACGTGCAATGCACCAAATTTCTTGAGATCCAAGAGATCCAAGGTCTTGGATGAGGCTGATGTGAGGATATCTTCGTGGTCAAGATCAAACCATTGACTTGCACGGATCTAATAATGATCAGAGGTAGAGCTTGCGAAATGATTGTTACCAGAGATGGAATGAATTGATGAGATAGTGGATTCTCTTCTTGTATCAACAATTCATTGTACCAATAAGCTGACGTGGTGAGTTCGAGATCAGTGGATACTAAAAGCTTGTAACAACAACACGGACTTCAAACCACTAAAAGTAATGAATTTTGAAACAATCAAGATTCATAGTTCAAACACCACCAGTTTTTAATTCGGAATACTTCTCAAAGGTTTTCTTCTGAAGAGCACGTTGCTCATTGATAACCTTCCATAATTCCGCGTTTTCTTGTCGCATCTTTTCTTCCTCGCTGGAGGACGAAGATGAAGACGAAGATGTAGCTGTAATTTGAGGTTGAGCAAAATCAAGCAGTGCTTTCTCTAGCATACCCTTAGGAAATCCTTGATACTTCATGGCTTGATCAAACGTCGTTGACTTCTTGGTACCATTCAATTGAGCTGTGAATGCATAATTACCCTCGGCCAATTTAGGCTTAACTACGTTTATTGATTTTGTCTTTGGTGTCTTGGGGAAAGGAGATTGCATAACAAGGTTTGTTACGGGAGCATTCAAATCCGAAAGTTCTACTAAGAAAGCACGTCTTCCAGTATCCCAGTGGGCAATCTTTCCAGAAGAATGTCCCGAAAACAAACTTGTTCCATCATAACTCAGCCCTAAACAATGTACCGCACCGAGATTATCTGATGGCGGGGACCAAACCGGCGAGTTAACTTGGACTGGGCTATTTTGTAGACGGGTATCATATAATGGATTGATTGCTGAATTTGGTTGAATGAGCTCAATCATTTGTAATGAACCGTCTTCGAAACCCGTATAAACAGCTCGATCGCATGGGTCCAGAGCCATGCATAATGGAGTTGATGGGAGGAGGAATGTTCTTAGAAGATCACCCGTGTGATAATTCCAAACAATTATTGAATTGTCCTGACTCGCAGATATGCATATATTTGATGTGCTGGAACTATGACCCATGACGACGGAAGTTATGGCGGCTCGATGGTTGGACAAGGTTCGAATTGGCTCATGCGGTTCATTCGTATTTGTATGTAATGATAAAAGTTGTGGAATTGACCAAACGTGGAGATTTGAATCTTCTGAACCCGTAATGATGTGTGTTGAAGTTGAGGCCATACATGAAACCGGTTGTAAATGTGCAGCTGATGTTGAGACTTGTCTACCTGTACAGACCTAGACCCAGAAAGAATTAACACAAATGACTCCATGCATTCGCCATCGTGTCACCATCAATGTAGCCATGTGGTAGCAATATCAAACGGCACAACACGACACGACGTAAGCTGCAGATAATAGAACGGGCGAAAGACTCACCTCCCATAGTATGACCCGCCCTTCGGCTGTACCCAGTACTAGAAGATCATCGCCGACCAAAGTTAAAGTGTGTAACCTTTCCGGAAAAGAAATTAAAGCTTCTTGATTTCCGCGTTCCCTTGAATAAACATGAACAACCGCCTTATCAGCTTGTGCCGCGAAAACATGAGTTGAATTTGCCGCGAGGGCATTAACTGCAGTTGAACTTTTCTTGAAATTTGATTCGATTTTCGGGGAAGGATGTAGTGTATGAATGTAAATCCCGATATCTTTTGCAATGGCAGTATTCGCAGTTCTTGGCTGAGCTCGAATGGATGAGATGAATCGTTCGGATAACATGATTGCCGATGGAAGTATTCTTCTCCTTTGGTCGATTGATTGACAAGATATTTGGTTAATCGTGATTGAGATTGAGATTGAGTACTTGAGATTATGAAATGGATATTTTATTTTGTGTTTCGATTCTTATCGGAGACACCGGCAATTGTGGGTATGAAGCTCTTGCCCTCGTAGACTCGTCGTGTTTTAAGATGACCTGGGGAGATTCAAAGGTATGAACCTGTCGGATTCTCTTCAACGACGCCCTTTTTGGTGAAGTGCAGGAACCAGTAATCAGTGGATAGTAGCCAGTATTCAGTCGTCAGTGGGTGACCAGATGCCAATTGCCAATCGCCAGTTGCCAGCCAACCAGTATAGTTCAACGGAACGGGCGCCAAAATGTGTAAATTTTTGTTTTTCCTGTTACTGGCGGGCTTGTGGTGGATTGACAAATCAACTAGGGAAGAGATGGGACGGATTGAACCGTGTTTGATCTGTAGTGGTGTCGTTGATGTTTTACAATTTGCTTGAGAAGGGCATGAGAATGAAAATTTGCATAATGAAGATTAAATTTGATGTTCCTGGGGTAGATGTGGATTGAACCAATCACAGGCGAGAAAAGCACGAGAAGTATGAGAAGGCTGCAGGAGGCTGCAGGAGGCTGCAGAAAACTGCTAAAGGGTAAAAGAGGCTGCAGAACATGATGAATCCTAAAATAGAATCGGGGACAAGATATTCGTTCAAGGGCTAGGGGAGGGGGAGGGGGAGGGGCAGGGGAAGGTTTCCTCAATTTTTTTGTCGGAATTTAATTCTAACGCAAATGACAACGCCCATGAAAATGCCAATGTCGATACCTGATCAACAATACCAATATCAATATCTATATCGACGTCAGTTCCGATCCCGAATTCCCAGTCGCTTGGTTAACATGGGGATGAAGGAAGATCATGAATCAATCTGTGTATGGGGTCAAGTATTGGGCATAGTATTGGTCATGGTATAGGTGTGCGGATGAAGTGATACCCATCGAGGCTGACGGTGAAGGAAGAAGAGAAAAGAAAGTAGATCTGAGGCAACAGAACCAGAACCATGGGATCAATAGGATGAAGGATGGAATGGATCTACTCGCCATTTTCTTCGCGTATCGTGACTTTATCTGGTAGAATGATAATCTTAATGAACTCCATCGGACTCCATCGACTCCATTGACTTGCCCCCGAAACTACTCCATTGGATGCGTTACCCAGTTATTGCCCTGGTCGCCCTGGATATTCCAATGCAACCTTGGAGACGCCAGCATTCTCAGCCAGACTTCGAAGTTCAACCAGATTCTGGGAAAACGATCAACATCATCCATGCTCGGTGAATGGTAATTGCGGATATCATCATTTGAGTCAAAAGTAACGCGACGAATACGGAAGAAGGGCATTTCCGAATAATTGGATAAGGCATGAGCACCTCTTCACATCCTAGATGTCTCACTTCTTAGTATGGATCTGTCAAACGATCTGTCAATTATTCCTCCCAGAGAAACCTATGGATCTCATGGGTATCATGGACCTTGTTACTCAACTCGATTAGACTACTCTCCTAGTAGTCTAGCAAGTGGTAAGTCGATGATGGCACGATGGGACAGGTCATCGCCGTCGACTAAAACAAGCAAGCAAGCAAACAAACAAGCAAGCAAATCAGTATGATGTAAAGCGATTCAAAAAGCTGAGATCAAGATATCATCTGTACTTTGATCATACTAAACACCAAACATGGAGGAACTCATCAGTATCTAGGTATCGAATCGAGACATTTCTCGTTTCTTGATCTCGGAAACGCCCTTTTCTTTTTTTGTCTTTCCCCTTTTTTTCCAATCATTCGCGCCAATTATCGCCCGTTTAGGACATTTTAGGACATTTAGGACACTTTTCGATTTTAGGTACCAAAAGCTTAGCTGTTTGGCTGTTTTAGCTGGTTGGTCCATTTTTTTCAACATGGTCGAATCTATCTTTATATCTAATTGCTGATTGATTCGAGTTTGAGGAGAGTTAAGGGTTATACTCTCAATATCATTAATTCTATTGCCCTTTTCTTCTTTCAGAATAAGAATAAAATGACATTAAGATCCTCTCGTTAATTCCATTTATACATTCATTAATTTATTCATTCCCTTGTCACGATTCGTTCATGACTGACGAAAGCATACTAAGTACTTTCTTCTTTCTCCAGATCCTTTTCGCTTTCGTACATCGGTCAACTTTAATTACCCAATATAGCCAAGGACAGGAAAGTAAGTTGACGGTTGGACCCAGTCACCCAGCTCCACCGCAACAAGAGGGCGCAGCTATCGTGAATCGGGCAACAGAAGCGAATTGAGTTTGAATACCTTGTTCTTACCTACCAAAAGGTTGCAGCTGGGGTACAAAATTAGAGGATTGAGGACTAATTGAGGATCCCTAGGTTGTCTAGTTCTTGATTCTTCGCGTCACTGACCAGTAGAATCATGATCGGGGACCCATTACACTTTCGGCTTCGGGCTTTACCTTTTTCCACAGGGCTATTGCAGTATAGCAGGGCTTAAGGATTAAATGAGCTATAAAAGTCAAACGAACGGAGCTTTTGTTGATCAATGTAATGTCTAGTAGCTGGTAGCTCGTCGCTCGTAGCTGGTATCTACGGAGTCGTAGCTAGCTAGCATCTAGCAGCTAGTTGCTAGTACATGATGAATATGATGAATCTGTGATTAAAAACCCACTATGTATGTGATTGAATGTAATCATTAGATTGAACAGAGGAACAAACGAACAAACTAATGAGGCTGAACTTTTTTTGAAGGGTGGCCGGCGTCCTATAATGGCCCAAGTGGTGGTAACTTGTGAATCCGTTTGTTACACATGACCAGCTGGGAAAGTGTAATGAATCTAGCTACTAGGTGGGTATCTACTCGAATAAATTACCTGGGCAGGGGCAGTGGCAGTGGCAGTGGCAGTGGGAGGGGACATTGGACAATGAGTACCACCTCCCTAGGTACGATTCTCCACTTATTTCTTCCAAAATACTTCTTCTTCTTTTCATTATTATCACCCATGGCCAGTCATGCATCTCTTACATATTATGCATGAAACATCATCAGTAATCGTACCACAACCCAATCTCATCGAACTCATCTTGATTCCCCAGACCGAGAAGAGCGCCAAAGCATCTGACCCGATCAAATATAGACCACAAACGGGATCATGGGTAGGGGAAGGGAGAGGTTCATAGAATGAATGTTCTGTGCGTATGTAGAAAGAACAAACAACGTTCATTAACCAAAGTTAGTTTCTACTAAGCAAAAGCTTATTCGAACAATTTATATTCACCAGCACGATTACATATACATTGTATACCATTACATACCATTACATACCATTACATACTACCACTGGTGTACTAAGGACAGGGCGAATCCCCGAATCCCCGAACCCCCATAGTTCGTTGCGCTCGAGCTCGTCTCATCGATCTTGTTAAACTTTCCGATATTATATTCTCGAGCGCAGCGAGGACGGGGGTTTGGGGGCTTGCCCCCATCATCATCATCATCATCTTCTTCTTCTTCTTCTTCTTCTTCATTCAACGTGTACGCAGTAGATGAAAAAAGGAAGTATGATCTCCCCTTTCAATTTCATTCGCATCTCATCGCTTAACCAATCGCAATGCTGTCCTATCCTCACATTCGCCTTATACCCAGGCACATATCCATGCACTTCTACCCTTATGCACGCGCACATGAATTGATCTACAAAGTCCCGAGTAAAGGTGCGCAAGAGGCAAAAAGTAAAGAAAAGATATACTTCTGACGAATGTTGGATGGATCTCTCTCGTTATCTTCTGCCTAATTCGCTCTAAGTTATTTGTGTCTCAACTACCGGGTCTTTCCTTAGCTCTTGTAAGATTATCACCAGCATTCGAACACGATCAATTCGTTCCCAGAGCTTTACCCTAGGAGCTTATCCTAGGAGCTTACCCTCGAGATTTAACCCTTGAGATTTAACCCTTGAGCTTGATTAACCTTGTATGTATGTATGTATGTATACCTACCTAGCCACCCCTTCTCCTTCCGTGCCCCCTGGTCTATAAAAAAACAATGACGCCTAGAGAGTGGAAAGTCATCGCCGGGTCATTTATAAGTAGATGATTCCACTTTTACCCCAGTACATAACACAGACCACAAATTTGAATGTTGTGGTTCTGAAGGCTCGACGGGTGGGTGGGTAGATGGGTAGATGGGTAGATGGGTAGATGGGTAGATGGCGAGATGGGTAGATGGCGAGATGGGTAGATGGCTAGATGGGTAGGTAGGTACAAATTTAGTAGTAAATGCTAATAAGTCTATTTATTATTTATTATTTATTATTCGTTATTTATGGTTTAAAATTTATGATTTATGATTCATGATTTATTATTTATTATTATTATTTTCCATTTGCTATTTATTGTTTATTGTTTATTATTTACCATCTATTGTCTATTATCTATTATTCATTAACTATCTATTAACCATCATTTGTCACTTACCTACCTAGCTAACAATACTCCTCCTATATGGATCAAAAAAGAAAAAAAAGAAATCAACACAAATCTGGTCTGTTTTTACTTTTGCCATGCTTTACCTCATTCTCGGGCTCCAAGTGGTTACTGGGTACACAAATGCACGGCATGTCAAAAAAATCATCGACAGGGAAATCCAAAGATCCATGAATCCATCCATGATCTTCAATCCCTGGTACAAATCATCCCAAGGGGGAGGTCATAAGGTTCCACACAATTTACCTTGCTTTGTTTTTCGATGATTTCTACCCCGGAGAAAGGAAGATCATATAAACACTTCCATCATCTCATCACATTACCATCAGACTATAATATGATATCGTTTTTCATCATCATCTTTGAATCTACACTTTTGTATACAATACACACTCCTTAGACCTTTTTCATTGATTGAGTGATACATACACCAATCATAGTCACTCCTTTTAAAACATCACCATGGGTTCATCAACCACTCAAAACATCAGTCAAAGACAAACCCATACTTATCAAAATTCTACCTCGTCCATTTTGCCAAAGGTACATGTGCTGCGCAAAACATATCAAGCACCCTCCAACCCACCTTTTGCTCACCATGACAATGAATATACGGAATCACGAACACTTTCTACGAGAGCTTCTCTGCCGAGTTTGCACACCACCATGTTTAAGCAAGCAAATGCCACTTCGGCTTTGTTGAGACCTTCATCTGCACATACATCTAAGAGAGCCGTGTCTGGTATGAAACGACTCTTACCCCTCAGATTGGCCACTCCACCACTTTCAGAAGATTCGGAAGATTCAGATTCACACTCCGTCTCAACACCATCTAAGAGGTCAACCTTTGGACAACTAGAACGTTTGGGAGACTTATCGGATCTGGGAAACATATCGCAACGGAGATTACACGGTACATCACTTTTGGCCATCCGACCAGAGAAATATCGAGACACTCCCATTATCTCAACAGATGGATCGCCATTAATCGGAAGTCCTCTCTATCAAGAGAGTGGTACCAAGTGGGATGAGATCGAATGTACTACATCTAGCATCATCGATGCGTATGAAGGATTAAGTGATTCGAGTTCAAGCAAGGGATACGGTTGGGATGATTTAAATCATGACACACATGAAACACAAAGTGCGATATTATCACCTATGTCCCCAAGAAGACGTCATCGAGAAGATTCAGAATTGTCTTTCAAATGTTTGGGCGAAGAAAATGAAGATGCTGAAGGTGATGACGAAGGTGAACAATCTGAATCCTCGTGGTTTGCTGGTTCAAAAACCATACGCCGGGTCGCTCCTAGACTGTCAACTCTGGATATTGAAGAATGGCTCGACGATAGTGAAAGTAGCATGTGTGAGAGTTCAGATGATGATGAATCTGATGACTTTTTTGTAAGTTTTTCGTTCCCGTCAACTTATTGAATACTAACATTCTCCAGGCATGTGCAACAGCTCTCGCACCAGCTAAAGCACAAGTTATTCACGTTAACCATAAGAAAACTCAAAGCTTGTCCATCACTATTCCAGAAAGAACAACACCAGCTGGAATCTTGAAACATTCCGATTCATCTGCTCTTCGAAGACTGACCTCTCGTTCTCCGATTGAGACATGCCCAATGGATGACCTAGCCATGTCCAGTCCTCCAACTTCACCCGATGAGCCAGAATCCAACAAATTTTCTAACTTTAGTCAACGAAAAATCTCTCGTTCACCAGCCGATCTTTCTCCAACACCTGCCTCTCCAGATACGATACTTGATATCGTAGCCGCAATCGAAGAATGCACTTCGAACTTTCCTACCAAAATGTTATTAGCTGATACTCCATGTATATCATCCATTCGTTCACACCTTAAAGCTACATCAACTGTGTCTTTCAAATCATTTCAGCGATCAAAGCAACCACCGCCAGCGCCATCAACCACAACACTTACCCCACCCCACCAAAAAGGTCTCAACCGTCGCAATCGTCCACAAACAATCTGTCTCTCCCCAACCGAGACCAAATCCTTCAACTTTTCCATCCCTACCACCCCACCTGTCACTCCCCCCTTCAGTCCTGATTTCTCCTTCTCCTCTCTCGCACCTTCAAACACACCTAGCACCACCAGCGCAGGCCCCTCCCCCATCCTCCCCACCTTCGCCTACCAACTCGCAGCCGCCAATCTTCAACCGCTTCACGCTATCTTCCCCGTCTCTTCCGATTTCCTCCGTTCCGCTCTCTACGCCCATATCCTCGCCTACATCTTCCTGCAATCACTTCCCTCCTCTTCTACCCCTCCATCCAGTACCCCTCTCGCCCGTACCACCACTATCAAACATTCTCACTCCGCTTCGCACGGCCTCCGCAAATCCTCTTTCCACAATACTACCTTCTCATCATACACATACAACAACACATCTCTCGTTGGTATCCCTGCCAAAGCAGCCTCCACCCTCGGTCTCTCAGAATCAACATCCATTCGTCGTAATGGAAATCTCGGAGGAGCAGTTGCGCAAAACAAGAAGATCGAATTCAATCTCAAGAATTGCATCGGCAAATTGCTAAAGGGTATGCAGGGAAGTGTGGACGTGGATGGAAATGCAAAGGAAGTGGAAGGATGGGTTTTGAGAAGTTTGGTCGAGGTTGTGAGAGGATGTGAGGGGATTTAGTGGCATGGTTCTTCATTCTTTGATGATATACTTCTATTTCTTTTGTATAGCTTACTCTTGTTTGTTTTTTTATCGTTTCGGGGGATGGGAGGGATGGGAGGGAAGGAAGGGAAGGGTAGGAGGGTAGGGATTGATATCCAGCGGTTAGGAAAGGGTAGGATTTATGGTATATTATGATATATACCTTTGAAATACCACGGTAGTAAGGGAAGGAACAGGATAGGATAGGATATCTAGGCCAGGTCATTCATTTATCGTCATCGTCATCGTTACTGTCATTGTTCTTTTTCTTTTGTGTTTATCTTTCCCTTTTTGTTTTCATTTTTGTTTATTTATATCCATCATCGTCTTTATCAGTCAGTATCTTAGCAAGCAAGGTGTTTTGGGAGCGGGAATGGGAATGGGAATTGGAATTGGACTCTTTATCTGATCGGTGGTATGAGTATGTATATATGACTTTTGATTGATGGGATGGGATGGGATGGGATGGGGGATGCTTTGGATTGCATTGCTTTAGATACCTAGATACTTACTTACACACTTTTTAATCATGGATTCTTGTATATAATTCCTTTTAAAATATTTGATGGTTGTTTATTTGTTTATCTATTGATATATTTATCTGTCTATCTGTCTGTCTATCTATTTTCCCTCAACCGATCTATTTGTTTATTGAGTTATCTACTTTCCTATTTTTATATATCTCATATTGTGCTATGTCAAATCATATCATATCATATATCTAATCAATCAATCAGTTCGTACTGATATCCAATAGAATACAACGAAACGAAACGGAATGAAACGAAATAAAGTATTCCGAGCGATTGATCGGTCGGAAGATGGGTAGGTAGGTACTGATTAGGTACCTAATATAAGTATATTCCATCTCTGGATTGTAGATTCTTTTGACTTTATTATTGATTGATTAGATCAATCGATTGTGTTAGGATTTTTTATTTCAGAGGAGGAGTAATGAGGATGAATGGATAATTGGATTATGTAGTATCTTGTAATAATGTATTGTATTATAATGTAATATGATATCCATGAGTAGGTAGGTTTGTGTAAAGATCACTAGTGGATGTGTAAGGTTATCCGTACATGGGTAATAAGTATACAATTTGGGGTGAGTGAACTCGCTAGTGTTTCGCTGTGTACGATGTAGCTTCAATATTATTTATTATATTAACAAGTATTTAATATGCCTTTAATATTGAGATGCTGGAGATGAAACTCGCTCTGCTTTTTCCTTTTTCTCTTCTTCTTCTTCTCTTTTTAACATGATGGAGCTTGGAAAAGGTTATATGATTTTATCATCCTATATCACTAGTTATATATAAATCAGATTTCTGAGTCTTGAAAAGATTAAATACATACTTACTATTATACACCATACAAAAATTACGTAAAATCCGACGCATTAGTTTCTTCCGCTACCTACCTACGCTCTGAAACATAAGATTGCATAATCTTATGTAATAATATTTATGGTTTAAGGTTATATATAAGGTTATAAGATGAGGTTAGGTTATATTAGGTTAGCTTGCTAGCTGTAGCTTTAGCTTGGATTGGATTGGGTTGGGTTTAGTTGCGTTATGCTAAGTGCAACTTGTTGGGTGGAAGGGTGTTGGTGGGATAGTATGGATGAAAAAGTATGGAAGTATGTGTATGTGTGTGTATGTGTGTGCGGAGACGGGGTGATTTGGTGGGTGTGAGAGGGAGGAGATTTGGTGGGAATGGGGGGGGGGGGAGGTGGGAGGGAGGAGGTAGGTGGGAGGTATTGAGTAGGCGGGTACGCGGGTAGACGGGGATATGAGAGGAAATTGGGGAGATTAGAGTTGGATAGGTGGATGGGAGTGGGTGGATGGGAATGGGTGGATGGGAATGGGTAGATGGGAGACAGAGATGGGGGATGGGGGATTGTCTTGATTCGTGACGGGAATGGATAAATGGACGGGATGGAGAGTGGGCGAGTGAGTGAGTGAGTAGATATGCATTCATTCATAAATTCAGTATCTTAATCTGGCGGATCGAATCACCCAGCGTATAAATAAGTCCATATCATATACCTCCAGCTAGGTATGCAAAAAGAATGAAACTAGAAGTCTGATGAATTCAAAAACAGATAGAGTTTTGTTATTCCCGTAGGGAGGGATGAAAATTGGAGAATCTTCTGGCTCGGAAGCGGGGTGGGGATTTAGTGGTAGGTGGATGGGTAGGTGGGTGGATAGGTATGGATTTGTGTCTAGTCGAGTTTATATGTATATCTAGATACGTGTATATCTACATGTATATCATAGATAGAGTACAGATTTATCGAATTAGAAAAGATGACATAGCTTTACAATTTCTTGTTAGTCAACGAGAGAATATTTCCGGTCTGGGAGATGTGCTTTATGTTCGAGTATGAATGAATAGGCAGGTACCCCTATGTATGGATGTTTGATCGAGTTCTTACTTAGGGTTGGCTTCCTTCTAGATGACTTCACTGCACTTACTTCACTTAACTATTCCGAGCCACTCTATCATTTCTCTGATTCATCAGTCATTAAACATCAAATAATACCTTCCTAGGTATCCACACACTCCTCATACCTACTCCACGTAACCAACTTCAGATCCGAGATATCAAGAAAGTGAATGAAACAATATATCCCACTAGAACTACCAATCTAATATCATACCATGCCGTACCTAGGTACGATCAAATTTGTCTTGGGAGGAAATGAATGAGAACTTAGAAGATGATGATTGGATACATAGTGAATCAATATTACTTACCCAGGTAGGTATTCATGGTGGTGGTGAAGAAGATTAGTAGATATGTGACTGGACTATCTTTGATTGATTTTCATGACTTGTGATTTCTGGTTTACTTCTTCGAGTACATATGTTCACCAGTCAATACATTACATTACAGCTATCTAAATAGATACTTGGATTTCCATACTTTAGGAAACCTCTATCAGTATCTCCCAATAAACACCACTTCCTAAACATCACTCACCACCCTACAGATGCTCCTCCCCGTCTCCGTCCTCCTTCCCCTCTACATCTACCCCAACCCCCTTGCCTGGAACTGGCTATTGTCTACAATCCCCCTCTACCCCTCCATAACCTACAATCTCATCATCAACCCATCCTCCGGACCCGGCGCCCTCAATTCCTTTCCCGATCCCAGCTACACCGATGCCATCGCCTCCCTGAATATATTTGGCAATGTAAAGTTATTGGGATATGTAGATACAGCATATATGCATCGATCTGTTGAGGATATAGTTGCCGAGGTGGATACTTGTACGTATTATTCTTCTCGTCTCATCTCTTCCCTTTCTTAATTTCAGATCTCGAGTCTCGAGTCTCGAATCTCAAGTCTTCTCTCCATCCCCTCCATCGTTTACAACCACAGAATCGAACATACACACACACTTACATCTTTCTCTCCATACTAGACAATCACTGGCTAGCCAACCCCTCAAAAGATATCCACATGCATGGCATCTTCTTCGACGACTGCGTCTCCAATTGGAATACCAGCACCTCTCAATTCATGAGCACCATCGCTACCTCCGCCCACCAAGCCAATCTCACTGTAACATTCAATCCGGGCGTTATTGCCGATCCCGCCTTTTTTGCTCTCGCAGATAATATATTAATGATTGAAGATACATACGATGCTTCTAAGGCATTACCAAGTATTGAATCTAGTGCGTTTTTATCCTCTTTTAGTGTCGATATTATCCTTCCCGAACTTTAAAGTTGTGAGTTACCACTCGGTAACTAATGTACTAATAAGATTATGATTAGTTCCCTCAAACCAACGTTCTAAATCTTCAGTTATCTTTCATCATTTCCCCGGATCGGCAACCGATCAATCGACTTTCGTCAGGAAAATCTTGAAAGAGGGGATTAATTCGCTGTACATCACCACCAAAGATTATGTTAGCCAAAGTGATCTCTGGACACAATTCAACGCTGCCATATCTGCAGGGACAAGTCTTACTTAAGATTTTTGTTTGGGAGGGAGGCGGTGAGGTGGGAGAAAATTATAATCATTAATGACTGTTTATAAGAAAAGCATCGTCAATAAGATAAGACTCACATAGCTAGTTTGGAAATCTGGAATTTCCATCAAGTTATTGATCATCTCATCTCATCTCATAGATAGATAGATAGGTAGATAAGTGAGCAATCACCTCTCACGCTAGCTAGTCATTCAAATCTCGATCGCCATATCTATGAATAATATGTTTCACAGCATGCCCAGTCATCACCGGTTTCCCATCTGACAAATCATGTGATTAATACAAAATGTTTCACCAGCACCCGAGAGATAATATAAAAACGAATAATAATATTAATAAAATCAGTACCGAGCACAACTCTAACAGTCGGTCAACTAGTTCCTCGTGGGGAAATGTAAGTCTTATCTTTCCCGCTAATATTCCGAAGAGAAATGTATATCGTGCGCTATGCGAAACCGTTAGGTTACGTGCATCTGGTTAGCACATATATACAATACATACCTATCTAGTTCATCAAGCACCGAGCGTGTCGAAGTTTAAAATTGTTATATAACGCAAAGGAAAATATCAAGCTTTATTAATTCAGCCCTTTATCGTAATGGCGTCATGAGAAACATATTGAAATCATAGTATATAATGTATGAAACCTTTCCATCTAGTGGAAAATATGTATTTGTGAAACATGATTACTATCTGACTTTTATCGATAGTCATGAACTTTGGGGGAAAGTATGTCATATTTTTGGATTCATTAAGATTGGAGTAACGAGATTGTATTGTGGGTGGTTGAGATTGCGATTCTGGGGAGTATGTGAAATGAAATTTGTGTAAAGATGAAGATATTCGGACTATTTCAGAACTAGATGCTGATGGAAGAGAAGAATCAGGGTATTCGAAACTGAGAGCTTTATATTGTTGAGTTTTTATGTGCTTATAGTATCAAAGTTCAAGATGACTTTTTTGTAGTATGGATGTAAAAGCATTTTCCAGGAAGAGAGGGGGTCAATTTTGAGGAGCGATTAGGTTGGAGATGATGATGATGGGACGCTTTGAAAAGGTGGCATGGAAGTTCGGGACTATGTATATATTCTACCATTCCGACCTAGGTATATGCGGATGTTTTATGGTATGAGTGCTATATGGAAGCAATATAACTCCAGCGTTTTACCTCTTGATATATCGAGTGCGTGGGCTAGATTCTGTTTATATATGAATGAGTATTTTGTCAACTCGAGATGGAGATTGGAATTGAACTTGGTTCCTGTATTTCTTTCTATGGAGAAATTCACGGCATTGATTTGATAGAGACTTGATAGTATAAGCCGGAAATTCGTTGTCGAGTTTTGTCACTGGTCGAAGTTCCAAACTTTTGGTATTATGCTATTTTCTTGTGATTCAATCTTGGAGATAGTGGCAGGAACGAATACAGATCAGTTTTAGTGATCTAAACAATAAAGATTTAACGGACATAGAAAGTTGTGGTTTTCTTGTGGAGAAGTTATTGGAATATCGACTTATCTCATTCATTGAGCCTGTGGAGATCTTGATATTGCACTTTGCAATATCAAAGACTTTTATATGACAGAGAATTTGTAATGTACCTAGAATCTGGAGAAGATATCCTTTATTGAAAGACTTGAGACACATTCATGAAACCGGAGAACTGCAAGTAGTTTCAATGAAAACAATGGCATACGGGAAAAAAGTCGTCATTTCCGCATTTAACTCTGCTATTTTCTTTTGCTATCACATAAATATGTATGTGAATTTTCATAACACCTGCTTCCAAGAACCTACACTCCCACCAAAAAGTACAAACAAGAATAGAAGGATTTCCACAGCATCCGAATACAACTTTCCGTCAATTCACCAGCTCGACGTTGTCTTCCCCCTTCCTCTGGTCCTCGACCGCTCCACTCAACCCCACAGCCGACCTCTCAAACTGATACTCTAATTCCCCACTGCACTATTGACCGCGGCCACAAATTCAGCCCACATCTTACTCTGACTTGTATATTCCACCGTCGTAATATACACCTCCGCAACCCCGGAAGCAACAATCGAGTTAACGGCATTAGTCTGTTGAGATTGGGAACCGCTGAAATCGTAAATAATGACCGAACTTTGCTCCTGTTGGGTACTTGCAATCTTTTTCAACGAGTCGCCTTTCTTGGAGGAATAGGCGGAATAGTCATCTTCAATCATAACAACTTTGTCGGCGATGGTGAAGAATTTGGAGTCGGCGATGGTACCGGGGTTGAGGGTGACGGTGAGGTTTAAAGCGTGGGCGTTTTCTGCAATGGTGGTCATGTAGCTGGAAGAGTCGGATGTCCATTCGTTGACTGCATCGTCGAAGAATATTCCATCGACTGCGATGTTTCCTTTGGTGTATGTAGACCAGTATTTGTCTATTTCTTGATTAGCATTTTCTCAGCTTATCTGTCGGGAATTTTTACTCACAAGTCTCTACTTCTTTGTTAACCTCAGCAGTACTCTTGGCCATGTATTGAGTATCCACATATCCCAAAAGTTTGACATTGTCATACTTTGTCAAATTGGTGATTCCAGAGATGTATCCATCTTCTGGGTAGTCATTGAGAACTCCCGGTCCAGATTCCGGGTTGACAATGACGGTGAACGCAAGAGAGGGGTAAGCTGCGATTTCATTGGTGGCCCAAGTCCAGGCACCTTTGGTAGGATAAAGGTAAAGAGGAAGAAGAATGGAAGTGGCGAGGACCATTTTTGCGAGTTTGGCAGGAAGAAGTAAATATGTGAATGAATGTATGAATGAGTTTATCTGCAATCAAAGAGTGTCCAGACTCTGGTAAGGATTGACAAAAGATCGTAAAGATCGAAAAGATTGAAAGGAATGAATGTAGAAGTAGAGAGCGACTAGAGAATGAAAGGAGACTATATCGTCAGAGAAGATGATGTGGTACAAACTTTTAAGGAAAGTAGTCTCAATATATATATGAAATGAAATGTAATCTAGATACTCGCTGTGGGCCATGTCGATCTCCTTAATTTACATCACCCGCATTTTTTGGACGCGGGGAGAGTGGAGGGCCAGGGCTGATTTGAGATTGATTAAATTGAACCTCTAGGCAGGCAAACCCAAGAAGAAAAAACTCCTTACACACGCGCGGAAACCATTCATTCGTAGGGGATACTGATGTTTAGCCGCCTCCACTAGGGCTCTACTCATATCACATCCTTGGCTGTGGGTCGAAAGGATCCGAGTCTAAGCTTCGAATTCGCCGATTCAAGAACTTTAAAATTGAGGAACAAATAGAAATCTGATAGGATTTTGGAGTGTAAATGTTTCAAGGGGATATTTCCCATATTTCACTGGTTGTGTAGCCCAATTTAGTAATTCAGGAACTCCAATCACATTATGATCCGGCTAAAAGCTTCTTGGCAAACAAAAGTGTCCCTTGTGCCACTGGATAACATAGTACGAATGACTAAGAAGTATTAAGCAGAAGCCATCGATTGGTTATTGGCAAAGGATTTTGTTCGCGATGAAACAAACCATTCTATGCATGGCGCTTTCTAGATGGGATGATGGAATTTTTTCAACCATCTAGATCGTATAATCCTGTGGTACTACTGAAAGAATAAGTAACTGATGCAGGGGCAATTGAAAGGAATTCTAATGGTACCTTAAAAGCAAACATACACTGAACGAAAGCCTAGAAGATTGATTGACATCAAACGAATTTCGGTGACCCCTTGAAATTCGAAGAATGATGCAACAATTAATTTGAATTTGTGTTCAAGCTTAAATTATATGTTCTTATCCATATATTGTACTGCGTAATTCGTGCGACTTGTTGGGAAATATCAAAAAGATTAGATATCTTAATGATCTCTCAGGTACTATCGTCGCGAACTTATTATTCGGGAAGATCAATTCTAGGACAATAGAAGATTCTAGGGATAGAATGTGTCATGAGAAAAGCGTATGAACTAAGCACGATAAACACGTGGGGTGGGATTGCAACCCTGTAGCCATCCATCCCTCAGCTTCCTTTTTTCCCATGTAAAGAGCAGGGAGAGGGATCTCGCGGAGCGCCCGTTAGCTTCAGGAGAAATGAGCCGGGCTCCGGGAACCAATTTTTCGATTAAAGCCGAGCTATACGACGACGAGATAAATTTACATGAGTAAGAAAGGCACGGAGTCTGTTAGGGTTGGTGGGCGGACAGGCGAATCCATCATGAGTGGTATGAAATATCAATTTCGCGAGCAGCGCCCAAACCGATTCGAATAATATGTAAAAGAAGAAAATTGCAAATTATGCATAATACTGAATTATTATGATTTTGATGTCTTAAGACAGTGGCGAAGACTACCACATGAAGATACAAGATACCTCAAAAGATCCACGCGCAGGCAATGGAAGCGGTTAAAAGTTACACACGCCGTCAAACTACTGATTCCGATGTCAATCTCTGATACTGATTGGGGAGATCATGAGCCTTATTGCAGATATCCAGGAGACATATTAAAATAAGACATATATTTGACAAGCGCTTACCTTACCTCGCGACGGGACGGCACGACTGTACAAATCGTGTTTATCAGTAGACATGCCCAACGTAAGCATGGTAGATATATATTACCGATATCACGCCCATAACATTGGCATGCGAACTATAGAAGGATTGATAAGCAGTCGATGTTGTAAATCAACGACGGTGTCAAGAATCACACTCACTGAGAGTAATCGATTAAATGCTGGCTGTTTGATTCGTATAACATTGGAAGCATTGAGAAGGTTCGGTATCTCCGAATAGCCCTGGAAAGATGTATCGGCCGAGGATGAACAAAGTGGCTAAAGTCGGCGTTCTTGAATTGTTATACAATGGATGATATGAGCAATTGGGTTTTTAGAATCCGAAAGTACAGATCTACTAGTCACACTTGTATAGAGTACTTGAGAAACAATATTGATGGTAGGGTAGAGGAATCGTCGCGCTCA